CCTGCGCAAGGGTGGAAGGGTTGGTTCAAAAGGCCAACCTGTCGAAAGCTGCAGCGGCGTTACAGAGCTCGCCACTCGCGGAACCTTCGCAGGCCGCGCTCGCGACACTCAAGGCGAAACACCCACAGGCGGAAATGGCGATACCCGAAGGGTTAGGGGGTTATGGGGAAACGGCACGCGCCATTGGGGCGGACTCGTTCCGCGACGTTCTAGCGAAGTGCCCAAATGGGATAGGGGCGGGCCCTTCGGGCACATGCTTCGAACACCTTCGCGACCCTGCACTCACAAACGGCGAGGTCTTCCTCCTGCTCCATGACCTAGTTAACAACCTCCTTAGTACGTTTCAGGAGGGACCGGTGAGGGACGTGCTACTACCTGCGAGGCTGATCGCCTTAGGAAAACCCGACGGCGGCGTCAGGCCAATAGCGATAGAGAAGCGCTTCTTCGGATTGTGGCTAAAGCAGCGCTGAGGGAGCTGTCGGGAGAAATTCGGAAATATTTCCTCCCGGTGCAATACGGGGTGGCTACACCAGGGGGGGCGGAGTGCATCATACACGCGGTGCGGGCGCTGTTGGAGGAAGACGAAACACGGGTGATTCTGCAGTTAGATGTAGAAAACGCGTTCAACTCGGTCAAGCGCGGGCACTTCCTGAACTCGCTGCGTTTCACAAACCTGCTCTCCCTTCTCCCTCTCGCGCGAACGCTATACGCCGCCCCATCACCGCTGCTGCTAGATAAGGGATTTGGCGTCGGCTACATTGAAAGCACTCGTGGGGTCCGCCAAGGAGATCCGCTCGGCCCCACCCTCTTCGCGCTAGCAATACAACCGGCCTTGATGGCGGCGGCTGTAGAGACGCCGGAGGCTACAGTGATGGCGTACGCCGACGACATTACCATCGTCGGACCCCCAGCAGCGGCGACAAGGGCATTCAACAGGATCACACGCGAGCTCGGTGAAGTCGGCTTACGGTGCAACTTGGTCAAATCCTCGGCATGGTGCCCCGCAGGGCACTCGGGGGGACCTACCGGAAGGGCTGGCGGCGGCGGTGGATGGGGTGCAGGTCCTGGGGAGCCCAATTGGGACCACGGCTTACTGCAGACGGACGGTCCGGGAGACGCTGGAGAGGATAGCGTTACCGCTACGGCTGATCAGCAAGCTGCACCCGCAGCATGCGATGCTGCTATTGTCCAGATGCGTTAGTCGCAGGATCTCCTACCTCCTGCGCACGACGCCCGCGGACGTGGTGCCACTTCCTGAGTGGCGGGAGTGGAGCGAGCGGCTGTTGTGGACGGCTCTAAGGGCGGCCCACATACGCGTACCGACCAAGGAGCTAGAACAGAGCCTAGTGTGGTGGCAGGCGACACTGCCTATCGCGCTGGGAGGGCTGGGGCTGATCGATCCCCTCTCGGAAGCACCAGCGGCACACTTGGCGTCCCTGAGAGCGTCGCAGCTGCTGCTACAACAAATGCCGCACTCGCCCAATGAGCAGCTACAGCAGGTAGAAAAGCTGGTGTCGCCACGAAGAGAGGGCGGGGCGGGCGGGAGAGGAGCGACGAGGAGAGATATGTGGAACCGGCTCCCACGACCCGCGCAGGAACTACTGGAAGTACCGAGGGGGAGGAGGGAGGGGAAGGGCCGTCTACAAGAGGCACTGTCCCAGCAGATCAACCTCACAAGGGCGGCGGAGCTCGGGGGGGATACAAGGAAGGATAAACCGGGGGAGGACAACGGCCACGTGGTGTGGCTCATAAGCCTACAAGGAGTGGGGGCGGGGGACTGGCTTCACGCCATCCCAACGAGGGCAGATCTCACATTCTCACCAGGGCAATATGCCCTGGCGCTCGGGTTCAGGTTGGGCTTGCCCCTACCAGTGACCAAGAGCTGCCCGTGCCAGGGAGAGAGAGGGAAGATAGAGGATGTGAGCCTACCGAACCACCTGCTGAGGTGTGAGGAGGGAAAGGACCGGACAAACACACATAACACACTCGTCTATGCGGCGCTGCGCATGGCGAGAGAAGCTGACTGCATAACCTTACATGAGAACACGACCTACTCGTAACCAGTCAACCCCAAGCGAGCAGATCTGGCCTTCACGGACAGGGAGTCAGCAGAGACCTGGGTCACGGACGTGACCATAACAGACCCGGTTCTGCAGCGGCGCGACACCAGGGCGGTGAAACCGCCAGGATGGGCAGCGGAAGAGGCTGCAAGGGGGAAGAGGGGGCTGTATGAGGGGCGCCCGGACTATGTTGGGGTATTAGGGCTGGCAGTGGAGACATATGGGGCCCTGGCGAGGGATACACAGCGGTTCCTGAGGATGCTAGGCACTCAAGCGGCTAAGAAAAAGTTCCGGCAGGGGAGACTAACGGCGGTGGCTTCCAGGCTGACGGCACACTACCGACAACGCTGGTCGGTGATGCTGCAGCGTAGCCAGGCGAACACGTTCCTGGCTAAGTCTAACAGGGCCACGGAGATGGCACACCCCCAGGTGGCAGCCGACCTATGGGAACCCCGATTGGGGGACCTATGGCAGGTCATAGAAGATGACTTGGGGCCCACCCCTAGACATGTGAGGGTGGGGTGGAGGGCGCCCCACAGGCCGGGGTGTGGGCATCAGTGAAGGTCGTGGGGTCACCTTAGCTAGGCGGCGGCCCGGGTTCAAGGATGTGCATGCTTAGTGATGTTTCTCATAGGATGCTGGCGGTTGTCACTGGTTGGGCTTGGCATGATGAACTGCTTTGTACCTTGTTAGATATCAATGAAGGACTGCTTGAGAGAGAGAGAGAGAGGTGTGAGAACATGGATATCTTACCCCCTAAACCTCCCCTTTCATAGCAGAAGATGCGCGCGCGAGAGAGAGAGAGAGAGAGAGAGAGAGAGAGAGAGAGAGAGAGAGAGAGAGAGAGAGAGAGAGAGAGAGAGAGAGAGAGAGAGAGAGAGAGAGAGAGAGAGAGAGAGAGAGAGAGAGTACCCCCTTCACGCGCGAGACTGTGACGTAATACCGACAGGGGAAAACACCCCCGTGCTGTACAACACAGCTGGCAACACCGACAGCGCACCCAAATCTATGATTCATTGCTGCCACGCGCACCGCACAACCGTCAGCATGCATCTGCCATTGGCCAGCACGGCCTGTTGACAGCATGCGGTGGCAGCCAGGCAGCCCATGAGTGAATTCGGCCTTCAATGGAAGGCCGAATTCATCGGCCAATGTTGCCATCAAGTCCTTGATGGCGCGGCGCGGTGGTACCGTGCTGACCCCGCCATCTCCAACCTTCCCTTCCCTCCCTCTACCAACAGTCGTGGTTCCAGAGTGCACCTCTGTTTTCTTTCCATTCCGTGCACTCAATCTCCCATTTCCCTCTCGCTCAGATTAGCCACCAATCTCGCCGCCATGGAGGCCATGCCGGCCGACGAAGCTGCTCCGGAGTCTGGCCCAGACGAGCCACCTGTACCGGCGAAACCAATAGCCCCGTCCCAGCCGGAGAAAGCCGCCGATGCTCCGCGTTCTGGGCTCGATTTTCTTCGAGCTACGGCTGCTCCCGTAACACCAGAGCCGCCTAGGTCCACCGTTAATGACTCCGCCGCTGTAGTGACGCCTACCCCTACTGATTCTCCCACTCCTGTTGCGTTCACACTCCCGCCGGCTGTTGCTGGCTGCAGCAAAGACCCTCCACCGCCCGCGCCCAGTCCCACTCCAAGCACGGTGCGGGTCTCCCTAGGCCCGCCGTCGGCTACGTCCACTCCCAAGCGGGCGCGAACCGGGAAGTGGTCGCAGAGTACTCTGGTGGTGGGGGGGCGCCGTATTCCACCGCCTGAAAAGCCTGTTGAGCCTCCACCGAAAGAAGCTGAGCTGCCGGAAGGTGACATCCCCGTGCGCGCTGATACCGGCTCACCCGCACTCACAAAGGCGCAGATGAGTGAGCAGATGTACTTGGAGGCGAGTATTAATTACGAGACGAAGTGGTCGGGGTACTTCTCGTGGCTCGTGTTTGGGAAAACCAAGGACGGTTTCCCTTACGTGAAGAGCAGCATCTGCATGTCCTACAGTAAGGGGAACACCAGGTACGCGATGCCCGCAGACGACGGCGGCCGTGACCTGCAGACTCAGTCGTTCCGCGCGCACGAGCATACGGACGCACACAAGGCGGAGGTGGATCGGCAGATGAGGATTGCGGCAGGAATCAACGAAGGGCAGCAGGTGATTTCGGACTTCATCAACTCCGACGTGGAGGGCCGCCGCGCGATACGACTGATGCGGTCAACTCAGTTCCTGTGCCAGTGCGACGCGCCGATTAGCATGTTTCCTAAGCTGATGCGGCATCTTGCGGAGCAGGACACGCCTGACATTCCCCGGCAGTCGTACGGCGTTTATCTCACACGGTAAGAGACGCTTCAAGTTGTTGCAGTGTGTACTATGTATGTTGCACTTGTGATTGACGGTCTGCTGATCACTTCTCTCGTCTTTTTTCAGCTACGGCTTCCAGCAGATGGTGCACAGCATCAGCACATACCCCACCCGGGTGCAGATGGACTACATCCTGGCATCACCGTTTCTGGGCATCCAATGCGACGAGAGCACTGACCGCACGCGAGGGAAACACATGATTGTGTACCTTACTTTCCTGAAGAACTGCCAAGTCGCATGTGAGTTTTTCACTTTGCTGACGGTCGAGCGGCGTGATGCATGGTCTCTTTTTGAGGTGCTCATGAACCATCCCCGCTCCGCTGCCGTGGATGTCCCCAAGATCGTCGGCATCAGCACGGACGGGGCGTCGGTGATGACCGGGAGAGAGAACGGCCTGGTGGCGCGTCTTTGGGAACACGTCCCGCATCTGTTTTCCTGTCACTGCATCGCCCATCGGTATGTGATTTGGTGCCGGCTGCTAGTTGGTTTCGTAGAGTTTGATTTATTAACTAACATTGCTTTGTGTTCCCTGCTCGCCTCAGTGAGGCGTTGGCTGTGAAGGACGCCGCGGAGTCGAACCCGGATCTCGGCATGGTCGACAAGGTGGTGCGCACCGTCGCGACGCTGCTCGGAAACTCCAGCGTGTGGAGTCAGCGGTTCAAGTACCTGCAGCGTGTGATTTACAAGACCAACCTGGAAGTCCAAGGCATCCACACGGTGCGGTGGCTGTCTCGCGGTGATGCGGTGGGGAGGCTATGCAAGGTTCTCGGCGCATGCATAGTCCTCCTCTGGGAGCACAATCACAAGGCATACGAGATCGTTACCTGCTACAAGTTCCAGTTCTGCCTGTTCTTCTTGGCCGACATCTTGGCGGACATGAACGACCTCAATCGGTGCTTCCAGCGAAGAGTGGTAAAGTCGCATGTGTGACTGTTGTTGCAACGTTATATTCCTTACCACATAGTTTCTCATAACACTCCCTGTTGCTTACCCCGTCTCCTCCGACAGCTGGAAGTGATTGAGATTGCGAAGACGATCGAGTCAACAACGGGTGACCTGACGGAGCGCTACTTGACGCCTGAGAAGGCCTTCGGGGGAGAAGGGAAGAGCTGGCTGGTGAACTTCCTCAAAGTCTACAAGGGGGGTGGAGGCAAGCAGGTCCGGGTGCGAGGCGTGGACGGTGCTGGACAGCCTATCAACCACCTCTACACCATGCATGAGAGGAAGCTGAAGGGACACAAGCAGGGGAGCAGTTACGCAGACTGCGTGAAGCTGTGCCGCAAGTCCGCCAAGGACTGCGTGGACAACCTGAATGAACGGCTGGATGACCTTGGGAAGCTGGGGCCGACTAAGCTGTTCCGGGCGGCGAAGTGGCTGAAGATCAAGGCGCAGCGGGAGAAAAAGTGTAAGGAGTGGCTGAACGGATGCAGCAGGCTGTTCCGCAACAAGCTGCCGGGATTCGACCTCAAAGCAGCAGAGAGGGAGCTCCCGACTTTCTGCGCCATCATGGAGAGCCACCATGAGATGGAGAGCTTCAACAAGGGCCTGTCCAACTTTCTCGGGAGTCCAGACTCAAAGAGGTAGGCAAAGTTTGATTAAACGACTCTTGTAATGGACACCTGGTTTGCTAACTGCTGCTGTTGTGTTGTTTCCCTTGTGTTGTTTGAACGTTTGTGCCTGGCAGGAGATGGCCCAACCTCATCCTGCTGTGGCAGGCGCTGGCAGTGCTCCCCCTCTCAACCGTGGAGTGCGAGAGGGGGTTCTCCAGGCAGAACGTCATCAAGCCTTGGATCCGTGGAGCGCTGTGCAACGCGCGGCTGGGAGAGCTGATGCAGATATCGCTCCTAAAGTATGAGATCGACTGGCCGGAGGCGCTGGAGGTGTGGAGGTCCCTGCGGAGGAGGCGCCCTGCGAAGAGCTTGAAGCTGGCTGTGGCAGAGAGGGAGAGGAAGGGGAAGCAGAAGGAGGGTGAAGATGTGGCTGCTGGACATGCTGGAGAGAACGAGGATGAGGTGGAGGAGGAGGAGGACGATGAGGTGGAGCAGGCCTTCGGCGACGATCAGGATGTCGTGGGGGAGGAAGAAGTGGAGGACAATCCATTCCTCTCGGACGATGAGGACGTGGAGGAGGTGTACTTCATTGACAAGCCTGTGCACTAGATAGCTTAGGGAAGAAAGAGCAGGCACTTGTATCAATTCGAAAAATAGTGCAACGTTCATAGCAACCTTGTTTCTGAGCTGTGAACCCTATGCTGTCAGAGTAGGCTTTAGTTTGACACAGAGCCATCAGGGTAGCTGCCTCGCGAAAAATGTGCCCTCATAATAGAGGGCCAAAATTTTCACTGGAATCAAGGAGTCCCAAAACGAAACGTCAGCACCGGCTGTAACCGTCTGACGCTTCGATTCAATTCCAACTGTCTGGCGCTTCGCTTCGTTCCCGATACTGCGTGTTCCCCTTTGCTACGGTGAGGAGTGCAGAGTAATATCAAATATTACTATTCATAACACAATTCAACAAAAAAAAGTACATTTTTTAAGAAAGTTTAGTACAGTAAGCACACTTCCAAAATCAGGGTAATCTGCACAAGTAAGTCCATATCAAGGCCAATCATTCATTTTACCCTTCATTTTTGGGGCCTGGTCAACGGGTGCTGAGGGTTGTGGTTAGATGTGATATAGCATTAACCCATAAAAAGAGTGTAGTAATGTCTTGCTTTTGACAAGTGCAGTTGGGTTTGAGGTCTCACTGTTGAGTATGGCGTTGTACGTGTGTGGTTGACCTATGACCATAAAGGATGAACCGTACAGAAGATGGCCGTTGACCCCTGCACACTTTTCATGGCTTTGTTGCTGCACTACTGTTCACGTGCGTGGAGACTGTCCTCTTCTTGCTCGGTTGGGGAACCCTGGAAAACCACCTGAGAACGTTCGTTCACGTCAGGTCCCAGCTTTGGTTGTGGTTGGTTGGTTTCTTTGTGCAGGTCATTTTGTCTCCCGTAATCTGGGAATTGAAAGCGTTTCTCGCCTTGCTTTTCGTTGCGTGACCTTATGCGACAAGAAGCAAGGTACTGTACATTGCGCGGGAACAGTTGTGCAGTTGGGTACAGTGTACACTTCTCCACCAGCACGCTGGTCCAATCTCGTAGCGCGCGAGAACGGGTTACAGAAACCCTATTTTTTCGTGCAATGCATTAATCAAGTGACCCACTAGCCCCTTCGCTGTGGGGTTTCGTACGATTCCATCAACCCAGCCAGGTGAAGTGTGACGACCAGGGCTATTGCTAGGATTTTTGCTAGCTCGGACGATCCGGGCCCCTGTGAAAAAGACCCTGTAAAATACGAGCCAGCAGAAAAACAAACCTTTCACGAATCCGGGTTCGTGCCAGAAAAGGCCTGAAAACCTACCTTACCAGAATCTCGCGGGATGCGAAAATGATCGTGAAACTCACAGTGGGTGGCACGAAGGCTGGGAAGGTTGGAGATTTAAGAGCGGCACTAGAGGGGGGGAGAGAGACTTTCTGTAGACTTAGAAATTTCTATATGTGGAGGAGTACTAATAGCCACGTCAACGCAGTACCGGAAATCAAACAACAGAAGGCCAAACCAGGAGCAAATGCCAAGGATAATTCACTGAAAGTGGGCTATGCGTTGTACGCGGGGAGAGGGAGGGGATGCGAAGCAGGTCGGGGACTATAAGTGTTGCTAAAACTTTCCGGGTCCCCTCGAAAACATCCCGGAGTGATCCGAGTGGGCTCAAAAATCGCCCTTCAGGTTTACGGGCTGGTCCGAAAATCACCTTGTGAAAATCAGGGCTGCTCTAAAAATCACCTCATAATTTCAGTCAAAACAGGGTAATTGCCCTGATAACATAGGCCCTGGTGACGACTGCTTCAGAGGCCCTCGACGACGAATTGCGAAGAGATTGGTAACGGGGTGCCTCCAGTCGCTCTGACGACCCGCGCCAGTTTCCAGTTTTCTGTCAATCAAACCCCTGCCAGCCACCCCTTGCTCACTCCCTCCCTCCCCCTCGCCCCGCACCGCACTGTGACTCATCAGGAAATTCCAATTCCAGCCTACAGACTGTCAGCACCGCACTGTACTGTCTCCGGCTTGCACCTGCTCTGGTTGTTTCTTCGAGACTCGGAAACCCTTCCCAGCCGAGCTAAACCATTGCACTTCTCCTCATATTGCTTGCCGTTGCCATCGTCTATCACTCCCCCTCCCATCCCATTTCGTCGCCCTCCCCTTCCGTTCGCTGAATCAGCTCCTACCATCGCCATACTAGAATTTCGCTAGCTTGTTCGCCCTTTAGAATTCGAGCCCGCGGGAAGAAAAGCCTCTCAAAATTAGGGTTGGAGCCAGGCAAGGCCTGAGAACCGGCACGCCTACGGTATTCGCGAGGAGAGGGAGAGGGTGCAAGTGACATTTGTTGAGAAAGCCGGGTTTCCAACTAACTCATGAAAGACCAGCCTACCTATTAGGGGAGCGATAGTGAGGGCGAAAGGTGGAAGAGCCCTTTCTTTTGTCGACTTAGATTTCTCTATGTAGAGAAAGAAGCTACGAGCCCACGTTCCAACGGATCAACGGAACACAGTGGTGCGAAGGTCAAAGAGCCTTTTCTTTTGTCGACTTAGATTTCTCTATGTAGAGGAAGAAGCTACGAGCCCACGTTTGAACGTGTAAGCGGAACACAGGGGTGCGAGGGTGCTGAGTCGCGAATCTCTTGCGAATACCGCAGACGATGTGACGAGGTCAAATGGGGACATTACTAGAGGGCAGTGTCGAAAAGAACAAGCTCCAGATTATATTTTAAGCCCCCTATCGAAACCTTTCTGAAATGGTGCAGGACCTTACAAAACCACCCCGAGTTCTTCCGGGTTGGCGAAAAGTTAACCCTCTCAAACTCGAGAAGTGCCTGAAAAGCACCTTTGCTTTTCAGTCAAGGTAGGGTGAAGAAAAGCCCGCAACCGTCACCCGCGAAAAAATCGTTGTCGGTCGTGGCGAAATTAAATCGACGTGTTTGTCAGTGACGGTCGTGACAGTTTTATTCGGGCTTGAAACAAAAGAAAAAGGTTTCTTAGGCGCCTCACGGAGCGGGTTCTTAGGGTCAGATTAGCAGGCTCAGTTCGTGCGATTCGTACTTGAACCATGGGCGACTCGGACACGCTGCACCAGCCAGCTGACTTTTGAGTCGACTCAAAAGTCAGCAGGCACAGTTCGTGCGATTCGTGCTTGAACTATGGGCGGCTCGGACACGCTGCGCCAGCCAGCTGACTTTTGAGTCGACTCAAAAGTCAGCAGGCACAGTTCGTGCGATTCGTGCTTGAACCATGAGCGGCTCGGACACGCTGCACCAGCCAGCCTGGGCGCATTTTTTCGGCGCCTCAAGAATCGCGAGGCCGCATGCGAAGTGTTCGGGTGCGCCTCCAAACCGGAACCATTGACGGTATGCGGCAGCCTGGTTGACGGCTAGCCGTTACCGGAATGGCTGCAGCAGCCGGCTGCTCCCCACGCGTCTGAGGAGCTGCGCGGCCTGAAGCCCGCCCCGCGTCTGAGCCCGCGGCCTGAGGCTTGGATGCGGAGCGGGCGGGTCTGGCGGGGCGGGGAAAAACGAGCAGACTAATTGGTCGAAATATATATACATTTTTAAAGCTCGTTGCAATGTCACTCGGGGGCGTAGTTGGCGGCTTGAGGAAAAAACGGAGGCTGAGGGGGAGGCGAGATGCGGAAGCGGAGGCGGGAGGCGGAGAGGTTCCGGCAGGGTTCACTCACAGAATTCCGTCACTCACACATTTCCGTCACTCACACATTTCCGTCACTCACACATTTCCGTCACTCGCACATTTCCGTCACTCACACATTTCCGTCACTCACACATTTCCGTCACTCGCACATTTCCGTCACTCACACATTTCCGTCACTCACACATTTCTCCGTCACTCACACATTTCCGTCACTCACACATTTCCGTCACTCACACATTTCTCCGTCACTCACACATTTCCGTCACTCCCACGTCACTCACACATTTCTCCGTCACTCATACATCTCCGTCATTCACACATTTCCGTCACTCACACACTCCCGCCTCTCACACACTCCCGCCTCTCACACACACTAGTCACTCACACATTCCCGTCGCTCACAAACTCCCGTCAATCACACACTCCCTTCACTCACACATTCCCGACGCCCCCACACTCCCGTCACTCACACACTCCATTTTCTTGCACACTCCTGTCGCTCACACACTCCCGTCAATCACACTCCCTTCACTCACACACTCTCGTCGCTCACGCTCCCTTCACTCACATACTTTCGTCAATCACACACTCTCCCTTTCCTGCCGCTCCATGTCTCCCTTTCTCCTCCCTCTCTATTTTGATTTTCGTCTTCCTCTTCTCTGCCCCACAACTCCCTTCTCAATCTTCCCCTCTTCTCCATTCTCTCTCTCCCCCTCTTTCCTGCTCTATCTCTTCCCTTCTTCTCCGTTCGTTCTCTCCCCCTCTTCTCCGTTCTCTACGTTCGCCTCTCATCCCTTCATCATTTCTTTTCTCCTTTCCCACTCTTCCCTTTCCTCCCTTCCCACATTCCCTTTCCTCCCTTCTCACTCTTCCCTTTCCTCCCCACGCACTCTTCCTTTCCTCCCTTCCCCCCCTTCCCTTCCTCTCTTCCCTCTCATTTCTCTCCTCCTTATCCTCTTTTCTCTCCTCCTTCCTTCTCGCTCTTCCTCCCCTTACTCTCTCATCCCGTCCGTCTCTGCCCCTCTTATACTCCCTCCAATCCCCTCACTCCAATTCCTGTCCCGCCGACCCATTCCCCCTTCCCCTAGCTGCCTACCTTTTGTCCTCCGCCCTCTTTCGCCTCACTCTCGTTCCCCCTGAATCTTCTCTTACACCCATCTGCTCATTCTGTTATTCTTTTAAGAATTCTCAAAATCTGAGCCGCTTTTGAGAATTCTCAAAATCCGAGTCGCTTTTGAGAATTCTCAAAAGCCTCACTCTCGTCCCTCCTGGATCTTCCTTGACACCCATCTGCTCATTCTATTCTTCTTGCCCTGTCTGACCTGCACCTTCCCGGTGACTTTTGAGTCGACTCAAAAGTCACCTCGACGCAAAACTCCCCCTGAATGTTCCCTTACACCCATCTGCTCATTCTGTTCTTCTTGCCCTTTCTGACCTTCACCTTCCCGCCTCTCCTTCCCTTCTCCAAGCCCCCGTTTCTGCCCCACACTGCCCCCCTCCTCCCAACACCTTTGAACTCCCCTTCTCCCTATCCCCCCTTTTCAAGTTTCCCTGACTCCGTCCACCTCGGCCCAATTCCCCCCATCCATCCCTGCCTGACGGCATGGGTTGCTTGTGCTGACTTTTGAGTCGACTCAAAAGTCACCTCGGCCCAATTCCCCCCATCCATCCCTGCCTGACGGCATGGGTTGCTTGTGCTGACTTTTGAGTCGACTCAAAAGTCACCTCGGCCCAATTCCCCCCATCCATCCCTGCCTGACGGCATGGGTTGCTTGTGGTGACTTTTGAGTCGACTCAAAAGTCACCTCGGCCCAATTCCCCCCATCCATCCCTGCCTGACGGCATGGGTTGCTTGTGGTTGATTGATAACTGGTGTGGCAGTAAATAGTCAGCGTGCTCTTTTGCTGCTCTTTGTTTTTGTTCGTTTGCCTTTGACATGATTGTGGTACTAGGGACCTGAACGCCTTAAAGTTGGTCTTTGGTTTATTCACCTCAGAGCGTGTTCCTACACCTCGTATCAAGCAAACGTCATATCAGACTCACACTGGAAGTCTCCCTAAGCCCCAAACCTCTCGCTAGTTTTACCACGCAAGTCTGATACGAGGTTGCTTGATATGAGGCGTGGGAACACGCTCTTATAGATCCGCATAGTGTTTGCAGGCTTTTAGTATCCTTTTTCAAGTTACTCTAAAATTTGTTCACATGCATAGCGGGATGGCACCCCACATTATCAAAACCAATTGGTTGCAGTACACTGCGTCCACGACGTCCAACTCCAGCAGCTTCCCCATCAGAGTTTCAAAGAGCCCAAAGAATTTAAGACAATCTCAAGGTATCGAATACAGTGTGTACATGTATTGGTTGCAGTACACTGCATCCACGTCGTCCAACTCCAGCAACTTCTCCATCAGAGCTTCGTTCTGCTGCCGGTCCCAGACTCCCAGGCCTCCTCGGCACCCCACTACGGCATTCAATACAGAGTGCGCGCCTATTGGTTGTAGTACACTGCATCCATGTAGCTTAACTCCAGCAGCTTCTCCATCAGAGCTTCAAAGAGCCCAAAGAATTTAAGACAATCTCAAATATCGAATACCGTGTGTACACCTATTGGTTGCAGTACACTGCGTCCACGTCGTCCAACTCCAGCAGCTTCTCCATCAGAGCTTCAAAGAGCCCAAAGAATTTAAGACAATCTCAAGGTATCGAATACAGTGTGTACGCCTATTGGTTGCAGTACACTGCATCCACGTCATCCAACTCCAGCAGCTTCTCCATCAGAGCTTCGTTCTGCTCCCGAGCCTCCTCGTCAGGCTGGGAAACAGGTTGGGAAGAAAAACCAGAAGTAGAAAATGAAAGAGCTCATTCAGTCCTTCCGCCATGGTTACTACGGCCATACCTAGCTGCCCCGCGTGTTCTCATCACCTCGCATCAACATACCCAACAACCTGACCCCAGAAGATTGAAACCAGTCGGACGGAAGTAAGGCCCCCGTTAACCCACCTTGTCTGTTACTGACATCACCGGTCTACGTGCAAGGAGGTGATGGGATTGAACATGAGGCCTGAGTGCTCTGCACCCACCACATGAGGCCTGAGTGCTCTGCACCCACCATCAGCCCATACCCCTGCTGCTGCGCCCACTCCTTGCTATGCCCCCATTCACCTCGTACCAACCCTAACCCAGAACATTCGACCCCTGAGTATACTACCTACCCCAGGTCCACCTGCATCATACCGTACATAACAGGTCTACCTGCATCATATAACAGGTCTACCTGCATCATATAACAGGTCTACCTGCATCATTTAACAGGTCTACCTGCATCATACATAACAGGTCTACCTGCATCATATAGCAGGTCTACCTGCATCATATAGCAGGTCTACCTGCATCATATAGCAGGTCTACCTGCATCATACATAACAGGTCTATCTGCATGGCAGCTGTGGGAATGAACATGAGGCCTGAGTGCTCCGCATCCACTGTCAGCCCATACTCCTGCAGCTGCCATCCCCCATGCTGACCCCTCAGACCCACCCTACCCCAGCCCACCCAACCCCCCAACCTACCCCAGATGTACCTGCATGGCAGCAGTGGGAATGAACATGAGGCCTGAGTGCTCCGCATCCACCGCCAGCCCATACTCCTGCAGCTGCGCCCTGTGCCATGCCTCCATGCACCTCGTACCATAATAATTGCCCCAGGTCTACCTACACCTACCCCACCTACCCCAGATGTACCTGCATGGTGGCCGTGGGAATGAACATGAGGCCTGAGTGCTCTGCGTCTACTGTCAGCCCATACTCCTGCAGCTGCAATCCCCCATGCTGTGCACCTAAGACCACTCTATTCCAGACCACCCTACCTACCCCAGACGTACCTGCATGGTGACCGTGGGAATGAACATGAGGCCTGAGTGCTCCGCGTCCACTGTCAGCCCATACTCCTGCAGCTGCGCCCCATGCCCTCACGCCGCGCACCTTGACCACCCTACCCCACCCCACTGTACCCCAGACCCCCCTACCCCAGACGTACCTGCATGGTGGCGGTGGGAATGAACATGAGGCCTGAGTACTCCGCGTCTACTGTCAGCCCATACTCCTGCAGCTGCCATCCCCCATGTCCCCTGTGCACCTCTTACCACCCTACCCCATCCCGCCCGACCCCCCCAGACCCTCTCCAGCCCACCCTACCCCAGATGTACCTGCAGGGTGGCGGTGGGAATGAACATGAGGCCTGAGTGCTCCGCGTCTACCGTCAGCCCATACTCCTGCAGCTGCTCTGTGCCATGCGCATATGCACCTTGCACCATCCCTACCACAGACTACCCTACCCCACACCCAACCCCAGAACCTTTTACCCAAGAACAACCCACGTATCCCATATCTACCTGCATGGTGGCGGTGGGAATGAACATGAGGCCTGAGTGCTCCGCGTCCACTGTCAGCCCATACTCCTGCAGCTGCGCCCTGTGCCATGCCTCCATGCACCTCGTACCATAATAATTGCCCCAGGTCTACTACCTACACCTACCCCACCTACCCCAGCTCTACCTGCATGGCAGCTGTGGGAATGAACATGAGGCCTGAGTGCTCCGCGTCCACTGTCAGCCCATACTCCTGCAGCTGTGCTCGCACCGAGGCAAAGGACTCGGCTGGAGTCAGCACTCGGAAGAATCTGACAAGGGGAGAGACCATGGAGGAAAGATGGGGGGCGGGGAGGAGAGGGGCGTACGGGAGGGAGGGGTCACATGAAGGGTTGCATCCACCGTCAGCCCATACTCCTGCAGCTGTGCTCGCACCAATGCAAAGGACTCGGCTGGAGTCAGCACTCGGAAGAACCTGAGAGAGGTAAGAGGAGATGGGAGGTAAGAGGACAGAACAGACAAACTGAAGCAAATGAATCAAGAACAAGAGCAGACTAAAAACACTAGAGCCATCCCTCCTCCCCACCCAACCTCGATCAAAGGAAAGAATAATAATATAATAATAATAAAATAGAAACTATCGCCAACTTACTGCTCCTCTTCCTCGCCCTCCTCCACATGCCCTCCCCCTCCGCCTCCTCCTCCCCCAGCCACGTCCTCCCCAGGGTTGACTAGTGACTTGACTCGAAAGGCAAAGGAATGAAAGGAAAAAGACGCTGCAATAACGAGCAAGCTTCCCCCAACTTACTGCTCCTCCTCCTCGCCCTCCTCCGCATGCCCTCCCCCCCTCCCCCAGCCCCGTCCTTGACTAAAACAACAAACACTGCTCACCAACGCCAACTTACTGCTCCTCCTCCTCGCCCTCCTCCGCATGCCCTCCCCCTCCTCCTCCGCCCCCAGCCACGTCCTCCCCAGGGTTGATGACGTCATCAGCCCCTGCATCCACCGCCACCACCAACACCTCGTCCGGGTCTGCTGTTGCTGCTGGGACAGCCAACACACCTTGCCTGTAAGAGTGGGGGAGAGGGGAAGTGGAGAAATGGAAGGAAGGGGACTGAGCACCAGCACCAACAGCAGCACCATCAGCCCCTGCATCCACCGCCACCACACCACCCACATCAGCCCCTGCATCCACCGCCACCACCAACACCTCGTCCGGGTCTGCTGTGGCTGCTGGCACGGCTAGTACGCCCTGCCTGTGAGGAGGGGGAGAATGGGGATGTGAAAAGAACAAAGAGAGCCATCAACAGCAGGCCCCTTGCATCCACCGCCACCACCAACACCTCGTCCGGGTCTGCTGTGGCTGCTGGTACAGCGAGCACGCCTTGCCTATAAATGGGGGAGAGGAGACATGGGGCATAGGAGCATAGGTGAACAAGGGGAATGAGCATCCACCGCCACCACCAACACCTCGTCAGGATCTGCCGTGGCTGCTGGGACGGCAAGCACGCCTTGCCTGCAAGAGGGGAGAGGAGGGGAAGAAGAGACATGCGGCATAGGCGCATGGGTGAACAAGGGGAATGAGCATCCACCGCCACCAGCAGCACCTCGTCAAGATCTGCTGTTGCTGCTGGGACTGCAAGCACGCCCTGCCTGTAGAGAAGGGAGGGGAGGAAGGGGTGAAAGGAGGAGCAATGGGGAACAGGAAGAGAAATTATTGCATCCCACGGACACTGTAGCTGCCGCCCAGGCATGCAGGGAAGCATTGACAGAATCAATAACTCACCTGTTGAGATTGAAGAGCACAGAGCCTGGATCCGGCATCTGAGGTGTATTTTGAGGCGCCTCAAAATACACCTCAGAGCACAGAGCCTCAAAATACACCTCAGAGCACAGAGCCTCAAAATACACCTCAGAGCACAGAGCCTCAAAATACACCTCAGAGCACAGAGCCTCAAAATACACCTCAGAGCGCAGAGCCTCAAAATACACCTCAGAGCACAGAGCCTCAAAATACACCTCAGAGCACAGAGCCTCAAAATACACCTCAGAGCACAGAGCCTCAAAATACACCTCAGAGCACAGAGCCTCAAAATACACCTCAGAGCACAGAGCCTCAAAATACACCTCAGAGCCCAGAGCCTCAAAATACACCTCAGAGCACAGAGCCTCAAAATACAACTCAGAGCACAGAGCCTCAAAATACACCTCAGAGCACAGAGCCTCAAAATACACCTCAGAGCACAGAGCCTCAAAATACACCTCAGAGCACAGAGCCTCAAAATACACCTCAGAGCACAGAGCCTCAAAATACACCTCAGAGCACAGAGCCTCAAAATACACCTCAGAGCACAGAGCCTCAAAATACACCTCAGAGCACAGAGCCTCAAAATACACCTCAGAGCCCAGAGCCTCAAAATACACCTCAGAGCACAGAGCCTCAAAATACACCTCAGAGCACAGAGCCTCAAAATACACCTCAGAGCACAGAGCCTCAAAATACACCTCAGAGCACAGAGCCTCAAAATACACCTCAGAGCACAGAGCCTCAAAATACACCTCAGAGCACAGAGCCTCAAAATACACCTCAGAGCACAGAGCCTCAAAATACACCTCAGAGCACAGAGCCTCAAAATACACCTCAGAGCACAGAGCCTCAAAATACACCTCAGAGCACAGAGCCTCAAAATACACCTCAGAGCACAGAGCCTCAAAATACACCTCAGAGCACAGAGCCTCAAAATACACCTCAGAGCACAGAGCCTCAAAATACACCTCAGAGCACAGAGCCTCAAAATACACCTCAGAGCACAGAGCCTCAAAATACACCTCAGAGCACAGAGCCTCAAAATACACCTCAGAGCACAGAGCCTCAAAATACACCTCAGAGCACAGAGCCTCAAAATACACCTCAGAGCACAGAGCCTCAAAATACACCTCAGAGCACAGAGCCTCAAAATACACCTCAGAGCACAGAGCCTCAAAATACACCTCAGAGCACAGAGCCTCAAAATACACCTCAGAGCACAGAGCCTCAAAATACACCTCAGAGCACAGAGCCTCAAAATACACCTCAGAGCACAGAGCCTCAAAATACACCTCAGAGCACAGAGCCTCAAAATACACCTCAGAGCACAGAGCCTCAAAATACACCTCAGAGCACAGAGCCTCAAAATACACCTCAGAGCACAGAGCCTCAAAATACACCTCAGAGCACAGAGCCTCAAAATACACCTCAGAGCACAGAGCCTCAAAATACACCTCAGCGCCGCCCGTACCACACCACATCCCACCAGTACTGAAATGCTGCCCTGGCAGGCATATTGTGAAACCTTGACAAAATCAATGTCTCACCTCTTGAAGTTGAAGAGCACAGAGCCCGGATCAGCCATCTTGGCGCCGCCCTTGCGCTACGCACCATGTCCCACCGACAATGTTGCTATTGTAGCTACCAGGTAGGCATATAGTGGAACCTTGATGGAATCATTGACAGAATTAGTGACTCACATCTTGAAGTTGAAGAGCACAGAGCCCGGATCAGCCATCTTGGCGCCGCCCTTGCGTTTCGCACCACGTCTCGCACTGTAGCTGTTTTAGGTGCCAGTTAGGCAGATGGTAAAACCATACCTTGACAGAATCAGTGACTCACCTCTTGAAGTTGAAGAGCACAGAGCCAAGATCAGCCATCGTGGCGCCTCCTTTCCTCATCACACCGCACCGACATTGTAGCTGCCGCACCACATCGCACCACATCCCAATTCTAAAATCTCGAGAGCGCACCTCTTGAAGTTGAAGAGCACAGAGCCCGGATCGGCCATCTTGGCGCCTCCCTTGCGCACCACGTCGCGCACTGTAGCTGCCGCCCGGGCGTACTGCTAACCTAGAAAATGCCTCAGCATACGCCCGGGCGCTCATGGAAAAATCCCATTATCAATTTAAAGAACACACCTAGTTTTGACAGGATTAATACCTCGCCTCCTGGAAGAAAACCCTACATTGGAATCAAGAGCGCACCTCTTGAAGTTGAAAAGAACAGAGCCCGGATCGGCCATTTTGGCGCCGCCCTTTCTCACGACGTCTCGCACTGTAGCTGCCGCCCGGGCGTTGTTGTCTGTTAGCACGTCCACCACTATGCCGACCCCTCCGAGCCCGTAGATCTGCCCAAGTTGTTATATCGAGTACAAAGTGTAGGAAACAAGTGTAGGGCAATAAGTGGGAAGCCCTGTCCGTTAGCACGTCCACCACTATGCCAACTCCTCCAATTCTGTAAATCTGCATCAGGTTCTTCTGTCGAGTAGTGGGTGTAGGTGAAAAGAAAACGCGTGTAGGATGAGATGGTAACCACGTCAGCCGTGCACAAATAAAGAGGGTACATGAGAACTTTACTCTGACAAGGAAGGAACCCACAGATTCAGCCCTCCTTCATCACATCACGCCATGCCACGACATGCCGCAGGACCGCACTGCACCTCACCTCACCTCACCTCACCTCACCTCACCTCACCTCGCCTCACCTCTCCTCACCTCATGTCACCTCATCGCGCCTCGCCTCACCTCTCCTCACCTCACCTCGCCTCACCTCACCTTACATTCCATCTCATCACACCACATCACACCACACCGCACCGCACACACATATACATAGATACATATGCACGCACACACAAGCGCGCGCACAAACACACACACACCTCATACACAATTTCTGTGAAATCCGCCTGTCCCTTCTCCGTCGTGTGTTTGATGTTCCGATCAATCACCTCTTTGGGCACTCCCCCTTGCTTCTTCTCCGTTACCCCTCCCATCGGAATCACACACTAGCACAGTCCCAGACACACTCACGCACTCCCACGCACCTCATACACAATCTCTGTGAAATCCGCCCGTCCCTTCTCCATCGCCCGTTTGATGTTCCGATCAATCACATCCCATTAGAATCAGGCACTAATACACACACTCCGCATCCCACACGCACCTCATATACAATCTCAGTAAAATCCGCCTGTCCCTTCTCCGTCGCGCGTTTGATGTTCCGATCAATCACATCCCATTAGAATCAGACACTGATACACACACTCCGCATTCCACACGCACCTCATACACAATCTCAGTGAAATGAAATCCGCCTGTCCCTTCTCCGTCGCGCGTTTGATGTTCCGATCAATCACATCCCATTAGAATCAGACACTGATACACACACTCCGCGTTCCACACGCACCTCATACACAATCTCTGTAAAATCCGCCTGTCCCTTCTCCGACGCACGTTTGATGTTCCGATCAATCACATCTTTGGGCACTCCCCCTTGCTTCGCTGCCACCAGCAGCGCCGCCAGCATCGAGTTGCTGGCTGGGCTGGGGCCAGCTGCTTTGACTCTGTGTGAGGAGAGGGAAAGGGTGAGGAGAGAAGGAGGGGCTGTTGCTGGAGGGCCACAATCTATAATCTCTTTGGGCACTCCCCCTTGCTTCGCCGCCACCAGCAGCGCTGCCAGCATCGAGTTGCTGGCTGGGCTGGGGCCGGCTGCTTTAACACTGATAGCGGAGAGAGGAAGGGTATGGAGGGGGGGAGGGGCTGTTGCTGGAGGGCCACAATCTATAATCTCTTTGGGCACTCCCCCTTGCTTCGCCGCCACCAGCAGCGCTGCCAGCGCTGAGTTGCTGGCTGGGCTGGGACCAGCTGCTTTGACTCTGGGAGGGAAGGGAGGGCAAGTGGGAGAAGGGGGGGTGTTGTTGCAAGCAGATCAGACCTGCCACCAGCAGTGCCGCCAGCGCTGAGTTGCTTGCTGGGCTGGGGCCGGCTGCTTTGACTCTGTAAGGGGAAGGGGAGGGGGAGGAGGAGGGGGAGGGGCGGGTGGGGGGAAGTGTCAGGGGGAGGGGCCTAAAAGCAGCGCTGCCAGCGCTGAGTTGCTTGCAGGGCTGGGGCCCGCTGCTTTGACTCTGGGAGGGAACAGGGGAGGGGAGGGTGAGGAAGGGGAGGGCAAGGGGGAGTGGGGGGAGAGGGTTGTGAGCAGTTCTGCCAGCATTGAGTTGCTCGCAGGGCTGGGGCCCGCTGCTTTGACTCTGGGAGAGGTGGGGGGGGGGGGGGGGGCGAATGGAAGAGTAAAGTTGAGGGTCCTTGGTGAGAGGGGTGTTGCTGTTGGGATTCGATCAATCACCTCTTTGGGCTCTCCCCCTTGCTTGGCTGCCACCAGCAGCGCCGCCAGCGCTGAGTTGCTTGCAGGGCTGGGGCCAGCTGCTTTGACACTGGGAGGGGAGGGGAGAGGGAGGGGAAAGGGAACAGGAGGATGACACGGGGATCAGAGCTGCCACCAGCAGTGCCGCCAGCATTGAGCTGCTCGCAGGGCTGGGGCCGGCTGCTTTGACTCTGGGAGGGGAGGGTAAGGGGAAGGGCAGCAGAAGGGGAAGGTACATGGGAGCGTGAGGAGGATGGTGCTGGTGGGTTGCAGTCAAACGCCTCTTTGGGCACTCCCCCTTGGAACGGAGGATGGGATGTTGGGAGGGGGAGGGGAGAGTGAGGAGGATGGTGCTGGTGGGTTCCAATCAATCACCTCTTTGGGCACGCACTCCCCCTCGCTTCGCCGCCACCAGCAGCGCTGCCAGTGCTGAGTTGCTGGCAGGGCTGGGACCGGCTGCTTTGACTCTGGGAGGGAAAGGGAGGGGAAGGGGAGGGAGGTGAAGAGGGTGAGGGAGGGGCAACGGAACAGGAGGGTACATGGGAGCGTGAAGGGGATGCTGATAGTCTGTTCCGATCAATCACCTCTTTGGGCACTCCCCCTTGCTTCGCCGCCACCAGCAGCGCCGCCAGTGCTGAGTTGCTGGCAGGGCTGGGACCGGCAGCCTTGACACTGGCAGGGGAGGGTAAGGGGAAGGGCAGCAGAAGAGGGGGTGTTGGTGGCGTGTGTGTGTATTAATCAATCACATCTTTGGGCACTCCCCCTTGCTTGGCTGCCACCAGCAGCGCTGCCAGCATTGAGTTGCTTCCCGGGCTGGGACCAGCTGCCTTGACACTGGCAGGGGAGAGGGAGGGGAAGGGGGGTGTTGGTGTGTGGATTTTCATCAGTCACATCTCTGGGCACTCAGCCTTGCTTCGCCGCCACCAGCAGTGCCGCTAGCATTGAGTTGCTGGCCGGGCTGGGGCCGGCTGCCTTGACTCTGGGAGAGTGGGGAGGGGGAACGACAGCGGAAGGGGAGGGTACATGGGACCGTGAGGGGGGTATTGATGACCTCCTTGGGTTACAATCAGTCACCTCTTTGGGCACTCCCCCTTGCTTCGCCGCCACCAGCAGTGCTGCCAGCATCGAGTTGCTTGCAGGGCTGGGACCGGCTGCTTTGACTCTGGGAGGGAAGGGAGGGCAAGTGGGAGAAGGGGGGGTGTTGTTGTAAGCAGATCAGAGCTGCCACCAGCAGTGCTGCCTGTGCTGAGTTGCTGGCAGGGCTCGGACCGGCTGCTTTGACTCTGGGAGGGGGAGAGGGAGGGGAAGGGGGAGAGTAAAGGGGAGGGTGAGGGGAAAGGGGAGGGTGAGGGGAAAGGGGAGGGTGCGGGGAAAAAGGATGGAAGGAAAGGGGAGGGTGAGGGGGTTGCTGGTAGTCTGTTCCGATCAACCACTCCCTTAGGCACTCCTCCTTGCTTGGCCGCCACCAGCAGCGCTGCCAGCATCGAGTTGCTCACAGGGCTGGGACCAGCTGCTTTCACACCGTGTGAGGGGGGCGTCACGTCAGGGTGAAGGGAAGGGTGAGGGGGTTAGTAAGCAGCAAAACTTGCATCCCAGCAGATTCCAAACAGCCAGCAGTGCTGCCAGCGCTGAGTTGCTGGCCGGGCTGGGGCCGGCTGGTTTGACTCTGGGAGGGTGAAGGGGGAGGGGAGTGTGGGCGGAAGGGTCAAGGGGAGGGGGCTGAAAGCAGAGCTTCTTTCAGAGTTGCTGACACGGCTGCGTTCAGCTGCTTTGACTCTGTGAGGGAAATAGGGAGGCAGGGTGGGTGGAGGGTTAGGGGGAGGGGGCTGAACCGAAAGACTTGCATGACAACGTAATGAAACTACCTAGTAAAAAAGCTGAGAGCGATTGTTTCCTGGATATTATCAACTTGTTCTCTTAGTTCTGGGACAGGAGTCGCATTTAGACAAGATGAATCGGGAGCACTCACACGGATATGATTTGATGTGCACTCACGCAGATACGATCCGATCTGCACTTACACGGATATGATATGATGTGCACTCACGCAGATACGATCCGATCTGCACTCACACGGATATGATATGATGTGCACTCACGCAGATACAATCCAATCTGCACTCACACGGATATGATCTGATGTGCACTCACGCAGATACGATCCGATCTGCACTCACGCGGATATGATCTGCTTGCCGAATCTGCCGTACAGTTTCCAGTGAGTGAGTCCTATGCGAGCTTTGAGGCGCCTCAAAAACTCGCCTTAATACATGAGAACAAGCAACCAGCTCTATTTGTATGACTTTTGAGAATTCTCAAAAACCAGCACAGAGAACCTGCTGCACTCACGCGGATATGATCTGCTTTCCAAATTTGCCGTACAGCTTTGACTTGCGCGCATCCTGTGCGTTCTGCTCTCAGCAAAAGGGAATGGGAACGGGCCGGAGGGGGAAGCGAATGGGGCGGAAGGGGCGAAGAGTTGGGATGGGGGAGGGTAACTTAGAAACGTCTTGTTTGTGTGCTGTGTGTTCTGAGTCGAGTTGAATTAACCGCACAGCTTCAACTTCCGCTCATCCTGTGTATTCTTCTCTCCACCCAACACTTATATTTTTCGGGTGCGAAGTGGGAATGGGATGTGAAGGGGGCGAGAGGGGAGCTGAGAAAAAATAAGCACTACATTCCGATTGTTATATCCAAGCCCTAAATTGCCAAACCCTTACTCCTCCAAGGGTCATCTCAAAACCCCCACCAATCATGCAGGATCAATCAACTTTGAGAATTCTTAAAGGAAACCTAAAACCCAGAAGAGGTCAAGTCAAACAACCCAAGACCATCAACCCTGATGCTAAAACCCTGAACCCTGGAACCAAGAGAATTCATACCAGAAACCTAGAAACCCCAAGATCTAAACCTGAGATTTTCATTACCATATAAGCCCCTTAGCCCCTTGACTAGACCCTTCAATCCCAATTCCTCAGTTTCCACAATCCCCTTTGCTACTTTCCCCTCAGAGCCTTTCCGCAGCCCTCATTGCTCACCTTATTGCCCCACTTCTAGCATCCCTCTCCGTTCAACACCCCTCTCCGTTCAACACCCCTCTCCGTTCAACACCCCTCTCCGTTCAACACCCCTACCCCTCCCCTGCCCCCCCTTCTCCTCATTCCCCCCGTCGCCCCCAATCCATACTCATCCACTCCCAGTTTCTTCCCCCCTTCCCCAGCTCACTTCTTCCCCCTCCTGTTTCTCAGGTCAGGACGGGTCGAAAAAGTACTTACTCACGACTATACCCTACCCAACCAATCTAACGCCAAAACGGACCGATCTAGATCGTACAAGCCTTATTCAACCGGATTCGGACGTACTCTCCTCACACGCCGTTGCATAGATCCCCGCATTCCCAGCCTCTAATCACGCACCAGACCTCCACACGTTCCAGTATTCGGCCTGACTCAAAAAACACCCATCTCCGAACCCCCCATTCCCCATTCCGCACTTCCCGCTGCAACTCACCAGCCCTCCGAGGGCACATTGTGCACGCATTCCCCTTCCCTTTCCCCCATCTGCCGCAACCCCTCTGGTCCCCCAACTCCCGCCGCTACTGACCGACCCTCCGCACCTTGCGCGTCGCGATTTTCGACGATCGCCGTCCCATGCACACCGGCGAAACCACCTGGAACCTTCGGAGCCCCACGCCTCTGGATAACGCCGGAATTTCGGCGCCATCTGCGCCACGTGTCAAGCTCTCCGCGGAAAACGCGCCGCTTCTATTAAACGATAAGGCGTCACTGCGGGCTTGTCGCCTAATGGGGCCTCCGACATCGCTAGCAAAACGGCTGACGTCAGTCCTGCCGGATGCGTCGCTCGCGCTGACGTCAGCGGGGGGGAGCGCAGCGGCAGCGGCGCAGCGACATGCTGACGTCAGAAAGCCCACCGATGTCGACATTGTACGTGGAGGAAAATAATGGGTTGGGCGGCGCGAAGGTGAAGAATACTCTCTGCTACTAACGGAACATGCAGCTTTTGCTTGGAAGATGGCCCACACACTGCAGGGAGAAAGATATTGGCGTGGTACACGTGGCGCGACGACGGATGTGGATGACTTGGCTGCTGCGGCGATTGCGGGAAGAAATAGGGCGTGCTTTAGAAGCATCACGAACGAAGACCACGGATTGCCGAAAATGGAAACATGGTCGTGTGTGTGTTGCAAAAAACCAAATACTGAACATGATTGTCGGCCATAACGCGTCCTAAGGGCGCGTAACCATTTTGCATTTTTCGATTTTGACGGACAGTCCGTTTAAATCGAAGCGGACGGTCCATCTGTCGAGAACGGGACCGTCCGATTGATTTTTTTGCAACTTCGGACTGTCCGAAGGCAGTTGTGAAACTTTTTTCCCTAATGTACAGTTTCACGATTACTGTACAAGCGTTACTCGATTCGCTCTTGCTCGCAGAACTCGTTATCGAATCGTTTTTGTTTAAATGTCAATTAGCGAAGTAACATCGAATGTTTTTGTTGGTGGACGAGGTGACTCGATAAATTCTACATCGCGCGCCAATCGTGTGCAAGGGCTGTCGGACAGTCCGCTTGGGATTCGGACAGTCCACGGTTCAGATTTCGGACCGTTGCAAATGGGAAAAAGTGTCACGACAGTCCGTCTCGTTGGCGATGTCGCCAACACCTTCGCGAACAAACTTACGACACTGAACGAAATACGTAACCTCTTCGCCACCCGGACGGTCCACGGTTCGAACCGTTCGGTGCAAAATGGTTACGCGCCCTATACAGCATAACGAGCTACGGACGTGCTCAGCAGGATTCGAACCTGCGCGGGCAGAGCCCAACAGATTTCTAGTCTGTCCCGATAACCACTCCGGCATGAGCACACATTTTAATATTCCTTTAATATTAAAACACAAGCACCGCATTTCCAAACCACTATCTCCCTTGTCAATAAGCTACTCCTTTCCTCCATCAGCCATGGCCGTAGCAATGGCCGCTTCGGGTAGTCTGGCGCGTCTATCTGTGCAGGTTAGCGCCAATAGCAATCTCAAGAGCATCTCTTGCTCCAGAATTACCAGCCATGCCGCCCCGTTCCGCCTATCGGTTCGTAACAGTAGCATCAGGTCTCACGAACCAATTGCGTGTTCCAAGCTCGAATCGCCTTCCGAAGCTTCTGTTGTTTCGAAGCCGCCGACGTCTCTAGCAGCCCAACCTTCGCAACGCGCCGTCATTCCGCAGGTCGCGGCAGCTGAACGCGACTCGTCCAACTTCTTCCTCTCCGTACTAGCGCTTTCGCTCGGCACCTCCGCTTTAATCACATTCGCCGGCGCTGGCCCCGCCGAAGCCGCCGATGCAGCCGCCGCGACCGTAGCCGCCACCGGCGGAAGCGGAAGCGGAGCCGATTTACCCGCGTCGCTTCTCTCAGCCGCGTCGCAGCTTGACCTACATTCTTCATTAGGGTTAGGGTCCGCTGCGACGCTCGGTTTCATCCCCACTGGTCCCCTAATGAGCGAATTTTGGGACAACGTCGGCCGATTCGTGATCTACTTTTTCACGGTTTTTACGGGAGGGCTTTACAGTCTCGTAAGGCCGATCGTGGAGCTTTTTAAGAGGCCGACGACGGCAATTCTGGTGGTGCTGGTGCTGGGTGGAGGGTTTTACGTCACTTATCTCACTCTGTCCGCGATGCTCGGATTGGACGGCTCAGATCTTCCGCTTGATGGCTACTGAAGGGTTTGGCTGGAAGAGAGGGGTAGGGTGAAGAGAGCAGGATGTTTTGGTTTTCCCTGGCAGTGTAAATGTTGTCGTTTAGCGAAAGTAAGTCCATGTGTCCACCAATTTTCGTGCCGCTTCTTACTGTTACCATGTTACAACGTCTGGGTTTTGCGCCTGAATTTTATGCTCTGTGTTCTTCAGCTCTAAGCCCTTTCAGAGTGCGAATGCAGCAGTGACCTGCCTCCAGTCTTTATCTATACCATGAACATGCACATGGGCATGCACCTGAGCACGCACCTGAAGATGCACCTGAGCATGCACCTTAAAGTGGAGAATGGCTCTCCCACTCCTCTTTCTCTCGCTCACACTCCATCTTCCTCTCCATCCGCGTTCCCTCCTCTTGCCGCATCCCCTTTCGAGTCGACTCAAAACGAGGAGACTATTGAGGCGCTTCAAAAGTCACCTCTCACTCCGTCTCCCTCCAGCCCCGTTCCCTCCCCCCCCCTCGTTGACTTTTGAGTCGACTCAAAAGTCACCTCTCACTCCATCTCCCTCCAGCTCCGTTCCCTCCCCTCCCCTCGTGCATTGAGGTGATTTTTGAGGCGCCTAAAAAATCAGTCTCACTCCATCTCCCTTTCCAGCCCCGTTCCCCCTTCCCCTTCCGTCCCCATTCCCTTCGCCTAAACCCATTCCCTCCCCTCGCCCCATCACGGTCCATCCAATACAGTCCCCATTCCCTTCCATCCCTATTCCCTTTTCCTAAACCCGCTCCCTTCCCTCACTTCATTCCCTTCCATCCCCATTCCCTCCCCACACCCCATCCCCTTCCATCCCCATTCCCGTCTCCTAAACCCATTCCCTTCCTTCACCCCATCCCCATTCCCTTACACTAATCCCATTCCCTCCCCTCGACCATTTCCTTCCATCCCCATTCTTGTCCCATAAACCCATTGCCTCCGCTCGCCCCATCCCCTTCCATCCCACTCCCTTTCCCTAAACCCATTACCTCCCCTCACCCTGTTTCCCTCGCTTCCCCCATCCCCTTCCTTTGAACCATACACGTTTCTCGCCCCATTCCCTTCTTTCTCCCAGTTGCCTTTCCGTGCCCCATCCCCTTCCCTCACCCCATCCCTTCCCTCACCCCATCCCTTCCCTCAACCCATTCCCTTCTCTTGCCCCATCCCCTTCCCTCACCCCATCCCCTTCCCTCACCCCATCCCTTCCCTCACCCCATCCCTTCCCTCAACCCATTCCCTTCCCTCAACCCATTCCCTTCCCTCACTCCATCCCTTCCCTCAACTCATTTCCTTCCCTCGCCCCATCCCCTTCCCTCACTCCATCCCCTTCCCTCACTCCATCCCCTTCCCTCATCCCATCCCGTTCCCTTAATCCATCCCCTTCCCTCATCCCATTCCCGTCCTTCACCCCAATCCCTTCCCTCACCCCATTTCCTCCCTCAACCCATTTTCCCTCCCTCTACCCATTCTCTTCCCTCACCCCATTCCCTTCCCTCACCCCATTCCCTTCCCTCACCCCATTCCCTTCCCTCACCCCATTCCCTTCCCTCACCCGATCCCTTCCCTCACCCCATTCCCTTCCCTTACCCCATCCCTTCCCTCACCCCATCCCTTCCCTCACCCCATTCCCTTCCCTCACCCCATCCCTACCCTCCCCCCATCCCGTTCCCTCGCCCTATTCCCTTCCCTCATCCCATTCCCTTCCGTCACCCCATCCATTCCCTCACCCCATCCCTTCCCTCACCCCATTCCCTTCCCTCACCCCATCCCTTCCCTCACCACATCCCGTTCCCTCGCCCCATTCCCTTCCCTCATCCCATTCCCTTCCGTCACCCCATCCCTTCCGTCACCCCATCCCTTCCCTCACCCCATCCCTTCCCTCACCCCATCCCTTCCCTCACCCCATTCCCTTCCTTCGCCACGTCCCCTTCTCTCAACCCATCCCTCTTTTACCCCATTCCCTTCCCTTGCCTCACTCTCTTTCCTTGGTCCAATCCCTTCCCCTACCCCATTCCCATTCCTCATAAGCTGTCTCAAACATCTCTGTACCTGAGCAAGTTGTTGCAATAGAACTGAACAATAAAGAATGTGAGTTGTATTATTGTATATCAAAGACGGAACATTTACGGTAGATGTGGAAACATGAATACTGTACCACCATGCTTTCTTTTATCCTCAACCCTTCTCTCGCACCTTGTCTACCTCTATCCTCGTGCGGGGCGGTACTGTGCTCTCCTTTCCACTAAAACATCCTTTCCTGAAACAAGTAATTCCGAACTGAATTAATACGGTAGGGTGTGCTGTACGTGACAGTTGAACGCGAACGTGCTAGCAGCAGTACCGGTACAGCTGTAGCACTGTGCATCTACAGCCATTGATTCAAGCAAGGTGAGCTTGGCGTCATATTGGCATTAGGACCACACATGTACCTTCACAACAAGCATTTCTAACAAGCAAGCAAACGCTCCAGGGTACCGTACCGTGCATTGTTGGTAACGTACTACATGTGTGAACATGTGTGTTGGGGTGGAGGGGTGTCAGGGGAGGGACGGATCGTGATGGGGGGGTGGACTGATAATCAGCCTGTCAGTGAAGTGACAACACCGTCCCTGTCTGGGATATACAGACAAATTATATTCCAGCGAAGGCTTGTAATAAAAAAAGAAAAGACTGTACCACTGTATTAGACACAAACTCACTACACACACAAGGCAATTCCGAGCACAGCCAGCGATACACCTCCTAACGCCAACGCTGGCTGTATTTTTTCCCCGAACGCATAGCCTGCTGCTGCGTTGAATGCAAAGGTGGCGCCGTTGCTGACCGGCACTGCCACAGAGACGTGCACATCCCTCAGCACCAGGAAGAAGAGGACTGAACCGCACAGGTTGAGGCAGAGAGGCACGTAGTACTGTGGGGGTTGAAAGGGGGTGCGCAGGAGGGTGGATTGCGCAAAGGAAGTGAGGTTGGGGGGCTACAGAGGTTGCTGACCGGCACAGCCAGAGAGACGTGCACATCCCTCAGGGTGAGGAAGAAGTGCAACGCACAGAAGCCAAGTTGCTGCTGCTGTCAAGGGGCCAAAGGTCGCGCCGTTGCTGACCGGCACAGCCACAGAAACGTGGACATCCCTCAGCACCAGGAAGAAGAGCACTGAACCGCACAGGTTGAGGCAAAGAGGCACGTAGTACTGTTGGGGGGGTGCACAGGGGTGCAGGGGTGTGCAGAGGGATGCAGAGGTGGGTGAATCGACGAGAGGAAGCGAGGTTTGCTGACAGGCACTGCCACAGAGACATGCACATCCCTCAGCACCAGGATGAAGAGCACTGAACCGCACAGGTTGAGGCAGAGAGGCACATAGTACTGTTGGGGTGGAGGGCGGGGTACAGGTGGGTACAATTCGATGTTGGGAGTGAGTTGAGGGTGGATAGATGGGGGGAAGACGGAAGATCAAAGGAGGCAGAGATGGAAACGCGCGGAAGTCACAGTGCGGTGGTTTCTAGAGTTGAATTTTGAGTCGACTCAAGAGACAACACAGCGCGGCGGTTTCTAGACGCCAGAAGAACGATTAGATGCAAGTATAATGAAGTCGACTTCTTTATCCCTTAACATTTTCAGATTCTTTGGATATGAGAATGATCAAAAGTGTTATTATTTGGTTATGAGAATGATACGAAGTGTGGTTACTTGGTTATTTGGTTATACACTCTGGCGATCAGGAAGGCTTGAGAGAACCGAAGTGTTGCAGCAGAACGTGCAGTGCAAAAAGGGGGGTGGGATGATGGTAAAGAGGGGGGGAGGGGATGATGGTAAAGAGGGGGGGAGGGGATGATGGTAAAGAGGGGGGGGGATGATGGTAAAGAGGGGGGGGGGAGGGGATGATGGTAAAGAGGGGGGAGGGGATGATGGTAAAGAGGGGGGAGGGGATGATGGTAAAGAGGGGGGGAGGGGATGATGGTAAAGAGGGGGGGGGGATGATGGTAAAGAGGGGGGAGGGGATGATGGTAAAGAGGGGGGGAGGGGATGGTGACAAAAAGGAAGGGAAGGGGATGACGGATTTGTAACATGAGATGGGCTGGAAGGGTAGAGGAGCGAGGGGAGCGGCGAGGGGGAGAGGAAGGGAAAAGAGGAAGGGAAGGAGTGGGGAGTCAAGAAAGGAGGGAGGGACAGGGCAAAATGGAGAGGGGGCGAGGGTTGGACTGAGGGGAGGGTGGAGGAGGACGGAAGGGGAGAAGGGTTTTAGAAAGGATAAGTACATGAAGGGATAGGTGGCACGCAGTGATTGAAAAGGAATGGACGGCAGAGATGCAGAGCGGTGGAATGCGAGAAGCAGGAGTGCTTGATGCATGAAAAAGGAGGGAAAGAGGAACAGCAGTTAGCAGCAGAGAAGCGGGGATGTGAGTGTGAGAGTGTGCGATGGAGGGGGGACACGCACAAGACAGGGGAGGGAGGGAGAGGCAGCAGCGAGCAGCAGGAGAAGCGAGAATGTGAGTGCGAGAGTGTGCGATGGAGGGGGAACACGCACAGGACAGGAGGGAGGACGGCGGTGAGGTTTTGGACAACAGAAAAGCAGCGGAGGGGAGAGTGGCTCTGGCAAATTCCCGTGCCAGAGCGGAGAGGGTGGCTCTGTCACGTCTCACTTTTCCCAAAGTTCATTTAACCCGAGCCCGCACTTGCTGAGGCTCCTAGGACGTGACTTATGAGTCGACTCAAAAGTCACCTCGTAACAATGGCACACGACACATTCTCTGTCGCGCCTCACTTTTCCCAAAGCTCATTAAACCTGAGTCAGCACTTGCTGAGGCTCCTAGAACGTCTCTAACATCTTTCGATACCCTAGCCTCCTACCTAGTCCCTCCGTCGACCAACCTGCCAATCACGGCTAACCACGTGGACGAATCTCCTGCATCTGAAGTCCAATTTCTGAGAAAACGACATGGAAGCTTCCAGGCCGGCAGTTCTGCCGGCAGCGGCGGCGGATTCGTCCGCTTTGATGTGCCGCTTCGACATCGCGGCGCCGCGCTTAATAAGAGGATTCGTGATCCCCCAGACCGCGCCGACCAGGAGCAGCCATGCGATGTCGCGCGCTGCGACTGCGACTGCGACCATCCCTGCGACGGCGTGTTGCTGCGAATCAATGAAGGGGCCAGCTGAATCGGTGTTCGCTGTCTGCTATTATCCGCGATTCAAAATTTGAAGTCGCCGCATGCAGATTCAAAAGACAGAGCACGAAGACACAGCACGATCGAGGTGTGACAGGAGAACTTCGCGGTTCAGGCAAAAACTCTTGGGTAGTGCTGCGGTTATAAACACGACAGTAGCGAGTACAGTAAAACAGAGTGAAGCACATATTCATGATACTTTCTCATGACTTCCGAAATTAGTCCTGTGAATAAACACCATTCGCTTCTAACAAAACATTTTTACACAGCTAAATGCACAGTGCATAACAAACAAGAGGGCTGCAACATGCAAGCAACCCATCAACACGTGAGCGTAAGAAAACACGACTGTGCCAAAAACGTGTACGGTATTTGAAAAGCCAGGCCATTGTATAAAAGTGCGTGGTACCTTCCCAGCTTCTAAACCAATATTCTGGTAGCCCAGAAGAAAGAAAGAAGTGAAGGAAATTTATTTAAGCCCGAATCGCTAGTTGGAGGTATCTCCCTCTGCCCATTGTTGCACTTGTCGTTGCCGCAACCCAACACCCGCCCCACCACTAGTCTCACCACCACTAGTGGATGGAGCCTCTCCACCCCCTTGATCACCTCCCACGCCTTCCCCATTACTCCTGCTTTCCCCGTGCCTCTCATGTCTCTCGTCCCTCTCGTCCCTCTCGAGTCCCTCGTGTCTCTCGCCTCCACTACCAGGAGCATTCAGAGGTTCCACTTCACCACCAGCAGCAGCATTGCCAGCAGCACCACTTCCAGCATTGGTAGCAGCAGCAACACTTGCACTGGTGGCAGCAGCATCAGCGTGAGCATTACCAGCATCGGCATCACCAATACCAGCATGAGGAGCAGCGCCTGTGCCACCAGCAGCAGCAGCAGCAGCACCAGCATTGACAGCATCAGCATCAGCAATGGCGGCATGGGCAGCAGCAGCAGTGGTACGGAACCACCAGAGCACAGAGAGCATACCCAGCAGCAGCACCACCACTACTGTGTCCCACTCCCCCAACTCCTGCCACGCCCTGCTGCCCTTGCTGTTGTCGCTGCTGCCGCCGCCGCCGCTGCTGCTGCTGCTGCTGCTGCTGCTGCTGCTGCTGCTGCTGCTGCTGCTGCTGCTGCTGCTGCTGCTGCTGCTGCTGCTGCTGCTGCTGCTGCTGCTGCTGCTGCTGCTGCTGCTGCTGCTGCTCCCTCTGCTGCTCCTGCTACTGCCACCAGTCTCGCTCACACTGCTACTGTAGCTGTTGCCATCCTCAGGGAAAAGCAAGTTCTCCAGCTCCCCAAACACATAGTCCTCGATCTCCAACCACCACTGCGCAGCTGCTGACACAGACTGCATTGCCGCGTGACTCAGCGCCGACACGGCAGACATTGCACCGGGTGCTGATGTGGACGACGAGGTGGCATAGAGAGGGAGGAGTGGGAGGAGGAGGGAGCGAAGAGAGGAGGGGAGGAGGCGGAGGAGGGAGAGGGAGTGGAGGGCGAGGGAGACGGGGAGGGCCTCGTCGTTGTGGCAGTAGAGCAGCGCTGAGGTGAGCAGCTCGTGTGCTCGAGTCAAGTTCACCGGGACTAAGACGGTAACAGTGGTGTTGCTGCTGCTGCTGCTGCTGCTCCGTCGTACTGCCATTGGTGCTGGTGGCACTGCTGCTGCTCCACAGGACAGAGCCTGCACTGTACCCGCCAGTGCTGTTATCGAGGCCCACTATATGGAGGTATGCGAGGTGGAAAAGGGCCTCTGGCTCGTGCAGGTCTGCTGCCCGCTGCAGCAGAGACAGAGGGTCGCACATGAGGGGGTCAGAGGCAGCGGTACCGGTCTGTGCCATTGTTGAGTTCTGATCTACGGCAGGAATTGACTGGGAGGAAAGGTGTGGATCAACGGCTGGGAGTGGCTGTGCAGGATTGTGGGGATCAACTGTTGTGAGTTGTGGAGTGGGTGGGTGTGGATCAATGGACTGATTTTGATGGATGGGTGGGAGCGGCAGCAGTGAGGGCAGGTGGTGGATGAGCATGAGCAGAGCCGCATCCACCATGGCTGGTGCCGACCCGATGTGCACCGCCCTCATCACATGGTCTAACGCTAGGGCGTAGCGATCGGAGGCTGGTGGATTGGAGAGATGGGAGATATGAGAGGGGGCAACACGAGGGACGGAACATGAGCACGAGTGTGAGCATGAGCACGAGTGTGAGCGTGAGGAGAGCTGCATCCACCAAGGCTGGTGCCAACCCGATGTGCACCGCCCTCATCACATGGTCTAACGCTAGGGCGTAGCGATCGGAGGCTGGTGGAGGGGGGAAGATTGGAGAGGGGAGAATGGCAGCACGAGGGATGGAGCATGAGCACGAGTGTGAGCATGAGGAGAGCCGCATCCACCATGGCTGGTGCTGACCCGATGTGCACCGCCCTCATTGCGTGGTCCAGGGCTAAAGCATAGCGATCAAAGGCTGGTGGAAGAGAGGGAGGGAGGGGGAGCAAGGAGGAATGATTGGGAAATGAGAGCACATGAGAGAAGTGAATGGCTGGTGCCGACCCGATGTGCACCACTCTCATCATGGCATGGCATGACCCCATGGCATGGCGTCATGGCATAACCGCATGGCATGGCATCACCGCAAGGCATGGCGACAAGGTTTAAGTTGAGTGCGAATGAGTGACGGATCCACGGCATAAAATTCCGCAACCCCTACCTATCCAACCCGCTCACCCATATCACCCAGTCATCCCACCCCAACCCACCGCATCCCACCCTGCCCCACCCCACCTCACCCACCGGAGTAGTCCTGTCCGCGCATCAGCATGTGGGCAGCATTCTCTGCTGCCACTTTGCTCCCCTCTCACCCCTTTCACACGAGTATCCCTCTCACCCCTCTTCCATCCCATCCACCCTGCTCAACCCTCCTATACCACCCCACACACCTGAGTACCCCTGTGCGCGCATCAGCATTTGTGCAGCGTTCTCTGCTGCCACTTTGCTCCCCTCCTCCGCCACCATTCCGTACCGCACCAAACCGCTCCACCAGTCCCCATCCTCGTACGCTGCCGCAGCCTCCTTCAGCTCCGCCGCCCACCCGATGCGCTCCGAGACAAAAATGCCGTACAGCTTCGCCGCGCGGGAACAGTTCCGGGGAACGGTCGCAGCAGTGAAATCAGCAGCAGCAGCAGCACCGACCGCACCAGAGAAAGCAGCAGAGAAAGCGGCAGAAGCGGAAACCAGTGACCCATCTAGAATCCTAGCCAGAGTATAGGGAGCACTCCACTGCCCTGCATCCATGGCCCTCTCGAAATAACCCACGGCTGTGGTCGCATTCGCAGGCACGCCCAACCCGTCAAAGTGAATATACCCTAAGTTCGAAAGTGCGTCCGAGTCGTTTCTCTCTGCGGCTTTCAAGAAAAATTCACGTGCGAGGTTCAAGTCTTGCTTTACCCCCCATCCGTTTTGATGTAGGACCCCCAACCCATTCTGAGCAGCTGCAAGTTTGTTTCTGCCCGAAGCCGCCTGAAGGAAGTATTTCCGGGCAGCGGTGAAGTTTTTCGGAATCGCCCCGCCTGCCCCAGTCATGTGCATATAGCCGATGTTGAAGGCTGCCACGTCATCACCAGCAGCAGCAGCCAATCGGAAGTGGCGAAGAGCCTCCTGGGGGTTGCGAGGGATGCCCTGGCCGATGAGGTGGCGGAACCCCATTAGTCGAAGGGATTCCGGCACCCCCCGCTCTGCCAGGTCCTGTTCAAACTCCACCTGGTAGACAGAGAGTAAGAGAGGAGGTGAAGGGGCAGGGGTGGAGGAGGATAAATAGGTGTATGGGGTAAGAAGACAAAAAAAAGCGAAGTTTCAGTCTGGTACCCCCCTCTCAAAAAGAGAACTAAAAGAGCGAAGTTTCCGCATTCGCCTCTGCTCATACTCCTTCTGGAAGGGCAGAGAAAGGCGAGCAGGGGAGGGAAGGCGGGGCAGGGAAGAGGGGAGTAAAGGGGGGAGGGGAGCAAGGAGGGCGCGGATTTAGCATCCCCTTCTCAAACTCCACCTGGGTTGGGTCAGGCAGAGGGCGAGAGAGGAGGGGCATGGAGGAGCGGCAGGGGAAGAGCGGCAGCGGAGGAGGGGGGGGGGGGTAAGAAGGGCGTAATGGGGTGTCGGAAGGCAAAGGAAGCAATTTTTGGCACGCCCCGCTCTGCCAGGCCCTGCTCAAACTCCACCTGGGTTGGGCAGAGGGCGAAAAAGAAGAGCGGGGAGGAAAGGTATATGGGGACACTATCACCAAGGGAACAAAGAACAGCCGCATCAGGATCTGACTCACCTGCTCTGCATGGTCATCGTCGAACGCTTGCGGCTGGAACCCCCCATCACGGAACCAGTCCCTCAGACGCACAGGGTCCCTGGGCAGCTGCTGGTCTCCCCATGCCTCTGATGCTGCTGCCTTTTACCCAAGGGAAGAGACCTGAACTCAAGGCGCCTTTGGCTCACCTGCTCTGCCTGGTCATCATCAAATGCTTGAGGTTGGAACCCCCCATCGCGGAACCAGTCCCTCAGACGCACGGGGTCCCTGGGCAGCTGCTGAACGCCTGATGCTTCTGCTGCTGCTGCCAGGTCGGTTCCTGCTGTCTTCCGAGCACCAAGGAAACATACAGTCATGCCACCACTGCTCACTCACCTGCTCCGCGTGGTCATCATCAAATGCTTGAGGTTGGAACCCCCCGTCGCGGAACCAGTCCCTTAAGCGTACAGGGTCCCTGGGCAGCTGCTGGTCGCCTGATGCCACTGCTGCTGCTGACAGGTCTGCTGCTGTGCTGCGGTAGTAGGCGAGTGCTGCCTCACAGTCCGAGGGCACTCCACGGCCCTGCAATAGAGGGTGGTTGAGAGTGGTGGGAAGGGGCAGAGAAAAGGGCTTCAAAGTGGCCTCAAAGAACCGACGCTTCTGCTGCTGCTGACAGGTCTGCTGCTGTGCTGCGGTAGTAGGCGAGCGATGCCTCACAGTCAGTGGGCACCCCGCGGCCCTGCACGCAATGAGGGAGCAAGGCATGGGAGTGAAAAAGGTTATGTGGTCTCTGCCACAGCTGACAGGTCTGCTGCTGTGCTGCGGTAGTAGGCGAGTGATGCCTCACAGTCACTGGGCACCCCGCGACCCTGCATCAGAGATTTTTGAGAGCGGTGGGAAGGGGCAAGAATGAATGAGTTTAAGGTTGGCAAATGATAAATTGACGCCTCTGCTGCTGCTGACAGGTCTGCTGCTGTGCTGCGGTAATAGGCGAGTGACACCTCACAGTCAGTGGGCACTCCACGGCCCTGGAATAGACAGTGGTTGAGAGTGGTGGAAAGGGGCAAGAATGAGTTTAAGGGTGGTCTTAAACAATTAATGCCTCTGCTGCTGCTGTGCTGCGATAGTAGGTGAGCGATACCTCACAGTCAGTGGGCACCTCGCGGCCCTGCAACAGAGAGAGTGGTTGAGAGTGGTGGGAGGGGGTAAAAGAGAATGTATGAGTGGTCTGCCCCGGTAGATAGTGTCTCAGAGGGCACTCCAGCCGTGCAAGCAACGAGGCGAGCAGAGGAAAGGAATGAGTGGAGGGGTGAAGAAGAGAAGAATGAGTGAAGGGGAGACAACTTGCTCCTATCCTTGCATGCACGCACGAAGCCTGCTAATCCGCGTGTAATGAGTCGAATTTTGAGTTGACTCAAAACCCGTGCAAGCAACGAGGCGAGCAGAGGAAAGGAATGGGTGACGGGTTGAAGGGAAGAAAACTTGCTCCTATCCTTGCATGCACGCACGAAGCCTGCTAAAGTCAACGTTTGAGGTGCCTCAAGCACAGGAAGGGAATGAATGAATGATGGGCCAATCGAAGAAGGGAACACACATGGAGCACAGCTGAAGGCATGACCCCACCACTCTTGGTTCAAGTATTCTGCACTTTGCGGCTGGTAGAGGGTCTATTCAAGTGGGCTTAAATCAGAACTGCCAGTACCCTACCTGTGACACTGACTTCACGAGTGATTTTTTAGAATTCTAAAAAATTACGGCTGGCAGAGTGTCTATTTCAGTGGGCTTAAATCAGAACTGCCATTACCCTACCTGTAACACTGACTTCAGATCGACCACCGAGAGTAACTTTTGGCGGTGACGTGCATGCATGACGGATCAGCTTACAAAGAGGATGCTGACTCTGCTTGCGTCGAGAATTACACCAAGGACAATGTGTGGCTGGCTCACGTAGAGCGACCCTTTTAACTGATCAGCTTACAACGAGTACAGTGAGCACAGAGAGCACTCACATAGAGGAAGCGGCTGGCAAGGGCAGCCATGGCCTGCATAGAGCCTGTTGGCTTCATTTCTTCAACCGGAAACAAAACAGTTAATAACGAGGACAGTGGCACATGGAGCACAGAGAGCACTCACATAGAGGAAGCGGCTGGCGAGGGCAGCCATGGCCTGCATGGAGCCTATGGGCTACATCATCCATGTAACACATCAGCTTGTAAAGAGGACGGCCAGTGTATAACCAACTCACATAGAGGAAGCGGCTGGCGAGGGCAGCCATGGCCTGCATGGAACCGGTCTCTGCTGCCAGACGCAGGTAGTGCAACGCCTGGCGGGATGGCAATGCGGGAGGGCGGACGAAGGGAGGGATTGGAAGAAGTGGACAAATTGGTATCTGTCGGTGGGTTCTTCCCTGCCTGCTTGGAACCGGTCTCTGCTGCCAGACACAGGTAGTGCAGCGCCTGGCGGGATAAAAGGGGCAATTGGGTGGATAAGAGCAGGCAGAATGAGAGTTGAGTGGATGGCTTGGTGACTGCCTGCCTGCATGGAACCGGTCTCTGCTGCCAGACGCAGGTAGTGCAGCGCCCGGCGGGATAAAGAGGCAGGGGGGTGGATGAGAGGAGGAAACGGTAAGGGTTGAGTTGAGTGGAAAGAGTGGTGCCTGTTTCTGGGTTCTCCCCCCCTGCCTGCATGGAGCCGGACTCTGCTGCCAGACACAGGTAGTGCAACGCCTGGCGGGATAGGATAACGATGCAGGAGGGTGGATGAGACGAGGAAAATGAAAAGGTTGAGTTGAGTGGACGGAGTGATGTGTGTGTGTCTTTCCGTGGGTCCTCCCCCTGCCTGCATGGAGCCGGAGTCTGCTGCCAGACACAGGTAGTGCAGCGCCTGGGGGGATAAAGAGGCAGGCGGGTGGATGAGAGGAAGGGACTAGAGGAAGGGGGGTTGGGTTGGATGATTTGAGTGGAAAGTATTATGTCTGTCTGGGTTCACTGTCTCTGGGAAGAGACATGAAATGCATGCACACACTCAATCACCCTCTCACTGACACTCACTCACTCACTCACCCATTCACTCACTCAATCACTCAGGCACTCACCTACCCACTCACTCACTCACCCACTCACTCACTCAATCTCACGCACTCACCCACACACTCATTCATTCACCCACTCACTCTCTCAACCGCTCACTCACCAGTGTCTCACTCCTTGGGGTGAACCTCCCCACCAAAGCCTGTAACCGCCATCACAGCCAGCAGACAAGCCGCATCACTCGCCACCACCACCACCTCCTCCTCCTTCTCCCCCTCATTCCTGTCCTCGCCCTCACAGTCACTCACTCACCAGAGTTTCATTCCTCGGGTAAACCTCCTCCCCAGCAAATCCTGTAGCCGCCATCACAGCCAGCAGGAAAGCCGCATCACTCGCCACCACCACCTCCTCCTCACTCGCACCCTCTCATTATCACCCATCCTCATCATTGCCCCCCCTTCTCCTCACTCACACCCTCATCTTCCCTCGTCACTCAACGTTCTCCTTCAACAGTCTTCATACTCCAACAATTAAACCCTCCGGTGTGTCAAACTCACAACACACACTCACATCCCACGCTCACACCCTCACACTCACCAGAGTTTCATTCCTCGGGTAGACCTCTTCCCCTGCGAATCCTGTAGCCGCCATCACAGCCAGCAGAAAGGCAGCATCACTTGCCACCACCACCTCCTCCTCACTCGCACCCTCATTTCCCCCCCTCCCCTCGCTCTCTTCTCCACCTCCCGCTCCTCCTAATGACGCCCTCCCGTCCTGCCCCCTTCCACCGTCGCCTCTCTCTGCCCCTTCCTCCTCCTCCTCAATCTCCTCCTCACTTTCTTCCTCCTCTTCATATCCCTCATCTCCCTCATCCCTCTCATCGCCTTCATCCCCCTCATCATCTTCCTTCAGCGCTCTCAGGGCATCAGCTCGCCAGGCAGCATCTGCCTTTGCAATCCCTTGTGTAAGACTGCTCTGTTGCACTGCCCCACCCTCTGCTGTAACCCCCCCTGCCTGCACCGCCCCCTCATCATCTTCCTTCAGCGCTCTCAGGGCATCAGCTCGCCAGGCAGCATCTGCCTTTGCAATCCCTTGTGTAAGACTGCTCTGTTGCACTGCCCCACCCTCTGCTGTAACCCCCCCTGCCTGCACCGCCCCCTCATCATCTTCCTTCAGCGCTCTCAGGGCATCAGCTCGCCAGGCAGCATCTGCCTTTGCAATCCCTTGTGTAAGACTGCTCTGTTGCACTGCCCCACCCTCTGCTGTAACCCCCCCTGCCTGCACCGCCCCCTCATCATCTTCCTTCAGCGCTCTCAGGGCATCAGCTCGCCAGGCAGCATCTGCATCTGCAATCCCTTGTGTAAGACTGCTCTGTTGCACTGCCCCACCCTCTGCTGTAACCCCCCCTGCCTGCACCGCCCCCTCATCATCTTCCTTCAGCGCTCTCAGGGCATCAGCTCGCCAGGCAGCATCTGCATCTGCAATCCCTTGTGGAAAGCTGCTCTCCTGCACCGCCCCACCCTCTGCTGTAACTTTCCCCCCTTGCACTGCCCCACCTCCTGCCAAAAATCTCCCTTCCTGCATTGCTCGATCACCCGTTTCAGTAGACTCAACAGTTTCCTGTATCCGCCCTGCGTCCGCCCCTCCCCCTGCCACCGCCCCTCCTGCTTCCCCTGCTCCTCCCCCAGCCGCTACCACTGCACTTTCCCCTGCCCCTCCCCCTCCCCCGTCCACTCCCCCCTCCTGCTCCTGATGCCCCAACCCAATTGCTGGAGTCGAAGTGGAGAGTGGGGATGAGGGGGGAGCGGAGGAGGAAGGGGGAGGCGGAGGGGTGGTGCTGGAGGGGAAGGGGAAGAAGGGCGCGGGGGGGAGCGGCGGCAGGAGGGCAGCCATGTGCTGCAACTGCTCCAAGGCTGCTGCCACATTGCGCTTGGCCTTGCGGGCGAACTGGGAGAGAGGGGGGTGGGGACGGGGATGGGGGAACGGCGGGGCAGGAGGGCATGTGACTATGTGATTCAACTGCTGCAGGGCTGCTGACACGTTGCGCTTTGCCTTGCGGGCAAACTGGGAGGAGGAGGGTGGGGCAATTTGGAAGGGGAGGGGGGATCATGGGATAATGGAGGATGTGCTTCAACTGCTGAATACCGTTTATATGTCACATAACATAACCATATTTATCACACACACACAATCTACCAAGTAAAGCACGCTATGATTCAAAACCGACCAGCACGCATGCTAGTAATATAAAACTAGAAACATTTGACCAGCTGCTGGCATGGGCAAATGACCCGACCCGGCCCGACCCGTCCCGTCTAGGGCGACCCGTTACCAAAACGGGTCGGGACGGGTCGGGTCGGCGGGTCGGGTTTGACTCTGTTTTGATGACCCGACCCGCCCCGTAGGCACGGGTATTTGTGACCCGTACCCGGGTCGGTTACACCACGGGTCGGGACGGGTCGGGTCAAAACTTGCTACATAGCAGCAAGGTATGGGTGTTAAGTTTGAATTGCTTATGCGGCGATCGCGATCGCGCGTATGCGGGGAACCGATCGCGCGTATGCGGGGAACCGATCGCGCGTATGCGGGGAACCGATCGCGCATAGGCGGGGCCGCGATCGCGCGTATGCAGGGCCGCGATCGCGCTGTGCAAATGCTCGCGATCCCGCCAATGCGTGACGGCGAGCGCGCTGCTGCGCTCCTGGTCGTGCGACGCTGCGAAATGGCGGGAGCGCCTATGCCTAACCTGACTCAGAAGTATATAATAGTGTTAACATTGAGTTCAAGGTTCTAAGAGGCTTGGTAGGCTAGAGACTGAATCTGAATGTCGAGGGGGAAACAAAACATAAGAAACCAACTGACGTTCTCTCCCTCTACAAATTGTACCCTAATCAGATCACGGGTCGGGTAACCCTATCATTTGACTAGGTACGCGACCCGGACGGGACGGGTCAACCCGACCCGGCGGGTCGCTAATACCCGTCTAAAAATCACGTAGACGGGTCACGGGTCGACCCGACCCGTCCGGGTATACCCGACCCGACCCGGACGGGTCGACATGCTCGGCATGACTGACCCGACCCGCCCAAAAGGGCGGGTCGGGTCGGGTAACCCGACCCGTCCGGGTCAATTGCCCATGCCCAGCATGCATAGACAGTACACATACACACGCCACTCACCAAAATATCCACGCCACTCACTAGTATATCCACGTCACTCACCAACACATCCACGTCACTCACCAGCATATCCACGTCACTCACCAGCATATCCACATCAATCACCAGCATATCCACGCCACTCACCAGCATATCCATGGCATCAAGCAGATCCTCATTGGTGAACCGAACAACCTTGGGATTGCCGCCGCCTGCCTGCACACTGCCACTGCCTCCCCTCCATGCATCTCCCCCTGCTGCACCTGCGCTCTCCACTGTTGCCCCAGCGCCTTCCCCTGCAGGGCTGTGGCCTTTCCTGCTCGCCCCACCAAACACCTTACTGGGGTCAGACAGATGGTGTCGCCGTCTCATGGCGCTGCCTCCACTGCTGCTGCTACTGCCGCTGCTACCGCCGCCGCTGCTGCCGCTGCTACCATCGTTGCTACCAGGTGACGCAGGCTCAGCAACAGCTGCTGCTGCTGCTGCTGCTGCTGCTGCTGATGCCGCTGCCTGCAGCTGCTGCTGCGTCGCCCCCATCTGCTGCTGTTGCCACTCCTGTCTCTGCCGTTGTAGCAGCAGCTGCCACCTCTTCTGCCCCGTCCCTTGGTTCCCCCAAAGAAGCTGCTGCTGCTTGGTATCTTTCTATACCTCTCTCTAACAACTCTCTTCTTGACACTGCTCCACGTGACTCAGCTTCAGGTGATTCTGCTCCAGGTGTTTCATCTCCAGGTGTTTTTGTTCCAGGTGTTCCTTCAGCACCAAGAACCACTGAAATGGGGGACGACGGGGACGGAGGGTTGCATCGCGAGAACAGAAATGTTGTACGGTATGGTGAAAACGCGTTTCGCATGTGGCTACGCCAGGCGAGCTCTCCGCGCCACTGGATGCCACAGAGGGGCCTCCGGAGCCAAGAACCACTGAAATGCGGGACAGGAGGAGGGATGCATTTGTGGTGGCTTTTGGGTCGACTCTAAAGTCACTCTCTCCAAGATTGGATGGCACTGAAGGGTCTGAGGAGCCAAGAACCACTGAAATGCGGGACCGGGAGGAGGGAGAAATGCATTGTGGTGGCTTTTGGTTTAGTTCGACGCGTAAGTCACTCTCTGCGACATTGGATGGCACGGAAGGGGCTGAGGAGCCAAGAACCACTGAAATGCGGGACGAGAAGGAGGGATGCGAGAACAGTGATGGGGTACAGTATGGTGAAAATGCGTTGGCATGCGGCGGGACGTGATGGAAAGAGGTGAGACGCGGTTGCGCGAAATTACATGCCAGGCGGTGAGGAGGAAAGAAAGGATGAGTGTGTATGCCAGAATGGGAAGCCAACAGCAACAGCGGAACCAAAGCTGCAAATTGAAAAACCTACGTAGTGAGGGTAGACGCATTGTCAGCCTAAAACGACAGTTTTAAAATAGTGTGAGACGAAATGTTAGGGATTGTGACCGTAATGTAGTGAGAGACGCGCGTACGCTGGAACGGTTGGGAGAGGAGAAGCATGAGCACCAGCGACCACCCGACCGTTCCCAACGACACCCTCAATCTGCCACGTTGGATCCAACTCCGAGTCAGCGTCCGCCACGTGCGCACCGACGGATCGGAGTCAAGTTGTAGCTCTCTCGAAAATGTCCGCCGCGAAAGGCGCGTGCTGCTGCTGGTGCCGCTTCGAGTGTGCGGCGCAGGATTCATCATTGCACCTTGATGACGCGCGGAGGTCTTTCGACTAAGATGATGCTGGTGAGATGATACTGATAATGGGGATATTCAGTGTAAACTACCATGAATGATCCAAATACATTCAAGTCGAACTGCGTGCGACGACTTGCGAGGCGCCTCAAAGGTTTGAGGCGCCCAAAGAAAAGCGTCTGCTGACGGTTCTTCTTGTTCTAAGTAACGCCCGTCGTATCTACAGCATGCTACGTCCTATTTGGCAGATTAGTCTCGGAATCCGGCAGCCCGAACCGCGAACGCGGGCGGATCTGATAGAAGAACAAACACGAATCGCTTAGGATCTTACTCGATACAAGCAACCTCGATAGGTTGGAAAAGGTTAAGCTACTGCAGCATGAGTATGCGGGTTCTCTTCGGTCCTGTCTGTTATGACGGAAGCTCCTTCTGCTTCGCTACCGCACCCTAAATGCTGCGCTTGACTGTGGCTATGGCTGTGGTCCTGACGGAACTCTTAGGAGACACCTCACGCGCAGATTCCTCAGATTCCACATGCCTGTTTGTTATGGACCTTTCCCTCTCCGTGAGGGAAGGATAAAATGAGATGGAGATCGGTTGGATTGAGATGCGATGGGATGAGATGGGATACGGAAACGTGTGAGCACAAGTTACAGATGGGATGGGACTGGTGTGTTCGCGAACTGCCAAGGTGATTGGCGGATAGCGGACGGCCCAGTGTGGAACTGCCCAGCGGATTCCTTTCGCAGTCTAGGAGGTTCTGGTCGGCGTCACGGGATTTCCCAACCAACATCAAGTCGGACTTCGCAAACCAACGAACTTGTTACAAGTGCTTTTCGCTCTGGGCAATTTGGTGGTCTGGAGGGTGAACGTTCGTCAACCAACCAGCAGCGATACGCCTAAGCAGATGCGGGGAATGGTTACCAGTGCGGAATGAATTTGGCGAAACGCATCGTCGTTCCTAGCGAAGTCTCTCCTTTCGCGCTTGTCCATATGTATGCGCTCGAGCCATGCGGAAAATTATGGACGATCGTAAAAAAGGAAGTGATTGTTACTTTCGCAACAGCAGCCTGACCACATTTTGGTCGTTCGGATGTAACACGCCCTAGAGCTGGAGGCCTGGCCTACTGCGTGATTGAAGCCGCCATCGTTATTTCACGCGGGCGATGTAATATGCCACCTTGCAGCCAACACCAGACAGCCATTCAAATCTTCATAGAGGCGTCGATGATCTAATCTTGTACGCGAGTTATAAAAGTATTTATTAGGGCCTTATCGGTGCGTATTTTGGGACACTTGGCGGTCCGTAATTCGCGGATTTGAAGCATACACACTCCCGATGTCACGCGTACATTAGCAAATGCTGCCCATTCCTCACACCCTCCCACCACTTCAGTTAGCTACTTGGGCAACCATATCTCGTCGCACGCGCATCCCCTCCCCGTTCCCCCCGTCGCCTTCCATTTCTGTCGCATCCTCCCCGTCGCCTTCCATCCTCGTCGCCTCTCCTCCCCGTCGCCTTTCCATTCCCCTCGCCTTTCCTCCTTCTCACCTTTCATTTCCTCCCCACCCCCTTCCATTTCTGTTGCCACTCACCCCTGTCGCCTACCCCGCCGTGTTTTCCCTCTCCTCCCCGTCGCAGCAGCACGCCGTCTGTCGCAGGGATGGTCGCCGTCGCCGTCGCAGTCGCAGTCGCAGTCACAGCTAATAACGGACATTAGAAGCCAGCAACCGCTTCTGCTGCCCCTGTCACTGATTCGCACCTGCAGCACATCGCCCGTCGCAGGGATGGTCGCAGTCGCAGTCGCAGCACGCGACATCGCATGGCTGCTCCTGGTCGGCGCGGTCTGGGGAATCACGAATCCTCTTATAAAGCGCGGCGCCGCGATGTCGAAGCGGCACATCAAAGCGGACGAATCCGCCGCCGCTGCCGGCAAAACTGCCGGCCTGGAAGCTTCCATGTCGTTTTCTCAGAAATTGGACTTCAGATGCAGGAGATTCGTCCACGTGGTTACCCGTGATTGGCAGGTCGGTCGACGGATGGAGCAGGTAGAAGGGAAAGATTCAGAGAGATGTTAGCGCATTACTTAGCTCCAGCCTTGATGCGTGTTCAAGGCATGGTGTGGGCTCGCGATGTTAATGGCGACTGGAGAGAATGAGGCCGACAAAGCTGCTTGGCAAAGAGCTGCTTGACAGAATCCAGGCATTAAGGCACTTGATGGGCTCAGCTCCCTCCTCTCCTCGCTGTCACCCCCGCCCTATGAGAATGTTTTTGAGACGTCTCAAAAACACTCTTATATCAGGGCACTTGATGGGTGCAACTCCCTCGCCATCGCCCCCGTCCCTTCTTCCTCCGTGTCCACTTCCTCTCTTTCTTTTCCAACTCCCAATTCCCCTGGTTCGTTTACCGCTCTGGCAAGGGAATCTGCCCGAGCCACCCTCTTCGCTCTGGCAAGGGAATCTGCCCGAGCCACCCTCTTCGCTCTGGCAAGGGAATCTGCCCGAGCCACCCTCTTCGCTCTGGCAAGGGAATCTGCCCGAGCCACCCTCTCCGCTCTGGCAAGGGTATCTGCCCGAGCCACCCTCTCCTTTGCTGCTTTTCTGTTGTCACAAAACCTCACTGCCCTCCTCCCTCCCTGTTCTGTGCAGGGCATGCCCCCCTCCATCCTGCACCCTCACACTCACAATCTTGCCTCTCATACTGCTGCCTGCTGTTTCTCCTTCCCTCCTGTCTCATGCATCAGGCACTCCTGCTTCATGCATTCCACCGCTCTGAATCTCTCCCGTGCTTCCATCCATTCTTTTGCAGCACCGCTTGCCTCCCTGCCCTGCATTCACTCATCCTTCTTCTTCCTCCTCTCGCCTTCCCTCCTCCCTAATGCTCTCCTCTCCGTCCCATCCTCGCCCCCCTCTCTCCTTTTCCCTGCCCTTCACTCTGTAGTATCACGAGTCTCTGTGCCACAATCGTTGCTTCTTCACTTAGGAGAGGCGCTGGAGGGAACATCTTTTACACCTATCAATCGTTTACATCTTTTTCCCATTCAGCAAGCGATTGATTCTCTCCCCCTCTGCAACCCCCACCTCCGTCAGTACGACACACGCCTCTGTGCCTCATCCTTTCCGGTTCACTCTCTTCGTCCTTACCCTGAGAGCCACCCACGTGTATCCCAGTCAGCAACAACCACTGCCTTCCAAGCTGGTTTTTGAGAATTCTCAAAAACCAGCTCGGTTCACTCTCTTCGTCCTTACCCTGAGAGCCACCCACGTGTATCCCAGTCAGCAACAACCACTGCCTTCCGAGCTGGTTTTTGAGAATTCTCAAAAACCAGCTCGGTTCACTCTCTTCGTCCTTACCCTGAGAGCCACCCACGTGTATCCCAGTCAGCAACAACCACTGCCTTCCGAGCTGGTTTTTGAGAATTCTCAAAAACCAGCTCGGTTCACTCTCTTCGTCCTTACCCTGAGAGCCACCCACGTGTATCCCAGTCAGCAACAACCACTGCCTTCCGAGCTGGTTTTTGAGAATTCTCCAAAACCAGCTCGGTTCACTCTCTTCGTCCTTACCCTGAGAGCCACCCACGTGTATCCCAGTCAGCAACAACCACTGCCTTCCGAGCTGGTTTTTGAGAATTCTCAAAAACCAGCTCGGTTCACTCTCTTCGTCCTTACCCTGAGAGCCACCCACGTGTATCCCAGTCAGCAACAACCACTGCCTTCCCTCTAGGCGACCCCCATCCGCACAGTGCCACACGCCTCTGTGCCTCAACCTGTGGGCTTCACTTCCTTGTTTTCTCATCCTGAGGGGCGTGCACGTCTGACCACTGCCTCCCCTCTCTCTCCCCCTTCCCTTCTCCCCTGCCAATACTAATCCCTTCGGTGCCTCAACCTGTGAAGCTCACTACTATGCTTCCTCACCCTAAGGGGCGTGCTCGTCTTTCCCAGTCAGCAACAACCACTGCCTTTCGTCTCTGCAACCCCCATCCGCACAGTGCTACACGGCTCTGTGCCTCAACCTGTCGGGTTCACTTCCTTGTTTTCTCACCCTAAGGGGCGTGCACGTCTCCCACACTCAGCACCCTTCCTTCCTAAGAGTCGCCACACCACTGCCTTCCGTCTCTGCACCCCCCATTCCCACAGTGCTACATGGCTCTCCGCCTCAACCTGTCGGGTTCACTTCCTTGCTTCCTCACCCTAAAGGGCGGGCACGTCTCTCGCAGTCAGCAACCTTCCTTCCTGAGAGTCGCCAAGCCTCTGCCTTCCGTCTCTGCACCCCCCATCCGCACATTGCCGCATGCCTCTGTGCCTCAATCAAACTATCAGCTTCACTCCCCTTGCTTCCTCACCCTAACGGGCGTGCACGTCTCTCGCAGGCAGCAATGACCACTGTCTTCCCTCTCTCCTTTCCCCTCCCATCTTCCCGCTCTCCCCTTCTCCCTCCCCTCTTCCCGCTCTCCCCTTCTCCCTCCCCCCTTCCCGCTCTCCCCTTCTCCCTCCCCCCTTCCCGCTCTCCCCTTCTCCCTCCCCCCTTCCCGCTCTCACCCACTATTACTTGCCGCTGTGCCTCAACCTCTCTCCGGTCCAGTCCTCTCTTCCTCACCCTGAGGGGCGTTCGTGTCTCTGTGGCAGTGCCAGTCAGCAACATCTACACGCATCCCCCCACCCTCAGTTCCTCCCTTCAGTCCACCCTCCTCTGCACCTCCCTTTCAACCCTCCCCAGTACTACGTGCCGCTCTGTCTCAACCTGTGCGGTTCAGTCCTCGTCTTCCTCACCCTGAGCGGCGTGCACTTCTCTCCCAGTCAGCGATAACCACTGCTTTCCTCCTTAACCCCCTCTTTCTCGCCCCTGGCAGTGCCAGTCAGCAACCTCTGCACTGCAGCCCACACCCTCAGTTCCTCACTTCAATATACCCACATCTTCACACACACCCCACCCACCCCCCTCCGCATGCCCCTCTCCCACAGTACTACGTGCCTCTCTGCCTCAACCTGTGCGGTTCAGTGCTCTTCTTCCTGGTGCTGAGGGATGTCCACGTCTCTGTGGCCGTGCCGGTCAGCAACGGTGCCACCTTTGCCTTCAACGCAGCAGCTGGCTATGCGTTTGGAGAGAAAATACAGCCAGAATTGGCACTGGGGGGTGTATCGTTGGCTGTGCTCGGAATTGCCTTGTGTGTATAGCGAGTTATTATGTACACGTGTGTCTGCACAATGCTGGGGTGCTTGCATTGAGGTTTGGAAGTAAGCAGGAAGGGCTGGAGGTTATCAGCCTGCTCGGAAGCGAGGCGGGAATCTAGCAATGAGCAAATAATGCAATGTGGTAATGGGATGGGAAGCGCATCTGCAATATACGGTCGGTTAGTAATGCTGTACACGTGTATGAAGGATGACATTGAGAAAGCAAAAGATAAATCTTTACAAGAGTACAGAGGAAATGAAACCGTACAAGGGGTGTAGAGTCTGGTTGAAATTTAGTTCATTTCAAACGGTTTACATAGTTGTTGCAAGAATTAGAGAGGAAATTTCCATCACCGCACTGAACCGTTACTTACCAGCGCGCCAAGATCTACTGCGGTTCGGTTCCGACACACGTGGTTTCCCGCCAGAAAGCAGACCAAAAATGACCAACCTCCTCGTAGGCTAGTTTTGATTCGCCGAGAATGTCTGCCGGAATTGTCTGGGAGTTGGTGGGTGGGGAGGGTCTCCAGCAGGGCCTAAGTTATCAGGGCAATTACCCTGTTTTGACTGAAATTATAGGGTGTTTTTTCTAGGAGCCCTGATTTTCACAAGGTTTTTTCCGGACCAGCCCGTAAAACTGAAGGGTGATTTTTGAGTCAGCTCGGATCTCTCCGGGGAGTTCTCAAGGGGACCCGTATAATTTTAGCAGACATGTTCTCCCCGACCTGCCTTGCATTCCTCTCGGTCTCCCTCTAAACACACGTTGGGCCAATTTTAGTGAATTTCCTAACCACTCTCTCCTTGTTGGCCTCCATGTGTCTGATTGCCCCGTTCTACGTCGACATGGCTTAGAAGGCCAATAAGGAGAGAGTGTCTGATTGCCCTGTTCTCCCGATGTACTCTTCCTCATCGTATTTTTTTCTAAGTCTACAAAAAGTATCTCGCTCACCCCTCCAGAGCCACTCCATCTCCAATCTCCCCAGCCCTCGCGCAACCCACTGTGAGTTTCCCGCGAAATTCTGGTAATGCATGTTTTCAGGCCTTTTCTGGCTCGAACCCGGATTCGTCAAGGTTTTTTTCCCGCTGGCTCGGATTTTACAGGGTCTTTTTCACAGGGGCCCGGATCGTCCGAGCTAGCAAAAATCCTAGCAATAGCCCTGGTCTCCAGCCCGCCACGCCACCATATTTATACTGTACATGACTCTCTTATGTCGGGAGTCGGGAGTGCAGCTACCTCATTCTTTCATTTGTTCGCAATTAATCGCATACCGTGACGCTTTGTGTATACTGTTTCCGGTAGCGGTAGGTACGCAACAGCCCATCCACTCGTAGTCATGCGGGTTCGGCTCTCGGCCGTAGAACATTCGTTAACTCTGTTCCGATATAATCATAACGCAGCTACCCTCCTTAGGATCCACTGACAATAGGGAATTCTCGTTAACTTAATTCATCCACCTGTATCGCAACTAAGGCCACGCCGACGCTGCAATGCAGAGCGCGAAGCACAGAGTGACTCACCGCAGCGACGCCGCGGAAAACCACGGCGACGAGGCCGTTCTCTTGCCCACGCTCGCACCCTTTAATGCCCGCAGCAAGCTCACCGATTCCCCAGGCCCCAGCAGCCCGCAACTCAAGGCCGCGCGCTCCGCTAATGCCTCCGGGTTCGCCGCTAGCCTCACGCTCGCCTGGGCCATTCTCGCCACCATAGTCGCCGCGGTCTCGATCTCGTTACACGTGGCGCATCCTCCGCCGTGGATCTTGGCCGCCTTGCAATCAGAGCCGTCGGACGTGCAGAATTGTAGCGACTGGATCTCGAGGCCAGCGGCAACGGCTGGTGCTGAAGACCCGTGGGAAGCAAGCAAGGTGGGACGCAACCAAGGTGGGACGCAAGCAAGGTGGGACGCAACCAAGGTGGGATGGCTAGATAGGCACCCGCGCTTTCGACAACACTAGCACCTACAAACGATTCGCTGACCTAGTAGTCTCTTCGCCACGAATCAATCTGCCTCTTAAAACCGGAGGTCCAAGCGTTTCTAACTTAGGAAGGTTGCTTGGGGCAACAAACGTGACTGGCTCGCGAGCCAGGGTGGTGTCGAAATCGGTGGTTGGGGGTAGCGATGTTTGAAACTTTCGCGAGTGTAACCAGATCCAGAATGCAACGTCGAGACTAATTCGCAGGCTGTTTCGAACGGGCTTCAATTTTGTTTGCGAAATCGACACTGCTATCGCCCTCCCACGTACAGTAATTTCGCTTTGCGAAAATTGTCCCAACAATCTGCGAGGAGAGCTCGGTGTCTACTGTGTCACACTCAACCAAAGTTAGGAAGGTCGAGGCAGTTTTGGGCTGTTTGGGACTCCGGTTTTAATCACGCGTGCTGCCAGTGCGCCGCGCGTTTCCCCATGCATTCCCCACCACCCCCCACCCCCATTCCCGCAGTGGATTCCGCGCATGTCGCCATGCCCAGTAGCGGGGCTGCCTATAGAGGAGCTGGACGAGCACCTCAACTTCCGCCGCGGGTTTCCCCCTGCATTCCCCCAGTCCCCTCCTCCTCCCCCCCCCACCCCCTCCTCCCACGATTCTTGCAGTGGATACCGCGCATCTCACCGTGCCCAGTAGCGGGGCTGCCTATAGAGGAGCTGGACGATCACCTCAACTTCCACTGCGCGTTTCCCCCTGCATTCCCCCTCCCCTCCCCTCAACCCCCTCCCCCCCCTCAACCCCCTCCCCTCCCCGCAGTGGATACCGCGCATATCACCGTGTCCAGTAGCGGGGCTGCCTATAGAGGAGCTGGACGAGCACCTCAACTTCCGCCGCGGGTACGCGCTGGGATTCGCGGACGACGCGGAGGACAAGACGCAAATCCTGCCTGTGCTGAGAGCTGTGCTGGACCCTTCTATGAACTCAAGGTGAGTGTTGCACTCCGCCATGCACTCAAGGTGAGCGCCATCCACTCAAGATTGCTACCTGGTTGGCTCTGCTGGTACTCTCTGGGATTCGTGGACCACGCGGAGGACAAGACGCAGATCCTGCCCATTCTGCGAGCTGTGCTGGACCCTGCCATGCACACCAGGTGAGTGATTGCTACCTGGTTGGCTCTGCGGGTACCCGCTGGGCTTCGCGGACCACGCGGAGGACAAGACGCGGATCCTGCCCGTGCTGAGAGCCGTTCTGGACCCTGCAATGCAAGCCAAGTGAGTGTTGCACGCGGTTGGCTCTGCTGGTACGCGCTGGGATTCGTGGACGACGCGGAGGACAAGACGCAGATCCTGCCCGTTCTGAGAGCTGTTCTTGATCCTGCCATGCACACCAAGTGAGTGAGTGCGTGAGTGCGTGCTGCCTGCCTGATTTTGCTGGCAATTTGGGCTTCGTGAACCACTCGGAGGACAAGACACAGATCCTGCCCGTGCTGGGAGCTGTGCTTGATCCCGCCATGCACACCAGGTGAGTGCGTGGGTGCTATCTGCGTGGTTGGTTGGTCCTGCAGGGGATTCGTGCACCATGCGGAGGACAAGACGCAAATCCTGCCCGTGCTGCGCGCTGTGCTGGACCCTGCAATGCACTCAAGGTGAGTGCTGCACCCCATGCCTGCTGTTCCCCATGCCTACTTCTTCCCATCTCTGCAATCCCAGGAAGTTTCGCGTTCAGGTCTATAGACCTGGGGTGAGGTTCTTCAGCACGAGCGTCACGTGGGTGGTTCCTGCAGTCGCACCCACTCGACTTCACTGAGATCCTCCTTGCCTGCTCTGCTCTCCCCCTTGCCTGCTGCTCCCCATGCCCTGCTATCCCACCCTTGCCTGCTGTGCTTTCCCCCTTGTGTGTTGTATTCCCCCAGGAAGCGGCGTGTGCTGATAGACCTGGGGGCGCGGTTCTTCAACTCGAGCGTCACGTGGTTCCTGCAGTCATACCCGCTTGACTATAAGGAGATTTTTCTAAACCTCCTACCCCCCTTGCCTGCTGGCCCCCAAAAGCCTGCTATCCCCCTTGCCTGCTGCTCCCCATGCTACCATACCAGGAAGCGGCGCGTGTTGATAGACCTGGGGGCGCGGTTCTTCAACTCGAGCGTCACGTGGTTCCTGCACTCGTACCCACTCGACTTCACTGAGATCCCCCTCACCTGCTGTCCCCCTCACCTGCTGTCCCCCTCACCTGCTGTCCCCCTCACCTGCTGTCCCCCTCAACTGCTGTCCCCCTCACCTGCTGTCCCCCTCACCTGCTGTCCCCCTCACCTGCTGTCCCCCTCACCTGCTGTCCCCCTCACCTGCTGTCCCCCTCACCTGCTGTCCCCCTCACCTGCTGTCCCCCTCAACTGCTGTCCCCCTCACCTGCTGTCCCCCTCAACTGCTGTCCCCCTCACCTGCTGTCCCCCTCAACTGCTGTCCCCCTCACCTGCTGTCCCCCTCACCTGCTGTCCCCCTCACCTGCTGTCCCCCTCACCTGCTGTCCCCCTCACCTGCTGTCCCCCTCACCTGCTGTCCCCCTCACCTGCTGTCCCCCTCACCTGCTGTCCCCCTCACCTGCTGTCCCCCTCACCTGCTGTCCCCCTCACCTGCTGTCCCCCTCACCTGCTGTCCCCCTCAACTGCTGTCCCCCTCACCTGCTGTCCCCCTCACCTGCTGTCCCCCTCAACTGCTGTCCCCCTCACCTGCTGTCCCCCTCACCTGCTGTCCCCCTCAACTGCTGTCCCCCTCACCTGCTGTCCCCCTCACCTGCTGTCCCCCTCACCTGCTGTCCCCCTCACCTGCTGTCCCCCTCAACTGCTGTCCCCCTCACCTGCTGTCCCCCTCACCTGCTGTCCCCCTCACCTGCTGTCCCCCTCACCTGCTGTCCCCCTCACCTGCTGTCCCCCTCACCTGCTGTCCCCCTCACCTGCTGTCCCCCTCAACTGCTGTCCCCCTCACCTGCTGTCCCCCTCAACTGCTGTCCCCCTCACCTGCTGTCCCCCTCAACTGCTGTCCCCCTCACCTGCTGTCCCCCTCACCTGCTGTCCCCCTCACCTGCTGTCCCCCTCACCTGCTGTCCCCCTCACCTGCTGTCCCCCTCAACTGCTGTCCCCCTCACCTGCTGTCCCCCTCACCTGCTGTCCCCCTCAACTGCTGTCCCCCTCACCTGCTGTCCCCCTCACCTGCTGTCCCCCTCAACTGCTGTCCCCCTCACCTGCTGTCCCCCTCACCTGCTGTCCCCCTCACCTGCTGTCCCCCTCACCTGCTGTCCCCCTCACCTGCTGTCCCCCTCAACTGCTGTCCCCCTCACCTGCTGTCCCCCTCACCTGCTGTCCCCCTCACCTGCTGTCCCCCTCACCTGCTGTCCCCCTCAACTGCTGTCCCCCTCACCTGCTGTCCCCCTCACCTGCTGTCCTCCTCACCTGCTGTCCCCCTCACCTGCTGTCCCCCTCACCTGCTGTCCCCCTCACCTGCTGTCCCCCATGCCTGCTGTCCCCCATGCCTTCGATATCCGCCATACCTGCTATCCCACGAAGCGGCGGGTCTTGATAGACCTGGGGGCGCGGTTCTTCAACTCAAGCGTCACGTGGTTCCTGCAGTCGTACCCGCTCGACTTCACTGAGATCCTCCTCACCTGCTTCTCCCCATGCCTGCTCTCCCCCTTGCCTGCTGTGCTGTCCCCCTTCCGTGATGCCCCAGGAAACGGCGTGTGCTGATAGACCTGGGTGCGCGGTTCTTCAACTCGAGCGTCACGTGGTTCCTGCAGTCATACCCGCTTGACTTCACAGAGATTCATGCCGTGGAGGTGCGGGAGGGCGTGTTTGAAGTACCCGCATCCAGCGATGAGGTGAGGAGGGAGGGGGGTAAGGAGGAAAGGGTAAGGGGGAGTGCAAGGGGGTGTGTGTGCAGGAGTGAAGGCAAGGGAGAGGGCTCTGTGTACCCGCTCGACTTCACGGAAATTCACGCCGTGGAGGTGCGGGAGGGCGTGTTTGAAGTGCCTGCGCCCAGCGATGAGGTGAGGAGGGAGGGGGGTAAGGAGGAAAGGGTAAGGGGGAGTGCAAGGGGGTGTGTGTGCAGGAGTGAAGGCAAGGGAGAGGGCTCTGTCGTACCCGCTCGACTTCACTGAGATTCATGCTGTGGAGGTGCGGGAGGACGTGTTTGAGGTGCCCGCGCCCAGCGATGAGGTGAGAGAGGAGGGTTAAGGGGTGCAGAGGAGTGCAGGGGTGTGCTTGCCGGTTCCTGCAGACAAACCCGCTCGACTTCACTGAGGTTCATGCTGTGGAGGTGCGGGAGGGCGTGTTTGAAGTGCCCGTGCCCAGCGATGAGGTGAGGCGTGGCAGAGGGGGTGAGGGATGCGGTTGAGTGTAAGGGTGTGCTTGGCGGTTCCTGCAGTCGTACCCACTCGACTTCACCGAGATTCATGCCGTGGAGGTGCGGGAGGACGTATTCCAAGTGCCCGCGCCCAGCCATAAGGTGGGGGGAGCGAGAGAAGGGGATGAGGAGGAGTGTAGGGGTGTGCGTGTGCAAGAAAGGGTGCATTCTTTCTTGCCCCATTGCATGGCTGGAACTTAACTGGGATACCCGAAGCCCGAAGCATGGTGCCCGAAACCTCTAAAAAGTGAGCCTGTGCACTGCACCTCGCCCTGAAAGCCTGAGCCTTGAATTTGAAATCCTAAACCTTGAGCCTGAAACCCCTAAACATCGAACCTGAAACCCTGAACCCTGAATCTGAAATCCTGAACCTTGAATCTGAACCTCAAACCTCGAATCTGAAACCTAAACCCTGAATGTGAAACCCTAAAACCTTGAATCTGAAACCCTGAAATTGAATCTGAAATCCTAAACCTTGAATCTGAAATCCTAAACCTCGAACCTGAAACCCTAACCTTGAATCTAAAACCATCAATCTTGTCTGAAACCCCTGAACTTTGAATCTGAAACCCGAAACCTTGAACCTGAAACCCGAAACCTCAAATCTGAAACCCTAAGCATCCAGTTTGACCGGCCTGCTGGTATCATCAACGTGCGGGATAGGAATGGGTTGTGACATAGGAGAGGGTGGGGGACGAGACGGATGCAACTCAATTGAATCTGTGTCTGCTGCTTACATCACTGCTGCTGGTGCCGCTGCTGCTGCCGCCGCCGCCGCTGCTGCAGATTTTCCTGAAAGAGAAGGTGAGGAGGAAGGGTGGAAGGGAGGTGGGGTGAGGGATGGGGACCGATGGGGATCGCCTCAAAATGGTTTGTGCAGCTGAGCTCTCTTTGCAGCACTCAGCACGCATGCGCCTGCTGCTGCTGCTGCTGCTGCTGGGGGAGGGTGGTGGGAGGGAGGTGGGGTGAGGGATGGGGACAATTAGATGGGAATCGCCACAAAATGGTTTGTGCAGCTGAGCCCTCTTTGCAGCACACAGCATGCTTGTGCCTGCTGCTGACCCACCACAAGGCAATGCAGGCACCACTCAACACATGGCCCGCCACCCAACTTTTGAGTTGACTCAAGAATCACCCCATCCGTCGTGGCCTTTCTCTCTTCCTTTGCATCAACCTTGCTGCTCTTTCCTCTTTCTACCCTTTTTTCACCTTCTTCTTTTGCAGCAACCTTTCACCTGCTATACGCCCCCTTTCGTCCACCGTCCTCTCTTCCAACCTCCGCCCTTCTGCCCTGCTCAGACGCTACGGGCCAACATGACTTCTAGCAGTCGCCTGCGCCCACGCTACATGGGACCGGCGGACTTCCCTGCATGGCTGGTGCGCTCTCACTGCGCATCATACCCCTCCTCCCCTTCCCCTTCTTCTTTTCCCCCTTCCGCCCGTCCGCTTTGCTCAGATGCTACGTGCCAACATGACTTCTCGCAGTCGCCTGCGCCCGCTCTACATGGGCCCGGCGGACTTCCCTCCCTGGCTGCTTGCCAGGATACACCCCCACTGCTTCAAAGCCACCTTTTTTCCCCTTCCCTTTCCTCCCCTTCCCTTTCCTCCCCTTCCCTTTCCTCCCCTTCTCTTGCGCCCTGCTCAGACGCTACGGGCCAACATGACTTCTCGCAGTCGCCTGCGCCCGCTCTACATGGGACCAGCAGACTTCCCCCCATGGCTGCTCGCCAGGGATATTTTTTTTATGCTCGCTGCTTGCTTTTAGCGTTACTGCGCCTTTTCTTACCCCGTCCTCTCTCCCCCATTCCTATCTTCTGCCCTGCTCAGATGCTACGTGCCAACATGACTTCTCGCAGTCGCCTGCGCCCGCTCTACATGGGACCAGCAGACTTCCCCCCGTGGCTGCTCGCCAGGGTGCACTCGCACCGCTTCATGGCCTCGGCTATTGACAACGCTGTGCAGGTGAGGGGGGATTGGGTGGTGGGAGGCTGGCACAAGGTGAAGTGTGCTGTGATTCAACTCGAAACACACCTGCTTGCCAGGGTGCACTCTCACAGCTTCATGGCCTCGGCAATTGACAACGCTGGGCAGGTGAGAGGGGGTTGGGTGGTGGGAGGCTGGCACAAGGTGAAGTGTGCTGTGAATCACCTAAAAATAACACCCCCTCGCCAGGGTGCATGCCCACAGCTTCATGGCCTCGGCTATTGACAATGCTGAGCAGGTGAGGGGGGGGTGGGTGGTGGAGGGTGGAATGCGTGGGAGTGTAATTTCAGTTGAAGTGAAACACACCTGCTCGCTAGGTTGCACCCGCACTGCTTCAGGGCCTCTTCTCGGGACAACGCTGCGCAGGTGGGGGGTTGCGTGGAGAGGGCTGGCTTGGGGTGAGACACGGGACCTTGCTGAGGCATGGATTGCAAGCCTCTTCCAATCTTCCTCTTTGAAACTCAGTGGTTGATTCCTCAAGTCATGGCAGCACGTGGCTGTTGTCATGGCAGCACGTGGCTGTTGCTATGCGGTGCATGCTGGTGCAGTTCGGTCGAAAGCACCTAACCTGCTCCTCTTGTCACCCTCCTGCTTCTTCCTTCCCTTTTACTCTTTCTCTCCGCTCCCAGTCAACGTATGAACCCCTCACGTCATGGCAGAACATAGTGAACGTGACGCGGTGGCTGCTGGAGGAGCTGCAGCTGACGCCAGAGGACATAACCCACTCCTTCTCCTGTCAACCCCCTGCTTCTTCCGCCTTTTCCTCTTGCTCCCTGCTCGCACCTCAGAACATAGTGAACGTGACGCGGTGGCTGCTGGAGGAGCTGCTGCTGACGCCAGAGGACCGAAACTGCTCCTTCTCCTCTCACCCTTCTGCTTCTCGCTTCCCTTCTTCCTTGCTCCGCTCTTGCCTTCGCTTGTGAACCCCTCACGTCACGGCAGAACATAGTGAACGTGACGCGATGGCTGCTGGAGGAGCTACAGCTGACACCAGAGGATGCTGTGGTGGTGAAGATGGATATAGAGGGGTCTGAATGGCCCATCTTCCAAGGTGGGTGGGGCATGTGGGGTACAGTCTAAAGACATACAACACTGGCTTGAGCTGCAGCTGACGCCAGAAGACACGGTGGTGGTGAAGATGGATATTGAGGGGTCCGAGTGGTCCATCTTTCATGGTGGGTGGTTGGCTTGCAGAGAGGGGTTGGGTAACCAGAACACGTGAGAGATGCAAGTGAGGCACACACACACACATGCCCCAGAGCTGCAGCTGACGCCAGAGGACGCTGTGGTGGTGAAGATGGATACAGAGGGGTCTGAATGGCCCATCTTCCATGGTGGGTGGGTGGTTGCGGTGAGCAGTGAGGGATGGGGCAGCCTGGCTGGAGTGTGTGTCACCTTAAACCCAAAACCCCAACATGGCTCGCCATCATCCTCTCTCTCCATCTCCGTGCCCCTTGTCTCACCCCTCTGTGCAGCCTGGCTGGAGTCCCCCCTCATGACATGGGTAATCGACGAGCTATTCGTCGAGGTGCACTACAACCACTCCTCCATGCGCTTCTTCACCCTCATTCCCCCCTTTGTTCCCTTTCTTTCACCCCTCTCTCCCTGTGTTGCGTGCAGCCTGGCTAGACACACCTCTCATGGCACGGGTGACAGATGAGCTATTCGTGGAGCTGCATTACAACCACTCCTCCATGCACATCGTCACCCTCATTCCCCCCTTTGTTCCCTTTCTTTCACCCCTCTCTCCCTGTTGCGTGCAGCCTGGCTAGACACACCTCTCATGGCACGGGTGACAGATGAGCTATTCGTGGAGCTGCATTACAACCACTCCTCCATGCACATCGTCACCCTCATTCCCCCCTTTGTTCCCTTTCTTTCACCCCTCTCTCCCTGTGTTGCATGCAGCCTGGCTAGACACACCTATCATGGCACGAGTAATCGACGAGCTATTCGTGGAGGTGCATTACAACCACCCCTCCATGCACTTCTTCACCTTTCCCTCATCTTTCCTCTTCATTCCCCTTCCTCCTCATGTTCTGTCTTGTGCGCAGCCTGGTTAGAATCCCCCCCCATGGCGCAGATAATCGACGAGCTATTCGTGGAGGTGCATTACAACCACCCCTCCATGGACTTCTTCACCCTCATTTCCCTCTTTGTTCCCTTTCTTTCACCCCCCTCTCTCTGTGTTGTGTGCAGCCTGGTTAGAATCGCCCTACATGGCGCAAGTAATAGACGAGATATTCGTCGAGGTGCATTACAACCACCCCTCCATGCACTTCTTCACCCTTATCCTCCTGGCAATTCCCTGTCTTTGTGGTTTTGGCTGCAGCCTGGTTGGAATCTCCCTACATGGCTCAAGTGATAGACGAGATATTCGTCGAGGTGCATTACAACCACCCCTCGATGCACTTCTTCACGTGGACGCCACGCAATTTTCCACACTCGAGACAGCAAGCCGGTCAGCTACTCAATGCGATGCGCAGTGCAGGGTACTACGTGCATGCCTGGCCCTGATGGTGTTCTCATGCAAGGTGCCCTACAACCACACCTCCTTACGCAGCAAGCAGGCCAGTTGCTCAACGCCATGCGAGTCGCTGGATATTACGTGCATGCCTGGCCCTGATGGGGTAATCTGGTAATCTGATAACACGCCAGGCCCTGGTGGTATTCTCATACTAAGTGCATTACAACCACACCTCCATGCACTTCTTCACCTGGACGCCGCGGAATTTTCCACACTCCCGGCAGCAAGCCGGTCAGCTGCTCAACGCCATGCGCAGTGCAGGGTATTACGTGCATGCCTGGCCCTGATGGTGTAAGTTCATAACATTTCCGCCTCTTCAGAACTCCGCGCAGCAAGTGGGGGTCACCTGCTCAACTCCATGCTCAGCAAGTGTTGGAAGCTGGCCACTACCATACGTGCATGCCTGGCCATGATGGTCTATTTATACGGCATGCCTAGTCGTAAAGGTCCAGTTACCCTGCGTGGTTGGCCCCGAGGGTTGGTTGCCCTACGTGTTTCTCCAACATGCTTAGCATTGATATTCTTTTATTTATCATTGATGTTTTTCCGTAACTATATTATGCATCTGCAGCTGCAGTGGACTACCGTATGTACAAACCAGAGCAGTGTGGTTATGCAATTGTACATGTGTACACTACCGTACCTAATTTTCCCACAACATTGTTTTGCAGAACAAAAAAAGCCTACGTTCTGCTCTACCCATGGTAATTACCGTACATTTCCCAGGTTGGAACATGAAAAACATACAACTTCGCTGGAAAACTAAAGCAAGCCACAAAATACCTGCATCCCCCATTATTCTGCACATGCTGCAATTATCCACATTTGCTTCAAAGCTTACAGTGCACGTGCCGTTGCTGCTATTGATGGGGCTAATGACGCATGTATGTTGCTTCTGCTGCTGTTGCGACAATGGTATTACCGTAGTACTTAAAACTTTTTGCTAGTGCTGCTGATGCTGTTGCTGCTATTGCAACAATTGCTGCACTGCTGCTACTATCCCTGTTATTGCTGCTGCTGCTGCCATTTCCACCATCCAGCAGACACCAGGTTGGCGAGGGAGTGAGCGAGCATGGCACTGGCAATGTCACCAGGGGGTGCTGCTGCTAGTGCTGCTGCTATTGCAACTACTGCAACTACTGCTGGTGCTGCCATTTCCACCATCCAGCAGACACCAGGTTGGCGAGGGAGTGAGCGAGCATGGCACTGGCCATGTCACCAGTCGCCACTGCCAGCACACCGTACACACACCCCACACTCGTTGCCCTGGGTGAGAGAGGGAAGAGAGGGAAGGAGTTATAAGGGAGGGAAGGAGTGAGCGAGCATGGCACTGGCAACGTCACCCGTCGCTACTGCCAGCACGCCATACACACACCCCACACTCGTTGCCCTGGGGTAGGGGGAAGGTGGGAAGCCGGAAGAGAGGGAGGAAAGGAAGGAGGGAGGGAGAGGGGGAGTGAGCGAGCATGGCACTGGCCATGTCACCAGTCGCCACTGCCAGAGTTCCGTACACACACCCCACACAAGTTGCCCTGGGAAGAAAGGAGAGGGAGGGATGGAGGGAGAGAAGGAAGGGGGGAGGGAGCGAGCGAGCATGGCACTGGCCATGTCCCCAGTCGCCACTGCCAGCACACCGTACACACACCCCACACTCATTGCCCTGGGACGAGGTGGGAAGGTGGGGAAGGGGGTGTGTGCATGGTGCATGTAAGCAGTACTATCAAACCAGCAACCCTCTCTGTTGCCATATTCAGAACACCATACACACACTCCACACTCGATGCCCTGGGACGAATGGGAAGGGAGGAGGGGCCGGGCGGGTGTATGATGTGTGAAATTGGTAAGTGAATGTAGCAACCCTCTCTGTTGCCATCGCCAGCACGCCATACACACACACCACACTCGATGCCCTGGGAAGGGAGGGAGGGGAGGGAAGGAGAGGGGTGAGGGAAAGTGGGGGGGAGGATGATGAGGAGGAAATCGGGAGTGGTACGGTACCACCACATATAAACAATCCCATCTGTTGTCAACGCCAATACATCATAATGGCAACCAATACTCCTCACACCACACCACACCACACCACACCACACCACACCACACGATTCCTCCCACTCTGGTCCTCACTGGCAACCACCTCACTGGGAACCACCTGACTGACTGGCGAAAGACTGACCGGCAAAAGCTCTTTTAAGGCCTCCACCCTCATTGGTAGGTTTGTGGCCAACGCAGTTCCAGTGACCATGCAGCACATGCTAGATTGCATTGCTATTTCCACTCATGCAAACGACACCCATTGCAACATACTGCCGGTTGGACTGGATACAACCCTCCCCACCATTCCCCACTCCCCTCCACTCCACCCACACTAGAGTTTTGAGAGCGGTTTCTGACAGGTGGTTACTGGGAGCATTTTCAAGAAATTCCAAAGGCCGCCTGAGAAAAAGGAGGAGCGTACCAGGCAGTGCGGATTTAGAGTGTGTTTGTTTGTTTGCTTGTTTGTTTGTTTGTTTTTTTTTTTTTTTTGTGTTTTTTTTTTTTTTGGTGTTTTTTTTTTTGTGTGTGTGTGTGTTTTTTTTTTTTTTTTTGGGATGCAACAAGGAGCGGCATGCGTTCCAGGCAGCAAAGGAGAGGTTGCGATCGCCCGTGACGTGCAGCAGACCAAAGACGCCCCCCGATACTATCCCCCCCGCTGCATTCACCCCCACTATTGGCAAGATCACCTCTCAGAATGGCGTACCAGGCAGCAAAGGTGAGGTTGCGACCACCCGTGATATGCAGTACACCAAAGACAGCCCCCGATACTATCACCCCCGCTGCATTCACCCCCACCAGCGGCAGCAGTGCTCCTCGGAACAGCAGCTCCTGTGCAGGGCGGGGGGACGGGGGAGGGCAGGGGGAGGGGGGAGGGGAGGGGGGAGGGCAGGGGGGCGGGGGGAGGGCAGGGGGGAGGGGGGAGGGCAGGGGGAATGAGGATGGCAGGGGGAACGAAGGAGGACCCTCGTTGCATTCGCTCCCACCAGTGGCAAGAGCGCTTCTCGAAAGAGGAGCTCCTGTGAATGGCGGGGGGAGGGGAGATGGATGGGAAAAAACGATGGTGGGGAATGAGGTGGGCAGGGGGCATGAGGGTGCAGGGGGCATGAGGGTGCAGGGGGCATGAGGGTGCAGGGGGCATGAGGGTGCAGGGGGCATGAGGGTGCAGGGGGCATGAGGGTGCAGGGGGCATGAGGGATGCAAGGGGGAAAGCAAGGATACTGAGGGGAAAGTGAGGGGACAAGAGGGGATGTGGAGGGAAGGGGGAGTGAGGCGTGAGTGGGGCAAGCAAGGCAGATACAGTGAGGCACCTCCAATCATGTTCATTACCTGCTTCCAAACGTACTGGATGCGTTGTGCTTTATGCCACACCAGCACCCTGTGCAGCACGCTACTGTGAGTGAGATGCCACTGCAGTCTCGCACCTCACAGTCAGATGAGATTCCTGGGAGATGTCTGGGAGATGTCTGGGAGGAGGGGCACCCGCACACAGGCACCATCAGCACGCAGCGGGTGCGACAAACGAACCTCGGAGATGCCTGGGAGGAGCGACACGACACCCTGATGAGGCCTGTGGCTTGCAGGCTTGAGAATGCCCGATGTTGAAACTTGGGAGGCATGAAATGTGGCAAGGTGGCGAGGAAGGGCGGGGAGAGATGCTGCAGCGTCTGGAACACACTCATCACTCATCACTAGCCTTTGAAATAAACACAACACATCGCACCTCGGAGATGCCTGGGAGGAGCGACACCCAGATGAGGTCCGTGGCTTGCAGGGTGGAGACATTAGTGGCAGCGAGGAAGGAAGGGGAGAGGCGTAGCAGAGTTCAGAACACACAGCACACTAGCCCTTGACGCACCATACCTCGGAGATGCCTGGGAGGAAAGACACCCAGATGAGGTCTGTGGCTTGCAAAGTGGAAAGTGCGCGTGTGATGAATGCATTGGTGGCGGCGAGGAAGGCCGGGGGGAAGTGCAGCAGTGTTCAGAACACACTACATTCTGGCCCTTGAAACACGCAGCACAATAGCATTTGCAGCACGCACCTCGGAGATGCCTGGGAGGAGCGACACCCAGATGAGGTCCGTGGCTTGCAGGTTGGAGAGGGCTCGTGTGTTGGAGGCGTTGGTAGCAGCGAGGAAGGCCGGGGAGAGGCGCAAGAGCAGCCTTCAGAACACACTGCAGCCTTTGGACTGAAGGACAGGACGCACCTCGGAGATGCCTGGGAGGAGCGACACCCAGATGAGGTCCGTGGCGTTAAGGTTTGAGAGAGCCCGTGTGTTGGAGGCATTGGTGCAAGTGAGGAAGGCCGGGGAGAGGCGCAAGAGCAGCCTTCAGAACACACTGCAGCCTTTGGACTGAAGGACAGGACGCACCTCGGAGATGCCTGGGAGGAGCGACACCCAGATGAGGTCCGTGGCGTTAAGGTTTGAGAGAGCCCGTGTGTTGGAGGCGTTGGTAGCAGCGAGGAAGGCCGGGGAGAGGCGCAGCAGAGCAAGGCGAGCTGCTGACACGATGGCTGCTGCTGTGAGGGCGAGAGGTACGCTGGCTGGTGATAGGCTCACTGTAGGGTGGACAGAAGGGTGGAGAGGGGTGGAGGGGGGTGAATGGGGGTGAAAGGGCGTGGAGGAGCGTTGAGGTGCGGGATAACTTAAGAGCAGAAAAGATGCAAAGTAGAGGATGAAATAGGGAGTAGGATCGATGGCAGGGGCTGTCAGTAGAGCAGTAAAGAGTGATAGAGCACGGTGAAGAGTGGTAGAGACAGAGTGGAAGAAGAAGAGGAGGAATCGTAAGTCATGTATAGACGATGCACTCACATGCCATTCATCCTCTCGCATGCCATTCATCCTCTCGCATGCCATTCATCCTCTCGCGCATGCCTTTGCAGCCTAAACCCCCTCTCTATCCCTCTATTTCACGCACATGGCATGGCTTGCAGGCAGTCAGTGATGGGAGTACCAGCATCATGCCCCCATGCGGATAGCTGGGGGAGGGTGTGAGGAGGGGGGTTGGGGCAGGGAGAGATTGGGGACCAGGTGGACGGGGAAGGGGGAGGAAAGGCAGATAAGTGGCCTGAATGCAGTCAGTAATGGGCGCACCAACGTCATGCCCCCAGGCGGATAGCTGGGAAAAGTGGGGGGAGGGAGGAAGGGATGAATTGGGGGATTAAGTGGGCGGGGAGAGGGGGGAAAGGCAGATAAGTGGCTTGCAAGCAGTCAGTGATGGGAACACCAGCGTCATGCCCCCAGGCGGATAGCTGGGAAAGGTAGGAGGAGGGCGCAACGGATGAATTGGGGGTTTAGGGGGGCGGGGAGGAGGAGGAAAGGGAGATAAGTAGCTTGCAAGCAGTCAGTAATGGGCGCACCGGCGTCATGCCCCCAGGCGGATAGCTGGGTGCAGGTGGGGGGGGAGGGCGGAACGATGATTTGGGGGTTTAAGTGGGCGGGGAGGGGGGGGAAAGGCAGTTAGTAATGGGCGCACCAACGTCATGCCCCCAGACGGATAGCTGGGGGAAGGTGGGGGGCGAGTGGGCAGGGATGTATGGGGGGAAGGGGGGTCCACGTGGGCTGAAAGGGGAGGAAATGTTGAGAGAAGTGGGGATTTTGGGAACCCACTGTGCCGATAGGATGGACGAAGGGAGAGAAAGGGAGGATGAGGGGTGAGAGAGGGGAAGAGGGCTTTTGAATCGACTCAAAAGAAGGGAAGAAATGTTGAGAGAAGTGGGGATATCGGAAACCCACTGAGGCGATAGGATGGATGAAGGGAGAGAAAGGGAGGATGAGGGGAAGAGGGCTTTTGAATCGACTCAAAAGAAGGGAGGAAATCTTGAGAGAAGTGGGGATATTGGAAACCCACTGAGGCGATAGGATGGACGAAGGGAGAGAAAGGGAGGATGAAAGGTGAGAGAGGGGAAGAGGGGAGAAAGATGGTGGGGAGAGAGTCGGGGGAAAGGGAACGAGTGCGAGAGACAGAATCTGGAGTAAATGAAGAAAGGGGTTTGAGGGAGGAGGGGAGTGCAGTGGCAACGAGGGATGGGGTGGGGATGCTAGCATGCAGTCATGAGGTCCAGGGGTGGGAGATGGGTGGGAGATGGGTGGGGGTGAGATGGGTGAGTGAGATGAGTGGGGTGGCTGGGGGTGGATGGCTGGGGGTGAGGTGGGTGGGGGTGAGATGGGTGGGGGTGTGATGGGCGGGGGTGTGATGGGTGGGGGTGTGATGGGTGGGAGTGAGATGGGTGGGGGTGAGGTGGGTGAGAGTGAGATGGGGTGGGGTGTGATGGCTGGGTTTGAGATAGGCCGCCGTAGCACTCTAGTTGTGCGACGACTCAAACCAAATCACGAGGCATTTCTGGGAGCAGCGATGGGCTGAAGGGGCTTTGCAGAGCAAGGTGGGGATTGTGGGGAGGGTGGGGAAGGGGGGAGAAGGGGGGAGGAGGGAGAAGGGGGAAGAAGGAGCTGATGTCCAGAATGTCAACGATCCACCCACCTGTCTGACCAGCAGTCCAGCTACGGCCAAGCCTCCTGACGTGGTTAGGCAGGCCCGCCAAACCTCCTCTCTAGGAGCGACAGCGACATGGGCAGCAGGGGCAGCAGGGGCGGAAGAGGAAGGAGAATCTGAAGAAGCAGCGGGTGAGGCTATCGGCGGTGACTTTTGAGTGCTGTCGGGTGTAGAAGGGGAAGGAGAAGCTGGACAGGCAGCGAGTGTAGCTGTCGATGACAATGGTTGACTCGATTGACTTCGTTGACTCGCATTATCAGACGCATGAGTCAACTCCGACGTTTCCTGGGTTGATTTCTGTGGCTGCTCTGGTTGATCGGGTTGACTCGATTGACTGTCATTCAAGCGCTCCGGCTGCTGCTGGCTCGGCGCGCCTGGCGGAGGTGGTCTGCTGGTCTTCCTACTGCCACGGGACTGTTTCGCGCTGCCTCCTGATTGTCGCTTCGCAGCTCGTGCGACGCCTGCACCGCGCTGCGAGCCTACGCTGCGATAGTGCGCGACGGCCTGTGACTGATTAAACATGCGACTGCCAGGCGACTGTTTGCGCGAGAGCTCGGCGACGAAGCGCGAGCAATGCCATGGCGCCTCACGGCGGATGGCGAGAGCAACTGACGGTGTGGTTACCACTGGCGAAAACCCGCATGTTTTCGCACGGGATGGAAATGCTGCTCCGAGCGAGGGTGCGCACGCGTGCATCCCGCGCGGATGCGAAGGCGCGTCGGTCGCCTGCTCGACGTGCGGTGCGCGGGAGTATCACCGACTCGCGGAGGAAAGGCGAGCGAGGAGCTGTGCTATCAAATGTAATGCGGGGGTGAATGCGCAGCAACTTCAATCTGCTACTGGGTTTGCGGAAATATCTTATCCGAAGCAATAACGAATGAGGTGAGTGCTGACGAGCCGGGTGAGTCAGCACACCTTCGCAAAAGCGCGCGGAAACAAACTGGTTGGGCAAAAGATAACTCTTTGCCCCACAGAGAATCTCCACCGTCGCTACTCGTCGTACAAGGTCGGGTTTTCGCAGATCACAATAACTTCTTCGCATAGGGTATCCACCCAACATCTGAAACCAAAACATGTGATTGTACCCCCTACATGAGCAATGCTCACACGCTCGCCTCACGGCACCTGCGACTCTCGTTGCGATTTCAAGCATGCCATGCCGAAAAACAATATATTTCCCTTCTCTCACTGAACGGCTGTTGTCATGAAGCGCTTCGTTGGCACCATACGATAAAGCGTTAGGAGCGCGTCGTCCGAAAAGTACTCATGCTTGCGTTAAGCGGGCTCATTCGTCCTTAGCGGAAAAGGGCGACCGCACTAGGTCGTGGCACATCATTTTCTGCCAGCGCTGCTTTCGCCTGGCATTTACTCGACCATCTTGTTTCGCCAACGCTTCGCGAACGGCGGCCAATTTGCGACTGAGATCACTTCGATCAACCGCATATCCGCGCACCGGAACGAGGAAACGCGGTGCAACGAGGAAGGCGCCGCGCTGGCAAGGAGGGAAGCCGGACTTGCTCCGCCAGTGCCTCTGCGATCACTCAGCGATCCCTCTGCGATCTGCGATCCCCGGGATTGAGCCCCGAGGCACCTGTCGTTCAGATTGAGTTTTGAAACGTCTTAAGGCTCGCTGAGGCATCTCTCAGATTGACCCGCCGCAGGAAAGAAAGTGGCCGTTTCGTCGCCTTCCCTCTGCGATCCCTCTGCGATCCCTTTGCGATCTCTCTGCGATCGCCTCTGCGATGGCTCAAGTCCCCACGGACGTGCTCCTCCGGTGAGGCGAGCCGAGGGGGGATCGGGGGATGGGTTGAGGGGGGATTGATGTGAGGAAGCCAAGGAAGGAAGAGCGAGGAGGTGAGTAGAATGAAGAGAAGCAACGAGGTGATGGCTCAAGTCCCCACGGACGTGCTCCTCCGGTGAGGCGAGCAACGAGGGGAAAGGGGGATGGGGTGAGGGGAGAAAAGGGGTTGTGGTGAGACAGCGAGCCGCCTCTGCGATGGCTCAAGTCCCCACGGACGTGCTCCTCCGGTGAGGCGAGCCGCGGGGAAATCGGGGGAATGGGAAGCGGGAAGGGAAGCGGAAAGGGTGTTGTGGTGAGGGAGTGAGGGACGGAGGAGCGCGGAGGCGAGGAGAGAGGAGGGAAGTAGCGAGCCGCCTGTTCTGTGTCACCCGGCGCATCCATGCCTGCCCGTGCATTGAGTGTATTTTTGTGACGTTTTCAAAAATACACTCAATTCACGTCGCATGTGCTGTGTCACCCGGCCCATGCATGCCCGCCCGTGCATTGAGCGTATTTAGAGACGTCTCCAAAAATACACTCAATGCACATCACCTGTGCTCTGTCACCCGGCTCATCCATGCATGCCCGCCCGTGCATTGAGTGTGTATTTGAACGTTTTCAAAAACACACTTATTCCACGTCGCATGTGCTGTGTCACCCGTCCCACCCATGCCCGCCCGTGCATCCCGCAACCTCGCCTCATTGCAGTTAGCAGCCGTCACTCGCTTTAGGCATGCGAAGCGTCACTCGCTTTAGGCATGCGTGTCATCTTTTGCAAAGCGTCACTCGCTTGACATGATGGCAATTGTCACCCCTTGCTTCGCTCCTCTCCCTTCTCCTCTCATTGTTACAAGGTGACTTCTGAGTCAACTCAAAAGTCACCTTGCAGACGTCACTGCGTCAAGGCATGCGAAGCGTCACTCGCCGAAGGCATGCGTGTCATCTCTTGCAAAGCGTCACTCGAATGACATGATGGCAATCGTCACCCCTTGCTTCGCTGCTCTCCCTTCTCCTCCTCCACCCCTCTCTATCATGGCCCCTGGCAGCGCGTTGAGGGAGGAGGTGGCGGCCATTGCAGCGCTGAAGCAAGCCATTCGAGACAAGCTGCACGTGCTGCAGGTGGGGGTGTGGGTGGGGCATGGGGTGGCGGGAACAAGTTGCCTTACAACAGGGTGATTCCATACAAGCTGCACGTGCTGCAGGTCGGGTGAATGGGGTGTCCCATGGTGCGTGGTTGGATGGTGGGGGGGTGTGCATGCGCTGAGAGAGGAGGTGGCGGCGGGCGCTGAAGCAGACGATTCGAGACAAGCTGCGCAGGTGGAGGTGGGTGTGGGGGGTCAGGTCTTGCCGTGGTCTGTGGGTGGGTGGGTGTTTTTTGAGAATTCTCAAAAAACACGGGGGGTTGGTCTGTGGGTGGGTGGGTGGGTGGATGGGATGATGAGGTGGTACGTGGTGGTGAGGAGTACCACAGAAGCAGCATGGCATGTAGCTTGAACGCTCCATACAACAAACTATGTGCGCTTAATAACTGCGTCTGCTACTGGTGACCTTTGCATGCCTCTGCCATGGCCCCATGCCATGCCTCATTCTCATGTGGGCATGTGGACGACGCGAGCATGAGGGAGAACTTCGCTCAGGCAAACGCCCCACCCGTCCCACCACAATGCCCCATGCCCCGCAAGCCTCTCATTCCACCCATGCTGCCCCCCATGGCCCATTCTTAAGTAAGTAGGTGGACGAGGCGAGCATGAGGAGGGTGGGGCTCATGTGGAGGTCCATGAGAGTGACGGGGATGAGGGACACGGGGATGCAGGCGCCGGGACAAGAAGCCGATCAGGAGATGAGATGAGCTTGGACGATCTGATGGCAGGGCTGGTGGAGGAGCTGGAGAGAGAGATGGGCGGCGGTGGGGGAGCATGAGGGGCATGTGGGGGAGCATGAGGGGCATGTGGGGGAGCATGAGGGGCATGTGGGGGAGCATGAGGGGCATGTGGGGTGGCATGAGGGGCATGTGGGGGAGCATGAGGGGCATGTGGGGGAGCATGAGGGGCATGTGGGGGAGCATGAGAGGCATGTGGGGGAGCATGAGGGGCATGTGGGGGAGCATGAGGGGCATGTGGGGGACAAGGTTCAAAAAAACGTCGTTTTTTTGAAAATTTACCGTAAAAAACGGCCGTAAAAAACGGTACCGTAAAAAACGGTAAAAAACGGTTCCAGAAGGTGATTTTTGTTTGAAGAAAAAATCGGACATTTTATGGGACCAAATTGATGGCGAAAATCACCAGGATGAAGAGGACGAACCCCTCCTTGCATGTGTGCATGTGTGGGCATGATTGAAAATGTGTACGACCTTGTTTTTGCCTGTTTTTTCTTGGTGACAAGAGTTCTCTAACAAAAAAACGCCGTATTTTTGGAAATTTACCGTAAAAAACGAACCGTAAAAAACGGACCGTAATTTACGAAAACCGTATTTTTGCACCTTGGTGGGGGAGCATGAGGGGCATGTGGGGGAGCATGAGGGGCATGTGGGGTGGCATGAGGGGCATGTGGGGGAGCATGAGGGGCATGTGGGGGAGCATGAGGGGCATGTGGGGTGGCATGAGGGGCATGTGGGGTGGCATGAGGGGCATGTGGGGGAGCATGAGGGGCATGTGGGGGAGCATGAGGGGCATGTGGGGGAGCATGAGGGGCATGTGGGGTGGCATGAGGGGGATGGTAGGGCTCTCGGGGGGCATGTGGGGAGTGGGGGACATGTGGGGGGGCATGAGGTTCATGGTGGGGGGCAATTGGGGGGGCATGAGGTTCATGGGGCACGCGGATGCAGGCGGCGGGGGAGGAGAGGGAGGAGAGGGGGGAGGGGGATCTGGGGGAGGGCGATTGGAAGAAGAGATGGAGAGAGGTGTGGGGGATGGTGCGGTGGATGCAAGACATGGGGGAGATGGGGAGGGAAGGGAAGAGAGAGGGAGGAAGATTGGAGAGACGCGGTAGGTGTGAGTGACGGTGGGGAGGAATGGGCATGTAGGAGGGAGAGCAGACGAGGTATGCGGTGGTGGGGGCGATGGGGATGGAGGGAGGTGGGTGGAGAAGAGTGGGGATGGAGGGAGGGGGAGATGTTCAAGGAATGCAGTTGATGGGACCGATGGGGAGAAACTGGAAGCGGAGAATTTAGAGAGCTCATGGGTATGATGATGGTGTTATGTGGCAGGGATAGAACTGTAAAAGAAAAAAGGGACAGATTGAAGCAGCCGAAGAAGAAGGGGCTGCAAGTGTGATGCACGTGGGAGGAGGGAGACAGCGGGATGATGGGTGGAGGATGGAGAGGAGAAAGGGAAGGCCGAGGAGGGAGAGGATTAATGAAGACACGTGATTTGGAGATTTGAAATGGTAAGGGGAGGCACTGAAAGGGTGAGAGGGTGGGGAATGTGAGACGATTTGCCGAGGGGACAGGGAGGGCAAGGGGAAGGTGAAGGGAAGGCGAGGGGGAAGGGGGGAGGATGGAGGAAGGAGGGGGGTTGTTAGCAGAGGGATGATATGTATGGGCGGTGGCATCCTAATGGGCAATGGCATGGGAATGGGCGGTGGTACGGACGGCACGAGGCTTGGCACGGAGAGGGGAGGGGGAAGCGTGATGGTGGTGGATGAAGTGTGGTGGGTGAAGAGTGGTGGGTGAAGAGTGGTGGTTGAAGAGTAGTGGGTGAAGAGTGGTGGGTGAGGTGTGGTGGGTGAAGTGTGCGGGTTGCTTGCTGCATCGGCAGTCAGGCGAGTGAAGGAATGAGATTGGCAGTCGGGGCATGGATAGACGAGATGTGCTCTTTCCACCCACCTTCTTCCCTCTCCCCTTCAACAGAGTTAGCCTTCCCTTCCCACTTGTTGCCGCCGCTCCTTCCTACCCTCACGTGCCAGTTGTTTGCCCTCATCCATTGCTCGTTACCATTGCTACAATAGCTAGTATTGCTGCCATTGCTAGTTACCATTTGCGTGCACCGCCGCTCCCTATCCTGCTCGTGCCAGCCTTGACTGGTGCACTCCTTGCCTCCGCGCACATCATGATTCGCCTCGCCCCCTCCCGACTTTTGAGACGTCTCAAAAGTCGTCTACTTACACGCGGATTTTGAGACGTCTCAAAAGCCTATCCTGCTCGTGCCAGCCTTGACTGGTGCACTCCTTGCCTCCGCGCACATCATGATTCGCCTCGCCCCCTCCAAATTTTCCTCGTTCCCCCTTTGCTCACTCATCTCACACCATTCCCCGCATGGCTCCTCCCCGTTCAACCCCCTTTGCACCACCATCCCTTGGCTGTGTGCTTGTGTGCTGGCAGAGTCAAGTCACGGTGACAGCTCACAGAGGTGACTTTTGAGTCGACTCAAAAGTCACCCCGTTCGCCCCCCTTTGCACCGCCATCCGTTGGCTGTGCGCTTGTGTGCTGGCAGAGTCTTGTCACGACAACAGCTGTACCGGTATTTGTGCAACTTTTGAGAATTCTGAGAAGTCGCACCAATGTGTGCTTGTGTGCTGGCTGGCAGAGTCATGTCACGACGACAGCTCACAGCCACCGGCAGTGCAAGGCATTTCAGGTGAGCATTGCTGAGGCAGGAACGATGCCTTGGATGCCTTGCACGAGCATCGTTCCTGCCTCGTGCTCAACTTATGTCATACTAATTCCACTGTAAATGTGTGCTGTGCTGTACATATGGTTTAGACCCATAGCAGCAGGTAGGGCCTTGTCAATACAGCAAGGTAAAAACGCAACCGGTAGAATCAGGAAGCCAGCTTGGACTGAAATTGACCAGAAGACGACCATAATGGCCGGGAACGCATTGCTGTTTGAAGTACTGGACCAAATTGCTATTTAAATTAAGGCAACACAACATAAACACTACCGTAAGGACCTGTACTTTCCTACGGTAGTACTCCCAGCACAGTGAAGGCCCGAGACTTCAAACTCCTGTCGTGCCGAACATTTTGCTGCACGCTATACAGAAAGAAAACGTCCACAAAGTACCGGTATGGTATGAAACAATCATAGACACGCAGGGGACACGGAGTACACTACACGGTGTACTTTCTATCAGCCATGACGCGCATAGTGCAGCCCAGCCCCGCCTCCTTGCAAGTATTTGTGAGGCGCCTCATAAGCAGGACACATGCTACATGGTGAGGTGAGCTATGCTAGACGGTGTGCTTCCTATCAGCCATAACGCGCATGATGCAGCCCAGCCCTGCCTTCTCCGTGAGCTTCTCATGCACCCGCAGCGCCCGCGCACACAGCGATGGGTCGCCTGTCCTCAGTGCTCGATACAGGTACCTGCCGGGAGGGCAAGGCCATGTGGGGAGGCACGTGACTATGGAGGGGGGGCACAGCGAGGTGCAGGGGGACACAGCGGGGTGCAGGGGGCATGACACAATCGGGTGAAGGCGCACACAGCAATGCACCCCCCGTCCTCAGCGCTCGGTACAGGTACCTGCCGGGACATGGTGGTTGGGGGGCACGATGAGGTGAAGGGGCACGGCAGGGTGAGGGTGCAGGGCGGGCTGGCATGGAAAGGTGTGGAAGGTGTGACACACCTGGGTGGGGCGCTTCATAACAAGTAGGCGCGGTGCAAGAGCAAAGGTGCTGGATGGTATGAGAGGCAGAAGAGTGTCGCTCGTGGCATGGTGGGACAGGCGGAAAAAGGGACAAGTAAAGAGAAAGAGAGGCGCCAGAAGATACCAAAAGGGGGAACGACAGAACGTGGGAGGAAGAAATGGGAAGAGAGCAAGACATGAGAGCGAGTGACAGCAGCAGTGGAGAGTGCAGCAAAAGCAGCAGAGGGAGCAGCAACAAAAAGGTAGCGCGCGCAACCAACTCGGCCTCTTGGCCGCTAGCACCCGCTGCACCACCTCTAGTCAACTCAGAAGTTACATGCATTACCTTTTTACCTTCACCTCTGCTTTTCAGGCTTAAACCATGTGTTGCAAGATTTGTGAATGGCCCCCAATGCATCGACAGGTGTATTTATATTAGTTGCACAAGTCACACTCCCCCTCTCTGTCCTAACACGCAATCTGCGCTGCATGTGCAAACACACAGCACTCACCGCATGAGTGTGTCGCACCCCTCCGACTTGAGCCCTGCAATGGCCCCACCCACATCCTCCACTGCCAGCAGCACGCTGACTCTTGCTTGAACCACCTCTAAAGTCACACGGCACGGCAGCACACATGGTACTTACTTACACAGCCTGCACTGCGACAGCACTCACCGCATGAGCGTGTCGCACCCCTCGGACTTGAGCCCTGCTATGGCCCCATCCACATCCTCCACTGGCGACAGAGCGCTGACTGTTGAGTCGGCTCAGAAGCCACGCGGCACTCACCAACACAGCGGGGCAAGTAACGGCAGCACACAGCACACAACACACAGCACTCGCCGCATGAGCCCCTCGGACTTGAGCCCTGCGATGGCCCCATCCACGTCTTCCACTGCCACCAGTGCGCTGACTGTTGAGTCGACTCACCCCTCTTACGCATCTGCACTACAAACACACGGCACTCACTCACCGCATGAGTGTGTCGCACCCCTCCGACTTCAACCCTGCAATGGCCCCATCCACATCCTCCACTGCCACCAGCACGCTGAGTGTTGAGTCAACTCACCCCACTAACGCAATCTGCACTATTCAAGCACACAGCATTACTCACCGCATGAGTGTGTCGCACCCCTCCGACTTGAGCCCTGCAATGGCCCCATCCACATCCTCCACTGCCACCAGCACGCTGACTGTTGAGTCAACTCACCCCACTAACGCAATCTGCACTATTCAAGCACACAGCATTACTCACCGCATGAGTGTGTCGCACCCTTCCGACTTGAGCCCTGCAATGGCCCCACCCACATCCTCCACTGCCACCAGCGCGCTGACTCTTGCTTGAATGACCTCTGAAGTCACACGGCACTCACCCACACAGCAGGGCAAGGAATGGCAGCACCCGGTACAACACTCACCGCATGAGTGTGTCGCATCCGTCGGACTTGAGCCCTGCGATGGCCCCATCCACATCCTCCACTGCCACGCCACCAGCGAGCCAAGTTTTGAGTTGACTCAAAAGCCACACGGCACTCACCCGCACAGCAGGGCAAGGGACAGCAGCACACATGGTACTTACTGACACAGTCTGCACTACGACAGCATTACTCACCGCATGAGTGTGTCGCATCCGTCGGACTTGAGCCCTGCAATGGCCCCATCCACATCCTCCACTGCCACCACCACCAGCATGCTGACTCTTGCTTGAACCACCTCTAAAGTCACACGGCACGGCAGCACACATGGTACTTACTTACACAGTCTGCACTATGACAGCACTCACCGCATGAGCGTGTCGCACCCCTCCGACTTGAGCCCTGCTATGGCCCCATCCACATCCTCTATTGCCACCAGCGCCCGCTGCACCACCTCCCAGTTGGCATCCTGCACAGCAGATGAGGGCAAAGTGCGGAAGGAAATGGAAGGGATTTAGTGAAGGCAACGAAGGCTAGGGCAGCCGCTGCACCACCTGCCAGTTGGCATCCTGCCCGCCCCTCACCAGCACGGGAGGGTACAGATACAGAGCGGCACGAGATGGACAGGACTCAGAAAATGACCTTTGAGGCGTGTCAAGGCACCGACACCAGCGCCCGCTGCACCACCTCCCAGTTGGCATCCTGGCAGCCCCTCACCAGCACGGGAGGCCAAAGAGCGGAAAGATGGAACAGACTTAGTGAAGGCAGCGGAGTTTAGGGCAAATGAAACCACTCTGGCAATGGAATGGCATCCTCCCAGTTGCAGAGATTAGGACAGATGAAACCACGTGCAGGGGTTGGTGACACACTTAGTAGAACAAACCATGTGGTTGCCAACTGCTGCACCACCTCCCAGTTGGCATCCTGTCCACCACTCACCGGCACAGCAGGGCATGCAGTGGCAGGCACAGAGTGAAAGGAATAAAAGGCATGGATTCTCTCCGTCCCTTTTACTTGTGCAGGTGTTTTGCAGCAACATCCTACCATAATGGAGGACACTTGGGGTGGTACTGTCACAATGCAACATGGGGGCTGAACAGGGGAAGAAACGAGCTGATGTAAGGACGGTCTAGAGTCTAAACTTAATCATCTCAGTGCCCCATAACTTTGTGTTCTAGGCTCTAGCTTTCCATGCGAGGCTATAACAAGCGTACCTTGCACTTCTGGTCGCGTGTGGCAATGGAGGATTGCTCACAGCCGCCTTGACTACTTTTGAGGCGCCTCATTTTGAGGCGCCTTTGGAGGACTTTTGAGGCGCCTCACAAGCGTACCTTGCACTTCTGGTCGCGTGTGGCAATGGGAGGATTGCTCACGGCCGCCTTGAGCGCCTCTGGCACTCGTCCCCTGCAAACCCCCGTTAACGCGGGAAGGGCGGGTAGGGGGGAAGGGGGGGAAGTAGGTTAGGAGGAAAGGGGGAGTGAGGGGTTGGCAATAGGTGGGTTGCTCACAGCCTCTGGCACTCGACCCCTGCAAGCCCCGTGCAAACGTTGGGTGTGGGGGGTGGCGGGTGGAGGAGGAAGGGGGCGGGGAGGAGGGTTGCGAATGAGCGCACAATCAAGCTCACAGCCGCCTTGAGCGCCTCTGGCACTTGAACCGACCCCTGTAGGGCAGGTTCCGTGCACGCGGGGAGAGGAGGGGAGAAAGGGGGAAGGCAAGTGCGGGAAGAGGGGGATGGGAGGAGGACCAGTGCGCCATCGCGCTCACAGCCTCCTAGAGAGTCTCTGGGACTTGACCCGACACCTGTAGGGCAGACCCTGTGCACGCGGGGAGAGGAGAGGGGGGATGGGGGAAGGGGGAAGGGGGATGGGGGAAGAGGGAAGAGGGATGGGGGATGGGGAAAGAGGGAAGAGGGATGGGGGAAGGGGGAAGGGGGGAAGGGAAGAGGGATGGGGGAGGCGGAAGGGGGATGGGGGAAGGGGGATGGGGGAAGATGGGGGAAGGGGGATGGGGGAAGATGGGGGGATGGGGAAAGGGGGATGGGGGGAGGGGGATGGGGAAGGGGGATGGGGAAAGGGGGATGGGGGATGGGGGGAGGTGGAGGGGGAAGGATGGAAGGGAGGGGGGAGGGGGGATGGGGGATGGCGGAAGGGGGATGGGGGACAAGCGCACCATCAAGCTCACGGCCCCCTTGAGCGCCTCTGGCACTTGACCCGACCCCCTGCAGGGCAGGCCCCGTGCACGCGGGGAGAAGGGGAGGGGAGACGTGGGAGAAGGCAGGGTCGGGAGAGGGGGTGGTGGTGATGGGATGGGAGGGCGACTTGAGCGCCTCTGAAACGAAACCCCTGCTGGCCCCGTGCACACGGAAAAGGGTAGGGGGGAGGGGAAAGGCAGGGGGAGGAGATGGGTGGCTCACAGCTGAGGTTTGACTCAATCGATTGAGGCCGGTCCCAATCGACCCAAAACTGGTTCGCGTTTTAATCTCGGATCTGGGAGTTCGGATTACTCAAGTTCTTGGCACTTAAGCGGGGCACAACTCAGAGAGTATCACTGTCTTTGTTTTGCTAAAAGTATCTTTCTAACTGCTGCTCGCCTAAGTCTTCATGGCCGACGGTGAAGGCAGGGGAGGGGATGGGTCGCTCACAGGTGCCTTGAGCGCCTCTGAAACGAATCCCCTGCTGGCCCCATGCACGCGGAAAAGGGGAGGGGGGAGGGGGAAGGGGGAAGGGGGAAAGGAGGAAAGGGGAAGGGGGAAGGGGGAAGGGGATGGGTCGCTCACAGCTGCCTTGAGCGCGCCTCTGGCACGCAACCCCTGCAGGCCCCGTGCACCTGGGAAAATGGGGGAGGGGGACGGGGAAAAGGGGAGGGGGACGGGGGAAAGGGGAGCGGCGGGGGCTTGAAAGGGAGGGGTGGGGGACGAGCGCACCATCACAGTCACACGTGGGAGAAATCGGGAAATCCCGCATGGAGGGAGCTAGAGGGCGGATGGAGGGAGCGAGAGGGGCGGATGGAGGGAGCGAGAGGGATGGATGGAGGGAGAGAGAGGGATGGATGGAGGGAGGGGAGAGAGGGGCGGATGGAGGGAGAGAGAGGGGCGGATGGAGGGAGCGAGAGGGGCGGATGGAGGGAGCGAGAGGGGCGGATGGAGGGAGCGAGAGGGGCGGATGGAGGGAGCGAGAGGGCGGATGGAGGGAGCGAGAGGGGCGGATGGAGGGAGAGAGAGGGATGGATGGAGGGAGAGGGAGGGGCGGATGGAGGGAGAGAGAGGGATGGATGGAGGGAGAGATAGGGGCGGATGGGGGGAGAGAGGGGCGAATGTATGCAGGGAGCATGAGTGGGCTGAATGGACGGAGCGGGCTGGGCGAGTGGAGGGAGCGAGAGGGGCGAAAGCACGGGCCGAGGGGCGAATGCAGGGAGGGAGGGGGGGAATGCAGGGAGGGAGAGGGGGAATGCAGGGAGGGTGAGGAGGGAATGCAGGGAGGGAGAGGGGGGGATGAACGGGCCCTAGGAAGGGGGACGAGGGGGTGAGTGATCGAATGCCAGGCGATGCGTAAGGAGCGGCTCACTCGGAGAGGAAGTGCGCGACGCGCTGCGAGCGGTCGTCGATCTTGGCGAGAATCTCCTCGGGGCTCTCCGCGTCGGAACGAGGGGGGGACGTGGGAGGACGAGGAGGGACGTGAGGGGGACGTGGGAAAACGTGAAGGGACGTGGGGGGAGCGGCTTACTCAGACAAAAAATGCGCGATGCGCTGCGAGCGGTCGTCAATCTTGGCGAGAATCTCCTCGGGGCTCTCCGCGTCGGAAGGAGGGGGAACTCGGGGGGACGAGGGGGGACGAGGGGGGACGAGGGGGGACGAGGGGGGACGCGGGGGGGGGGGGAGGAGGCTCACTCGGAGAGGAAGTGCGCGACGCGCTGCGAGCGGTCGTCGATCTTGGCGAGAATCTCCTCGGGGCTCTCCGCGTCGGAACGAAGAGGGGCGTGGGGGGACGTGGGGGGGATAGGGGACGGGGACGCGGGGGGACGAGGGGAGACGCGGGGGGACGAGGGGGGACGAGAGGGGACGTGGGGGGACGTGGGGGAGCGGCTTACTCAGACAAAAAATGCGCGACGCGCTGCGAGCGGTCGTCGATCTTGGCGAGAATCTCCTCGGGGCTCTCCGCGTCGGCGTCGTCGTCCGACCCCATCGCCAGCTCCTCCTCCTCCGCCATCCCCGCCGCGCCGTGCTACCGTGCGTCGCGCTGCCGCCCGCCTGCTACGTCCGCCCAGCTACGTCCCGCTGCCCGCTGCCCGTGGCACGCCCCGCCCAGTTACGTCGCCGAGCTACGTCCCGCCGTCGCCACCTGCTACGGCCCCGCTGCGTCGCCCTGAGTCCCGCTACGAGGCCGCGACCGCTACGTCCCGCTGTCCCTGCTGCTCGATCGCCCCAGCTACGTCGGCGAGTTACGTCCCGCTGCGTCCCCCTGAGTCCCGCTCCGAGGCCGCGACCGTCTGGGCGGTTCGCAGCTGTACGAGTACCTAAACACTAGGGAGACCTGAACACCGAACTTGCGTGGCCGCAGTGGGAATAGTCAAAACATTGTCGAAACGACGAAAATCTAGGGTTCGGTATTTGTGTCAGAGTGGTTCAAATGCTGGTTACCGGACTCGGTTCTTCGTGCGATAAACGGCGAAATGTAGTTCTCGCGTTACGTGAGCCTCACACTAAATTTGGATCTGCTTATAATCTGTTCTGTTCAAGTCTTGTGTTGCTTCAATGATTTTTCTGAGAATATATTTTGAAAAACACCATCAACCAGCTCTATCCAAAGCACTAGCAGCCAAATCTTGAAACGTAAAATCCAGAACCTTCTCATCCTCCACCACCTCTCCCTCCAAAAGTCCCTCCTTCACATCCCTACACCGCACATTGGCAAGTCTCCTAACTAGAAGGCCTTGAAACGCATCTGCTTAGACGCAGCGGCTCAACAAACGAGGCATTCTAGTCGTCCCATAGGAATCCCAAAGGTACTCCACACGATGTACTGATAGAATGTGTACCTTCCGCGGATCTACCAATTGCTTCCTCCTCCGCTGCGCTCCAAGGCAGAAGCCCCACTAAGAGCTGCGCCTCGTAACTGGCGTTGCCGTGGTGTGGCTGACTGCAGGTGTTGATGCTGTACATATATGATTTCATGCTCGCTCATGAGGTGTTGGCAGGCAGACGATGGAGTCACGAGAGAAAAGTGAAGGGCGGCGGGGTAGTGGGGGGAGAGGAGGGGAAGGAGAGGGTGAGACAAGGCAAGACGTGGCAGCTTAAAGCCAGGATCTCAAGTACCGGAAATTGTTGTCAACTGCAAAACACTTGACGGCTGGTTACTATGTTATTTGCACCGAAGTGACAGGTTGGTTTGTTATGCATTTTGATTGGTCACCTCACCAAACCAGCCCTGGAAGCCTATTCTGCGACCCCAGGCGACCTCAACCACGGAAAGAGTCGCCAGCCCCGCAATGTCAAACGCAAAACATCAGCCAAACAACTCGAGACAGAATGTGGAAATGACTAGCAGAGGAGAACGATTGAAATCCCACGCCAGAAGTAACTACAGCAAACTCATTCACCCCCAGCAGCACATCCTGTTCTCGCGCGTGAATCACTCGAAGACGATTCACGGAAGCCTACATCGACATAATAACGCATTGGAGAAGAAACATTGCGTAGGATAGTACCGTAGGTAGAATCCCTCCGCATTCGTCGCGACGCCTGCAATGAGGTCTCGTCGCCGTAATAGAAGGCGCAATGTAAGGCACAGCAAGTTAGTGGATAGTCTTCACCGCGTTCAGTCGGATGGATGCGACGTACAAAATTTAGGCGCGAAGAACAAACAGGGGCCTTAGGAGTGTGAATGTTGCATAGCCACGGGTTAACTGTGCCCGCGCCGCGTCCCCCCTCGTTGGCCCGCCATGCCTTGGAGTGGGGAGCTGCCGCATCCGCCAGCATTCCTCCCCTCCGCGTTCGCATTCCTCCCCTCCGCATCCCAGCATTCCTCCCCTCCGCGTTCGCATTCCTCCCCTCCGCGTTCGCATTCCTCCCCTCCGCGCTCACATTCGGCCCATCCGTGCTCACATTCGGCCCATCCGCGCTCACATTCGGCCCATCCGCGCTCACATTCGGCCCATCCGCGCTCACATTCGGCCCATCGGCGCTCACATTCGGCCCATCCGCGCTCACATTCGGCCCATCCGCGCTCACATTCGGCCCATCCTCGCTCACATTCGGCCCATCCTCGCTCACATTCGGCCCATCCGCGCTCACATTCGGCCCATCCGCGCTCACATTCCTCCCTTCCACGCTCACATTCCTCCCCCTCCGCTCTCACATTCCTCCCCTCCGCTCTCACATTCCTCCCCTCCGCTCTCACGTTCCTCCCCTCCGCCTCCTCGCTCACATTCCTCCCCTCCCCCTCCGCGCACACATTCCTCCCCCTCCTCGCTCACATTCCTCCCCTCCCCCTCCGCGCACACATTCCTCCCCCTCCTCGCTCACATTCCTCTCCCTCCGCGCTCATATTCCTCCCCTCCGAGCCCCTACCCTCCCCTCCGCCCTCACATTCTTCCCCTCCGCGATCGCATTCCTCCCTTCTGCCCTCACATTCCTCCCCTCCCCCTCCACGCCCACATTCCTCCCCTCCGCTCTCACGTTCCTCCACTCTACCTCCTCGCTCACATTCCTCCACCTCCTCACTCACATTCCTCCACCTCCTCACTCACATTCCTCCCCCTCCTCACTCACATTCCTCCCCCTCCTCGCTCACATTCCTCCGCCTCCGCGCTCACATTCCTCCCTTCCCCCTACGCATTCCCATTCCTACCATCCGCGCTCATATTCCTCCCCTCTGCGCTCACATGATTCCTCCCCTCCGCGCCCCTACCCTCCCTCCGCCCTCACATTCCTCCCCTCCGCGCTCACATTCCTCCCCTCCACGCTCAAATTCCTCCCCTCACTAGTGTTCCCCCTCCTCATCTCTCATCATCCTCACCGGTTTGTCCTTCGCTCTCCTCTTATCAAACCCGATTGTCTCTCATCACACCAGCCCTAGATGTCTCCCATCCCCTCTCCTCTCCTATGCCCCACTTGTCTCCCATCCCTGCTCCTCTCATATACCCCACTTGTCTCCCCTCCCTGCTCCTCTCACATACCCCACTTGTCTCCCCGTGTGGGTCCTCTCATCTGCTCCACTTGTCTCCCCTCCCTGCTCCTCTCATATACACCACTTGATTCTCCACCCGCCTCCTCTCATATACCCCATTTGACTCCCCTCCTTGCTCCTCTCATCTGCCCCACTTGTCTCCCCTCCTTGGTCCTCTCATCTGCTCCACTTGTGTCCCCTCCCTGCTCCTCTCATATACCCCACTTGTCTCCCCTCCCTGCTCCTCTCATATACCCTACTTGTCTCCCATCCCTGCTCCTCTCATCTGCCCCACTTGTCTCCCCTCCCTGCTCCTCTCACATACCCCACTTTCTCCCCTCCCTGCTCCTCTCATCTGCCCCACTTGTCTCCCCTCCCTGCTCCTCTCACATACCCCACTTTCTCCCCTCCCTGCTCCTCTCATCTGCTCCACTTGTCTCCCCTCCCTGCTCCTCTCATATACCCCACTTGTCTCCCCACCCGCCTCCTCTCATATATTCCATTTGTCTCCCCTCCCTGCTCCTCTCATCTGCCCCACTTGCCCCCTCCCTGCTCCTCTCATCTGCTCCGCTTGTGTCCCCTTCCTGCTCCTCTCATATACCCCACTTGTCGCCCCTCCCTGCTCCTCTCATATACCCCACTTGTCTCCCCTCCCTGCTCCTCTCATATACCCCACTTGTCTCCCCTCTCTGCTCCTCTCATATGCCTTACTTGTCTCCCCTCCCTGCTCCTCTCATCTGCTCCACTTGTCTCCCCTCCCTGCTCCTCTCATATACCCCACTTGTCTCCCCTCCCTGCTCCTCTCATATACCCCACTTGTCTCCCCTCCCTGCTCCTCTCATATACCCCACTTGTCTCCCATCCCTGCTCTTCTCATCTGCCCCACTTGTCTCCCCTCCCTGCTCCTCTCACATACCCCATTTGTCTCCCATCCCTGCTCCTCTCATCTGCCCCACATGTTGCCCCTCCCTGCTCCTCTCATATACCCCACTTGTCTCCCCTCCCTGCTCCTCTCATATACCCCACTTGTCTCCCCTCCCTGCTCCTCTCATATGCCTTACTTGTCTCCCTCCCTGCTCCTCTCATCTGCTCCACTTGTCTCCCCTCCCTGCTCCTCTCATCTGCTCCACTTGTCTCCCCTCCCTGCTCCTCTCATCTGCTCCACTTGTCTCCCCTCCCTGCTCCTCTCATATACCCCACTTGTCTCCCCTCCCTGCTCCTCTCATATACCCCACTTGTCTCCCATCCTTGCTCCTCTCATCTGCCCCACTTGTCTCCCCTCCCTGCTCCTCTCACATACCCTACTTTCTCCCCTCCCTGCTCCTCTCATCTGCCCCACTTGTCTCCCCTCCCTGCTCCTCTCACATACCCCACTTTCTCCCCTCCCTGCTCCTCTCATCTGCTCCACCTGTCTCCCCTCCCTGCTCCTCTCATATACCCCACTTGTCTCCCCACCTGCCTCCTCTCATATATTCCATTTGACTCCCCTCTCTGCTCCTCTCATCTGCCCCACTTGTCGCCCCTCCCTGCTCCTCTCATATACCCCACTTGTCTCCCCTCCCTGCTCCTCTCATATACCCCACTTGTCTCCCTTCCCTGCTCCTCTCATATGCCTTACTTGTCTCCCCTCAGTCAGCTCCTCTCATCTGCTCCACTTGTCTCCCCTCCCTACTCATCTCAGATACCCCACTTGTCTCCCTTCGCTGCACCTCTCATATACTCCACTTGTCTCCCCACATTCCATTCCAAATCCACATCCCAAAACGCATTATGACACTCCAGGTGGATGTGGAGACGGATGCATCCAATGCCACAAATCAAGCATGCGACTCCACACCACCGTGCTTCAAGCCCATCTTGGATACAATAAAGCAACGTAACGTGACCATCGAAACACACATGCTGATTCCTATGGCGATGATGCGCTGTGGGTTAACGGCTCTGAGAGGAGGAGATTATGTCGCAAGCGCTAATGACGTGCTCTATGTGCTCGCATCAGAGGCTGGAGAAGCTGTGTCAAAACTGTTTACTGCTGCGGAACAAGCTGGTGGGTGGGTCGTTGGGCGCCCGCTTCGTGTAAGGGGGCTTAGGAAGTGTATAGACCAAACCAAGAAGGATGCTTGCAAGAAAGGTAAGCTAGAGCCCATATTGCTGCTTGCAACCGGAGCATGAAACCAGTGCTCATATTGCTGCTTGCAACCGGAGCATGAAACCAGTGCTCATATTGCTGCTTGCAAGCGGGGCATGAAACCAGTGCTCATGTTGCTGCTTGCAAGCGGAGCTTAAAAACCAGTGGTTACCTCTCCGCTTGCCCTAGGAGGTATAAACCCAAGCTCATGTTGCTGCTACAAGTGGAGCATGAAAACCAGAGCGTGAGTGCTGCAGCAGGTGTTGCGATGCTGCGTGAAACCACCATGATCTCAACCCCACCAAGCCTCCCTCCCCTTTTATTGTGGTACTCAAACGTCAGGAACCGGGGGAGGCAGTGCCCGCATCACAGCACAACTCCACCTTGATGCACAGTGGAGTAAATTTCAAAGAAAGAGCAAGGGGGATGGGGAGTCCGTGAAGGAGATACTGAATAGGAGCCCCCGTTGTGCACCTGACTTTGAGTATCAGATACCGACATACAAGAAAGATGAAAAGGGGCGGGTAGTACCGGATAAGGGCTTTTATCACGGAGGATCCAGAAAGGGTGTAAACTACGAGGCTTTGAAAGCTTCAGGTAAGACCTTGCAATAGAGGGCGAAAATGAGGTGCTCGACCAGCAGCTGGTAAACCCAGCAATAACATCATCACAGCAGTTGATCGGGATTGACACATGCCTTGCATTGGCAGGTGCACATGTCGAGGCCAATTGTGAAGCGCAGCTCCAGGGGAACACCGAAGAGCCTGTCATGAACAGCCACGCAACCCCAAGAGCATTGACAGATGTAGGCGTTGTTTTGGAGGGGATTGGAGATGGGAGTGGGGGACTTCAACAGCCTGGTGGGGAGGTGGTGGTTGGCGAATGTCAGGCTAATGGTGGGCCCTTGGAAAACACCTCAACCGATGGGGCAGCAACATGCGGTTGTACGCCAGGGCCGGCTAGTGAAGAAACGCATGCAAGATAGGGGGGGTTCCATATCTTCCACACCACTACTCCAAATAGATGACGTGTCCATATATGTGTTGCATTCGTTTGTATGATTGTGATTCATGATTTGCACCTTGGTATTCTTTCCATACTTGGCATCAATCAACAGGAGAGGAGAGCATATGGACAAAGCACCGGAGGTACCACCGAACAACCCACTTCCCTCAACCACGCGTCCAATGGCCAATGGATTGGTATGCTTGCTGGACCCTCGGCAGCTCATCCGGTTTTTCAGCACATTGAGCGTATGCTGCAGCAAAGGTTCTGGATGTCAGGGGAAAATGGTCCTCAAGTCCTGGAAGCAAGTCTGGGCATGATTTCGCCTTGAATGGGCGTGTGAGAAGTGTGGCAAAGTCAAACATTTTTGGTCCACAAATCGAGGCCACACAACAGGTAAGGGGAGTAAAAAGGGCCCTCAATCCTCCCTTCTCCTTCCCAAATATATAGCTTCGTTTGCGATGGCAGGCATTGGTTACCAACAATTATGGGAAGTTAGTCGCTCTCTTGGTCTCCCTTGTCTTGGAAGAGAGACGCTCTATAGGTACATGAGAGGGCCTCTTGGGTTGTGGAAGGCAATAAAGACGGCAGCAGAGAAGTCAATGGCCGAGGTTCGAGCAGAAATGTGCAAGAGAGCGATTCCAGGGGAGTGGTTGTGCGTGGACGGACGCTGGCCTCATCCACGTGAAGCTGAATGGTACACTGTTTCCTTCATTGACCCAATCACCCGCAAAATAGCCCTTGTGGTGACAAAGTGGAAGGCGGTAGAGAAGGTTTCTTCAACAGCTTTGGAGCTGCGTGCTTTCGAAGACGGACTTAACCAGTTACGGGCGATGGGTTTCCAGGTCAAGGGGATCATTTCTGATGACGGGGGATCATTCAAGACAGGGATCGAGGGATTAGGAATTGCTCACCAGAAGGACGTGTGGCATAAGGGCCGAGCATTGGCACGTAAGTTCATCAAAGATTTGATTGATGCAAAGCGCCCTGCAATGAAGGTCGCAGCTGCCACTTGCACTGGCGATCTGTGGTTGTGTTCAAGAGTGGTGCTCTTCACATGGCTGAAAGAGCACGGTACCCCAAAAGAAGGTTTGAGCACAGCTTCTGGGAAAGCAGATCTCATCGAAGGCGTGTGTGAAAAGCTTGGCAAGTTTGTGTATGATCCACAAGCAGTCCCGACGTCTATTTGGTTGTACCCTGAGTTGCGGAAAGTTTTGCGTGTTAGGGAGAACGGGGCAGCAACACGAGCTCCCGTAACCAAGCGCCTGAAGATCGTCCACGGAGGCGCCGCAGAGCACACCCCGTTGGGTTGTGGGGAGGGGAACAACGCCGGGAATGTGGAAGTACCAATTCTGGTGTCCAATGATGAGAACGTCCAGCGGCACCAGCTTGGTGTCGTTTCCATAAATGTCTCTGGAAGTGACCCCCTACGGATCTCTGGGCACGTGCCAGTTGAAATCACCAATGGCGTGGGGTCCGCACCTGAACGTGCAGGCGTGGGGTCCGCACCTGAACGTGTAGGCGTGGGGTCCGCACCTGAATGTGCAGGCGTGGGGTCCGCACCTGAACGTGCAGGCGTAGAGAGGTCGAGACAGGGTGCTGTGGAGAACTTGCATGGCACGATGGGTGTTGCACATGGCGTGATTGACATTGGATGGAATGATGCACCTGAACTGTGGGAATTTGACCCACACCCTATCCATGGTGTTCCAACAACTGCCGAAGCTGACTATGTGCGCATGACAGCTGACACAATGGTGTCTCAAGTGGATGACGATGGGATTTTGACCGACCAAGATCAGACGTTGGACGGTAAGAGTGACAACTCATTTGAACCTTTACACGTACAGTTTGTTGTGACGCTATCATTTAGACTTATGTCTCTTTGTTATTTGGTTTCTTTCAGATGAGGCGAACCATCAGGATACCGCTGATGCTGAGGGGCTGCTAGACTCTCAAAGCACCGTGCCAACCGTGACCCCTCAAACACATGAGAGTGTGGCTGCCCCTCCACGATGGACAGAACGGGTCAGTGGGAAGCGGAAGCGTTGTGCGCTTGCAACCGATGATGAAGATGACGCAGATTATGTTGAAGTTTCACTTGCACAACGGTGGGGTACTCACTTCAACCACATCATGCTTCGCAATTCAACTAAAGCGGCTGCCGGCCACACACCATCAGCTAGTGTTGTTGCACAGGAGCTAGCAACATCAGCCGACCATTGGGCTGGGCTTCACTCCAAGTGTGGAAATGTGGCGGTAATTCCAAGGTGTGTTTCTGAGAAGTGGGGCCCAGAGAATGCCGTGTACGAACCAAATTTATCCGCTCATTTGGCATTGCGGAAATGGCTGGAGACGCATTGTTCTCCGAAGGAGATGGAGGCGTATGTGAGCGGGGCATCCAACTGGGTCAACGAATCATTTCATTCCCTTGTCATCAAATACGCACCGAAGCGTATACGCTTCCAATGGAGTATGGTGCCGAGGATTGGGCTATCCGTTCTGCACTGGAACCATACGGTTTCTCGACTTGTTCGTGCTATCAAGACACGGGTTCGTAAGCGGACCAGGGTGCGACGTGGAAGCAAGGAGCGCATATTGGAAGCCATGGACTGGTCTTGGGTGGACAAAATCATGTCAGATTGGCGTGACATTGGTTTGGAGGGAGATGATTCCGCACAGGTGGATGTGCCCGATGATTCTGACCCACAGGATTCCGATGCTGGTTTCGGGAGCAGTTGTCCTGGAAATGCTGATTCTGACCCTCCAACACAACAGCCTGCTGATGCTGACCGTCCAACACAACAGCCCACTGATTCTGACCATCCAACACGGCAGCCTGCTGATTCTGACCATCCAACACAACAGCCTGCTCATTCTGACCACCCAACACAACAGCCTGCTCATTCTGACCGTCCAACACAACAGCCTGCTGACTCCGCCTCTGCTCAGGCTGTTCCACCATCCACTCCCCTCTCTCTGCGCAAACAATCCGCTACTGCCGTCACACCGAACACTCCCCCAAACCCCACCCATTCCATCATCCAACCCCACACCACTAGTGACCCTACCATTGGGGCCGGTCGTGGAGGGCGGACCCGGTCCAACAACCATGGTGTCGACCTTCGCAGACCTCTTTTCCGTATGTGCCCATACTTGACATTATGGTGATTGTCCTTCCCTTTGCATTGCTTGATGTGTTGTATTTGTGACCTGTGATTCGCCCATGGTCTTTTGTGCCCCTATTGGCAGGAGACACAACAAATCGTAGGTGATTCACCATCGAATCGGGCAAGTATTCGCGCTCCCTGCAAACATCCCCGTGTGTGTGTGTGTGTGTGTGTGTGTGTGTGTGTGTGTGTGTGTGTGTGTGTGTGTGTGCGTGCGTGCGTGCGTGCGTGCATGTGTGTGTGTGTGTGTGTGTGTGTGTGTGTGTGTGTGTGTGTGTGTGTGTGTGTGTGTCTGTATTCTTGTTACTCAACTCCGTGGATATATTACACACCCCCTTCCTTCCATTCATCCCAATCCTCACCCCCTACTTCCTTTTCTCACCATTTACTCCAGTGTTTGAACCGTTGCCTCTGCCCTGACTAGTGCTCTTGGTTGAACTGTTATGCAGGGCCCGCGTGGTCGAGATAATTTCTGGTTCGATACCTTCCCACTGTACCCTCTCGATGCGGCTCGTCTGCGGTAGTTTGTTTTGCATGACACCCTAATCACCCACGTCACATCATTACATGCCCTTATTCTGGTTAACCTCCTGTTGTTGGCAACATGAAACCGACAATCACCAGAGTAAACATATGGGCAACTATTTTGATCTTGGGGTTTAGACCAGTGCCAACTCTCGGGGTAGTCATGCCCGTATCTGAGGGCCGTAGAATCCATGCGACAAAGATGTTTTGCACAAGAAAATGCCGTGCTAGTGGCCACGTTACTGGAATTTCTTGTCTGATTTCTAGCTATCACTAGGGATTTGGTACATGCACTGCGTGGTGATGCCCGACTATCCCCTATGGGAAGAGTGGTATGGTAGGCTCTCAAATGGAGTATGATGATAAAGTGGCTTGAACTCCTCCACAAGCACAATCCTGAGGCTTTGCCCTCCCCTTGCGGCTTGTCCCCAGAAGGCATGCAACTCCACGGTCTAATCGGTGCTGAGTGTCAGAGTCGGTCGACACATTAGTACGACCTCTGCAAATTCTGGATGTCTAAACAGGGGGAGAGAGAAGTCTTGAAACATAGCAGATGCGGATCATAGCAGAGAAAGGGGAGAGAAGCATGGGAGCGGTGAATCATGGAAGCAGAGAAGGGGAGGAGAAGAGAAGCAATGGTCGCAGAGATGCATGTGAGATATGAAGCATGGGAGCAGTGAAATGGGGAAGAAGTGAAGAAAGGGAGCAGAGAACCCTGGGCTGCGGAGAAGGGGAGAGAAAAGTGAGGCAAGGGATTCTCTCCAGGTGGAGAGAAGTGAGCCATGGGAGCAGTGATGCATGGAAGCAGGGAAGGGGCGGGAGAAGTGAGGCATTGGAGCAGCGGAGCGTGGAGAGCAATAAACTATGGACTATTACCAACCATCCCACCCACCTGTTTCACCATGCGCTTCTTGTCTCCTTGAACGTTCAGCCGTGTTTTGACAAGACCCAGGGCCGTATACTCTGCCTTGTTCCTTCTGCCTCCGCACATGGGGAGGAGGAAGGGTGAAGGAATAACACGACAATAATCCCTTGTGCAGGAGTAAAGAGGAACCGGCAAGCAGGAAATCGAAAGCGGAGTGCCGGTGTGAGAACATACAAGGGGAGTCGTTGTGGTGTTGGCAGGCAGAAAGGAAACAAGGGGGGGAACAGGGGGGGGCGGGACAGGAGGAAGACAGGGAGAGTGGAGAGGGGAGAGGGAGAGGGAGTGGACAGGGGAGAAGGTGTGGGAGTAGTGCTAGGGCCGAGAGTGTGGGAAAGATGGGAGCGAAGGGGGGTTCTTGTGCCATGAAGGAAACAGCGAGTATGGCGTATGTTGCAGAAACTGCTAGAAACAGCAAGGGCCTCCGTCCAAATTTTTCACCTCAGTCAGCCCGAGTGCTGCACCCACTGGCAGACGCGGCGCTCCGCCCGCACAGGGCTGATCTGTTATGAGCACAATCTGCTGCAGCGCTGCCGTGTGCCCACTCAGCATCCTAAACGCCTGATGTGTGTGGGGAACACAAGGGATGGGGTATGGATGGGGTGTGGGATAGGACGCGCTGCACCCAGTGGCACACGCGGCGATCCCGTGTGGGTCGATGATTAAGGCAGGGTGGAGAGCTGGAGGCCATTGGGCGCACGTGGGATGAAGGGAGAAAGGCAGAGAGGGTGGAAAGGTGGAAGAAGGGTGTAAGGGAGACTGGGGAAAGGGGGATGAAGGGTGTAAGGAAGTGAGGTGAAAAGGGGAAGCAGGACGTAAGGCACCGAGAGTGAAAACGTGGAAGAAGGGGGTAAGGGAGATTAGGGAAAGGGGGAGAAAGGGCGTAATGCAGAGAAGGGAAAGGGGGAGGCAGGGCGAAAGGAAGAGAGGGGAAAGGGGGAAGCAAGGCGTAAGGCAGAGAGTGCAAGGTGGGGGAAGAAGGGTGTAGGGAAGAGAGAGAAAAGGGGAAGAAGACTGTAAGGCAGTGAACGCATGGTGGGGGAAGAATGGTATAGGGAAGAGAGGGGAAAGGGAGGAGCAGGGTGAATGCCACAGAAGGAAAGAGACATAAAAAATGCCGGGCAGAGCGGGTAGTAAGGGGGAAGAAGGGTGTAGTGAAGATAGGGGAAAGGGGCAAGAAGGCACTTCACAGTGAGCGACAGCGATGTCATCATGGCGGGCACTAACCGCGGAGCTGCAGTTTGCGGCTGTAGCAGCTGGGTATGGGTGCTGGTGTTGCTGCTGGTGGGGGTCGTGCTGAGGGTTATCCACGCATGTGGATGGGAGTGGCAGGGGTGGCAGCAGCACCATCGCCCACTGCAGGAACCGCAGCAGCGTGTGTGTCACAGGGTACACACCTATTCGGGAGATGAGGACTCTGGTGAGGGCGCAGGTGAGGGCGAGGGTGAGGCAGTGGGCGACGGTGGAGGGAAGCAGGAGACGAGGCAGGAGGTCCCAGCAGCAGAAGATGGCGTACGAGCGCGAGGTGGCGAGCAGCAGGCGCGCCATGAGCCCATCGTGCGACGCACCGCTGCTGGCTCTCCTAGCTGCATCAATTGTGGTGGCCGGAACGATGCTCGCTGCTGATGGTGGTGACGCGGGTTGGGGGGGGTTGGGGCATGAAAGGGAGGACGGAGAGTGAGAGGGGAGGGGAGAGATGAGAGAGAGGGAGAGAGTTTGGGGGATCTGAGTTTGGTGTTCCAAGAAGCACCAGGGGGTGGTGGTGGTAGTGCCTCACGTGCATTGCACTGCACTGCCTCTCCATTCTCCCCTCTACTACCTCCCCGCCCCCCTGCCCGCCATGCCTTGTTACCACCTGCCCGCCCATTACATGAAGAGTGTTCGATTCCAGCAACGCGCAGCCCCCATCCCAACCTGCGAGCACCACACACTCCCCATCACCCCCCACGAATCGTGCTGCGTGGTAAATTCCCTTTCCGTCCATCCATAGCCCCTCTTCGTCCCCACCTTCCCTTCGCTCTAGGTCCTCCGCCAGCGATCTTCCCCCCCATCGCCGTTCCCCCCAGCGCCGCTCCCCGCACGCCTGTGTACGCAGCTCCCTCCCACCCGCAAGGCAGGGGTTGCGGGCGGAAGCGCGGCGAGTCCTGCGCAGAGCAGGGGCGCTCGCAGTCCGACTCGTCGTATGTGCGCCCTTCAGCTGCAGAAGTGACACGCGCACGCTAGGCGACGTGCCCATCAGGGTGCGTCGCCTGCCCGTCCGCCTACCCCTCACCTCTGCTCACGCTATCGCAGTCACCCCTGCTGCCAGTGGGCTCCGCGCCACCCGCCGCGTCGATGTCAGCGCGAGCTGTCGCGGCGACAGCGCCCTCGTTGTCATGAACCCGCTGCCCCGCCTGTAGCTAGGCCTGCTCGGCTCGGCGGGTCTTGGGCGAGCGCGCGTTGGAACGCACAGCGAGAGACGGGCCGCTTGGTCGCCTACCGCTGGCCCTCGCCTCGCCTCGTTCGCGCATGCTGACGCGCCACTGATGCCTCCGTGCTGATTTCGGCTCGGTTGCGCGCTTGTTGTATTGCGAGGCGACTCGCCTGTTGCTACGATCTAAACAGAGACGCGCAGCTAGCCGTTTTCTACCTATGCGCATTACGAGGGGGATTTTGGGTAGTTGGGCATTTCGACCTAAACCAAAATGTGTTTGGAGGTGTGGTGTGCGGTTTAGGAGTGCCATTTTTAGTGCGAGCATTTGGAGGTCTGGGTGTCGCACCCCAACCTCCTCTCAGGTCCGACCTGGTTGGGGTGGTTTGGTTCACGAATTTTTGCCTGTTCGCGGATGTGGCTGCGTGATCGTCAACTTTCTCAAGTCGCCATCCAAAAACAGAACGCCTGTATCTGTCAATTGCAAAACCATTGTTTTACTTGAGATCCCGGCTTTAAGTGAGATAAGCATAAAGAGTTGAGCGAAAAAAGACAAAAGAAAAATGAACATTGAGCGTTGCCACTAATGAGACCACCTCCTTCTGACGATTGTTCTCTCTTGTCCTATGTGTAAGGCCTTCAGCTTGAGGCACGACGAGCGAGACAACGAAAATAGACATTGTTGAGGTTCTCGCTATAGACCGCGAGATGCAGATGCGTGAAATTTGGGAAAACGAAACGGTCGTCTTTAAGGAGCAGCGTCGAGACATGATTCCGAGCAAGTGCGAGCTCCTCAATGAAAACAAAACGGTCTTCTTTAGCAAGCAGCGTCGATACCTGATCCCGATCAAATCTGCGTCACCGATGACAAACGGACGCGATGAGAAGGCAGTGAACGGCCGCTGTACAAGCAGAGCATGACAGTATTCAACGTCGTATATGTTGTAGTTCTGTTCTGAAAGGATCGCAGGATCAAGGAAGTTAGCGAGCCCTAAACCTCTAGAAGTTGACGCATGATCAATATCGTAGAGGTTTAGGGCCCGCCAACCGCCTTATTCTGCGACCCTTTCAGAACAAGAATACAGCATACACGACGTTGAAATACCGTCATTCCCTGCTTGTGCAGACGCCGCTCACAGCCTTCTCATCGCGTCTGTCTGGCGTCGGTGGCGAGGACTTGCTCGAGAACATGTCTCAACGCTACTAGTAAAAAACGAACGCTTCGTTTTTTTTTTTTTTCGAAGAGCTCGCGAACGCCGTCGCACTCTTCCTCAATCTCACGCATCTGCACTTGGGGTTTAATAGCGCAGACAACCTTAACGACTACCTTTATCACTTCGCTTCGTCGTGCCCCAACATGAAGGCTCTGCACATAGGAACAAAGAGAACAATCATCAGAAAGAGGTAGCCTCTAGGTCCTGCAACGCGTAAGCGTGCTCGTGCCTGATGATGCGACGCTGCCACTACTGCTCTGCGCGCTTGAGCACGAAAAGCACGCCGCCTCTGCCGTTGCTTCCCACTAAGGAGTTGATGGCGCAGCGGATGAGCAGCGCGCCCAAGGGAGGGAGATGTGCTCCGAGGGGCGCAGCTGGTGGTGGTGGGGGAGAGAAGGGCGCACGGGGGTGGAAAAGTGAGGAAGGGAGGGGAAGGAGGGACTTAGGCTGATGAAACGAGGGAGTCGATCGATGTGGCGTGCGTCAGATGAGCAGAGCGCCTTCATTGTTTCAAAGCAGCGTGCCCTCGGATTAGGAAGCTTCACCGGACCTTCGTTTCTTCCTCCCAAGTTCCCCCCTTTACCCCCCATAACAACCCCGAACTGCCCAAAACTGAGTTGAACAAGAAGGGTGAAAAAGGGATTTTAGGGTGGGGAAAGGAAGGGTGGGCAAAGGAAAGGGGGGGGGGTGGGGGGAGGCCAATGGAAAGGAACTTCAATCTCAATATAAACATAATACCAAGAGGTGCGAAAACAGAATTCCAAGCGGTGTGAAAACAGGGGGTGAAAACAGAATCCTAAGGGGGGTGAAAACAAAATCCCAAGGGGGGTGGAAACAGAATCCCAAGGGGGGTGGAAACAGAATCCCAAGGGGGGTGAAAACAAAATCCCAAGGGGGGTGATAATAGAATCCCAAGGGGGGTGATTAGACATGATCAATCGAGGCGAGTTTTAGCTCGACTCGCTGGCTCGACTCGACTTTAGGTCGAGTCGAGTCAGTTATTTTATTTTCCTGACTCGAGTAGAGTCGAGTCGAGTCGAACTGAGGAGAAATCTCGATGCATCGCCCGACTCGACTTTGGACAGTCTGGTGAGCCACGAGTCGGCGAGTCGGCGAGTCGAGCTGGCCTGACTCGAGGGCCACCAACTTTATCCACGTGGATTCCCGTTGTCAATTCCCCCTCCTTTCCTCATGCAATTTCTCCCGTCACCGAATTCCTGACCATCACTCAATTTCCGCTTGACTAGCAAATCTTCCTTGACACTCAATTTCCGCTCGACATGCAAATCCCCCCCCCAACACTCAATTTCCGCCTGTCACACATCAAATTCCCCCGACACCCAATTTCCGCCTGTCACGCAAATTCCGCCGACACCCAATTTCCGCCTTTCACGCAATTTTGGGTGCGCATCAATTTACCTGTGCTGAAAGGGGAAGGGACGGGATTTTGTCATTCCTACCTTGCATGCTAGCTACGAATCAGGACACGACTTTTGGGGCCCTTAAAAATTCTTTACGGTTAAGTCGAGTCAAGACTGACTCGCGAGTTGTTGACTCGTGCTCGAGTCAAGGCATGACTCGATTTCAGAAGTCGAGCACGAGTCGGCAGTTCCGGAAAACTGACTCGACTATGGCTCGACTCGACTCGACTCGACGCAACTCCCGACTCGACCGCGATTCGAGGTGACTCGGCTCGACTCGACTCGTGATCATGTCTAGGGGTGATAATAGAATTCCAAGGGGGGTGATAATAGAATCCCAAGGGGGTTGATAATAGAATCCCAAGGGGGGTGATAATAGAATCCCAAGGGGGGTGATAATAGAATCCCAAGGGGGGTGATAATAGAATCCCAAGGGGGGTGATAATAGAATCCCAAGGGGGGTGATAATAGAATCCCAAGGGGGGTGATAATAGAATCCCAAGGGGAAGGGTGCAAAACAGAAATCTGAAACTTAGTTTCAGGGGTGTGGGAAACAGAAACTCAGCTTGAAGGGTGTGGGAAACGAAATTTCAATTTCACATATGTGGAAAACTTCATTATCAGGAGCAGTGTGGGAAACATGACTTCATATTCAGGGAGGGCGACAACATAATTTCAGTTTTATTCTGTAGGGTTTGAGAAACAAAAACCTCAATTTCAAGGGTGTGGGAAGCAGGATATCAGAGGTTGAGGGTTTAAGAGGAAAGAGGGGGGAGAGGGCAGGACTCATGGGGGCCGGGGGAAGAGGACGGAAAGACTGGTTCCTACTGTTTATATTCCTTGCTTTATATTCTTTACTGATATTTGGTCACTTTCCAGCTTGTCACCATTACTCTCGTCGCTCTTTTCTTACCGTGGGACGGTGGGTGCACTAAAGCAGCACCTCTTTATGGGCTGTCCCCCTTGCTTCGCCGCCACCAACAGCGCTGCCACCGCTTCGTTGCTGCCTTGACTCTGAGAGAGGAACGGGCGAGCGTGAAGGGGAGGGTGAAGAGGGGGGTTGTAAGCAGCAGCAGCACTCCCACCTCACCGACTTTAAACAGCCAGCAGCATAGAGTTGCTGCAGCCTGGGCTGCACCCATCATACCAACTCACCAGCACCCATCATTCCAACTCACCTGCACCCATCATTCCAACTCACCAGCACCCAACATTCCAACTCACCAGCACCCATAATTCCAACTCACCAGCACCCATCATTCCAACACACCTGAACCCATCATTTCAACCCACCAGCACCCATCATTCCAACTCACCTGCACCCATCATTCCAACTCACCAGCACCCATCATGCCAACCGACCAGCACCCATCACTCCAACTCACCAGCACCCATCACTCCAACTCACCAGCACCCATCATTCCAACTCACCAGCACCCATCATGCCAACCCACCTGCACCCATCATTCCAACTCACCAGCACCCATCATTCCAACTCACCAGCACCCATCATTCCAACTCACCTGCACCCATCACTCCATCCAACTCACCAGCACCAACCATTCCAACTCACCTGCACCCACAATCCCAACCCACCAGCACCCGTCATGCCAACTCACCATGGATTTCAGCGCGGTTGGGCGGACGAGGGGGGGAGAAGCGGAATCTCAGGGAGGCGACAGCATGCTTTCAGACCAGCCCAGCAGACTCATGTCAAACAAATCCAGTATTGCTGACCTGGACGCAGTAAGGGGGGGTGCGAAGGGGTTGCAGAGGAAAGGAGGGGGGGGGGGGTGGGGAGGAAAGGAATTTTTTCACGCACAACCAAGGAGAGGGGCGCATAGACGGGCTCGTTTTAAGGGGGGTCGCAGGGTGGGTTGGTGAATCATGGAAGAATGTGCAGAACACGGAGGGGAAGGGAAGGACGGCACCTGAAGTTAGGAAAGGGCGAGAAGTCATAGTAGGAGCGGTTGTCAGCAGCAGTGGGGATGGCGAGCATCTTAGAGTGACGCGAGGCAGATTGTACAAGCAGTGGTTACCTGGAGGGCGGTGCAGTGGGCGGGGTTGCAAATAAAAACGGCACATACGCACGAGACAGAAAATACGCACAGAAGTCTAGACAGGGTGAAAGGAAGGAGGATGGGCAGGCTGATTACAAAATCGTGTTGAACCGTCTCAGAAAGTGAATGCACTCGACTGGACCCGAGACGGGGTGGTCTGTGCGGTCAATGCGGACAATGCAGTGGATGCAGAGAGCGAAACTAACTATTGGCTGGGTGGAGGCGTACCGAACATGTGGTATGTGGGCCCGGCTGTGAAACCAGCCATTGCATCCAGAGCCTGAAACGAGCAAGGGAATTAGGGTAGGGCAGTGAGATGGGGCGGGGGTAGGGTAATGAGATGGGTACTGGACCCGAAATAGGGTGGTAAGATGGGTGGGGTAGGGTAGTGAAATCGGGTGGGGGTACGGAAGCGAGATGGGTGGGGTAGGGTACTGAGACTCTACTGCCAATCGTGTCAAGTCAACGATTTCAGTCAACGTTGACAGACCTGCCAGGCTCACCGTATTCACAGCTTCCTCGGATCTGTCTGTGGGGCAAAAACCGTCAACAATGTCGCCGAAATGAACCACAAACGACATCGGCGGCGTTGATTGGTCCAATCCTCCACCGCCTTCTTTACCACTGGTGAGGGAGAGGGGGGTAGGGGGAAAAAGGGTAGGGGGATGCGGGACGGGAAAAATTAGGGTAGGGGAAAGCGGGGTGTGGAAGATGGGGATAGTGGAAAGCGGGGTGGGGGAGAGGAGGGTCAAGTATGAAACTTTTATATTCTGCACGTGGTTCTTTTTATTATTTTTCCCGCACTTCACACATTCACCCTTGCTCCCCTCTTACCGCGTGGGGGGCGCTGCGCCTATGAGCCGCCATTGGGCGAGAGGCGGGCGGCGGCGGCGGCGAAGAGTGCATGCGCACGGCGAAGAGTGCATGCGCACGGCGAAGAGTGCATGCGCACGGCGAAGAGTGCATGCGCACGGCGAAGAGTGCATGCGCACGGCGAAGAGTGCATGCGCACGGCGAAGAGTGCATGCGCACGGCGAAGAGTGCATGCGCACGGCGAAGAGTGCATGCGCACGGCGAAGAGTGCATGCGCACGGCGAAGAGTGCATGCGCACGGCGAAGAGTGCATGCGCACGGCGAAGAGTGCATGCGCACGGCGAAGAGTGCGTGCGCAAGGCAGCGCGCGGCTGCACGCAAGGCAGCTGCGCCTATGAGCCGCTATTGGGCGAGAGACGGCCGGCGGCGGCGCGGAGTGCGTGCGTTGCTCCGTGCGCCCGCCCAGCCGGCCGGCGGCCGGCTCCTCGGGCTCACTCGCCCCCGCTCCTGACGAGTTGACTCAAAAGTCTGCTCCGTGCGCCCGTCCAGCCGGCCGGCTCCTCGGGCTCACTCGCCCCGCTCCCATGCTGCCTCCGCCCAGCCCCTGCTGCCGCACACATGAGGGGGAAAGGGGGAAATGGATGTAAGACGGGGAAAGGGGGCGGAGAGACGGCACGCGCCGTTCACCGAGGCAGGTCAGGCAGCGCGCGCGCTGCTGCACGCAAGGCAGCGCGCGGCTGCACGCAAGGCATTCCGCGCGGCTGCGCGCGAGGCAGCGCGCGCGGCTGCACGCAAGGCAGCGCGCGCGGCTGCACGCAAGGCATTCCGCGCGGCTGCACGCAAGGCATTCCGCGCTGCTGCACGCAAGGCAGCGGGCGGCTGCACGCAAGGCATTCCGCCCGGCTGCGCGCAAGGCAATCCGCGCGGCTGCGCGCAAGGTAGCGCGCGCGGCTGCGGGCAAGGCAGCGCGCGCGACTGCACGCAAGGCAGTCCGCGCTGCCTAAGGCAGCGCGCACGGCTGCACGCAAGGCAGCGCGCGCGGCTGCGGGCAAGGCAGCGCGCGCGACTGCACGCAAGGCAGTCCGCGCTGCCTAAGGCAGCGCGCACGGCTGCACGCAAGGCAGCGCGCGCGGCTGCGGGCAAGGCAGCGCGCGCGACTGCACGCAAGGCAGTCCGCGCTGCCTAAGGCAGCGCGCACGGCTGCACGCAAGGCAGCGCGCGATCTGCTCACCTGAATCGGTCACTTCAAGCGATTTAATCGTTTGCTCCACCGGAGCTTCAATCTGACACAATTGCATCTCGCCACTGAAAAGGGGAAATGGGCGAAGAGCTAGCTAAGAGCACTACGCGGTGAAGACAAGTCCGTGAAGACGCTGCGACGAGTAGGGGAAGGTATTCAGGTGGGGTGGAGAAATGGATCTGTATTTAGGTGAGAGAGAGACACGAGCAGGAAGGTGGAGGCGTGTGAAAATCGATTGCCGTGGGGTTTGAGGCAGGTGGGTGGTTGGTTGGAGAGGTGGCTGGCTGGTGGGTGGTGCCTGCAGCGGCCATTTTCAGGTGCATGCAGCTTAGTCGAGGCGCGTTATTCAGGTGCATGCCAGGTTGCGTACACTTTTCTCAGGTTAAACAATTTCTCCCGTAAATGAATACGCAGTTCAAGATTCGATAAAAATTGACACAAAAGGTCTGAAATAGATGGAATTTCGGAATACGCAAATCGGAATCGGGATGATTGGCTTTCGATGCTGCATTTTCTGACGTAACTCAGTGCAATGATTGCATTTCTGCCCAGTTTCTACGCAATTTTTTGCTTCGCACCAAATCTTTTTGAACGGATTGTAATGCTAAATCGTTTGTACTGTTGGCGCAGGTGGCGGACGCTTCGCGGGTCAAATCAGCAAACTCTAGTGGGACGTGCATTGCTTGAAAAGGGTAGTCCGAAACACGATAAATATGCCCGAGTGTTAAGAGTGAGTTACCCCTACCGCTATTAAGGATATATCGTATGTTACATGTATATTTAATGCCACGTAATTAAGGCCGTTGAATACCACCTATTTCAATATGCACGTACGGCAAACTTAGTTTGGTAGAGGCAAAATATACAAACACTCACGAAGGGTTTGCTGATTTGCCATGCGCAGCGTCCGTCATCTGCGTCAAAAGTACAACAGATCTAGCATTAGATTCGTTCGAAATGAGTTGGTGCAAAGCAGAAATTTGCGTATAAATTGGACAAAATGCAATCATTGCACTGAGTTACGTCAGAAAATGCAGCATCGAGAGCCAACCATTCCGATTCCAATTTGCGTAGCCCGAAATTGCATCTATTTCAGACCTTTTGTGCCAATTTTAATCGAATCTTGAACTGCGTGTTAATTTACGAGAGACATTTTTTAACCTGAGAAAAGTGTAAGCAACCTGGCATGCACCTGAATAACGCGCCTCGACTAAGCTGCATGCACCTGAAAATGGCCGTGCCTGCAGGTGGGGTTTCGTTCGATGAGGGACACGTGGGTTGATTTGGGACAGGGTGGTTGGGCTGGCAGGTGGGGTTGGGTTGGATTAGTTCCGGATGGGACACGTGGCAAGTGGCTCTACAGTACTTTGGTGGTGGGGTTCAAGATCAGCGGTGTTCTTACGGTTTATACGGTAGTACGGTACGGTATTGTTAAAAGCTTCAATTAACCACACACCATCAACCAACTTTATTCAAAGCACTAGCAACATAATTTCGAAACGTATAATCCAGAACCTTCCCATCTTCCACCACCTCTCCCTCCTTCAGAGGCCCCTCCTTCACATCCCTACACCGCACATTAACAGGCTTTCTCACCGGAAGCCCTTGAAAATGCATCAGCTTCGGCAGAGGCTCGGCAAACGAGGCGTTCCAGTCCACTCCATACAAATCCCAAGGGTCCTCCACGCGATGCACTGATACCATGTTCACCCTCCTCGGATCCACCACCTGCTTCCTCCTCCCGTGCGCTCCCGGGCACACCAACGCCTTAGCCCGGTCAGGGCAACTAGGGAGTTCCGCCCGCCAAGGCAAATGCTCCACTAGGAGCTGTGACTCGTTAGTGGCATTGCCGTGGTGCGGCTGGCTGCATGTATTAATGCTGTGCATATATGATCCCATACTGGCCCATGACGCGTTGCTCGGGAGGCCGTCAAGCCACGAGAGGAAGGTGGCTGGCGGGGGTGTGAAGATGTACTCATCGAGGTCCGTGTAGAGCAGCCACCTGGGGGTTGAGGAGGGAGGGGGGATGGACAAGAACGGGGAAGGCAGGAAGGGGGTTGGATGGGAGGGTGAGACAAAGCAGGACATGGCGGTGTGAAGATGTACTCATCGAGGTCCGTGTAGAGCAGCCACCTAAGTGGTGAGGGGAGGAGGGAGGGGGGGTGGATGGGGATGGGGAAAGGAGGAATGGGGGTGGAGGGTAGGGCGAGACATGGCAAGGCATGGCACGCAGTGGCGTGAAGAGCGGAACAAGACAAGGAAGAAGTTGACTGGAAACAATGCCATTTCGTCATCTGGGTGAAAAAGCTTAAAATCAGGAACAAGAGGGACGGAGAAGTTGGCAGGAGCCAAAACGGCTGAAATCAGGAAATCTAAACTAGGAAGGAGCTCCAAGTGGGGTACAGTGCCAATACAGACAAGGGCAGATGAAGCAGGTTAGAGAGCTCACCTGGTGAGGAATCGTGAACGATACAGGCAGTCGTTTTGGTTCATAATCTGGTGCGAATAGTACGACACAAAGTGCCGGCCACCCTTCATCCTCGTTACAGTCACCACCCCCGTCTCCTCATAAGGCGCCACCACAGCCGCCGTATCATTATCCACAGTAAGCCCGCCATGATCATAAAAGAAAAACTTCTCCACACCCACTACCCCATGGTGGTACTGAATCCAATCCCCCAGCGCGCGCGGGTCGATGTGACCGAAAAGCGACCCGCTGCAGTACGTAAGATTGTACTTGAGCGGGGATGTGACTATATCGAAGCCGCCGGGCTTCTCCCGGAAAACGGGCATAGCGGCGGTGTGTAGTGTGAGGGGGGAGGTGGCTTCAATATCGAAGCCCACTGCATGAGCGTGCTCGTGGGCGATGCTGCGGCGCTGCCGCTGCTGCTCGGAGCGTTTCAATACTGACAGCACGCCGCCTCTGCTGTTGCTGCCCACCGAGGTGTTGAAGGAGCAGCGAATGAGCAGCGCGCCCCAGGGGAGCGAGATATGTTCTGAAGGGCGCAGCTGGTGGTGGGAGAGCAGAGTGGGGGGCAGGGAGGGGAGAGGAGGGGATGCAAGAAAGAAAAGGGGGGGTGAGTGATAAGATGCGGAAGAGAATTGAGGTGACGCGGGCAAAAGCGTGGATGTGGTCAATTTTTTTTCATAAACCAGAACCTCAGACTGGATCGTAGATTACTTGCCTACTCATCTGAGCATTACATATCTAAGGGTGTCGACTATGGGGCTCTAGTTGAACCATGACGTGCTTCTCATGTTTCCAAAAATCCAATTGAAATGACAACTTTGAAGGATGCGTCAAAACAGGCTTGCAGCCATGACACTGAGTAAGTCATATCAAATAATTACTTCACAAGGAGGTCACGAAGAGGCTGAAGTCATTCCTTGAAATCACTATTGAGGAACGTGGCTGCAAGCCTGTTTTTATTACGCATCCTCCAAAGCTATCATCACAATCAGATTTCTGAAAACATGAGAAGCACGACATGATTCAACTCGAACTCATAACAAACTTTCTTAAATAAGTAATGCTCAAATAAGTAAGCAAAACACTTAAATACAGAATGCCAATCACATGCATGCCCATGCCACTCACATGCAAGGCATTAGCTGGAAAAACAGCTGGAGACTCCTTTCCTCCTCCTTGCCTTTTGGCCTCGCCCTGCCACACGCACTCGTCCACGAGCGCCCCAGAAGTGCAACTGTGCGCCTTACAACGGTTCACATGCCAATCACATGCAACCTTCCCCCCCCCCCCCTTCCCCTTTTTCCCTACCACACACACTCGTCCACCATCGCACCAGCAAAGGGCAGCTGAGCGCCCAGCAGCGACTCACGTGCCACTCACATGCCACGCACATGCCACGCACATGCCACTCACATGCCATGCACATGCCACGCACATGCCACTCACATGCCACGCACATGCCATGCACATGCCATGCACATGCCACGCACATGCCACACACATGCCACGCACATGCCACTCACATGCTACTCACATGCCACTCACATGCCACGCACATGCCACTCACATGCCACTCACATGCCACTCACATGCCACTCACATGCCACGCACATGCCACGCACATGCCACTCACATGCCACTCACATGCCACTCACATGCCACTCACATGCCACTCACATGCCACGCACATGCCACGCACATGCCACGCACATGCCACTCACATGCCACTCACATGCCACTCACATGCCACGCACATGCCACTCACATGCCACTCACATGCCACTCACATGCCACGCACATGCCACTCACATGCCACGCACATGCCACTCACATGCCACGCACATGCCACTCACATGTCACTCACATGCCACTCACATGCCACGCACATGCCACTCACATGCCACTCACAAACCACTCACATGCCACGCACATGCCACTCACATGCCACTCACATGCCACTCACATGCCATTCACATGCCACTCACATGCCACGCACATGCCACGCACATGCCATGCACATGCCACGCACATGCCACTCACATGCCACTCACATGCCACTCACATGCCACGCACATGCCACTCACATGCCACTCACATGCCACTCACATGCCACGCACATGCCACTCACATGCCACGCACATGCCACACACATGCCACGCACATGCCACGCACATGCCACTCACATGCCACTCACATGCCACTCACATGCCACGCACATGCCACTCACATGCCACTCACATGCCAGTCACATGCCACTCACCTGCCACTCACATGCCACTCACATGCCACTCACATGCCACTCACATGCCACTCACCTGCCACTCACCTGCCACTCACCTGCCACTCACCTGCCACTCACCTGCCACTCATGCGCCCACTCACATGCAAGGTCTCGGCTGGTGCAACAATTGGAAGTCCCTTCTCTCCCCCAACCCCCTCCCCCTCGCCCTGCCACACACACACTCGCCCTCCCACACACACTCGTCCACCAGCGCACCTGCAAAGTACTGCTGAGCGCCCAATAGTGATTCACATGCCTCCCACAACAAGACACTCACATGCAAGGCCTCTGATGGAGCAACAACTGGAGGTCCCTTGGTTCCCCAGTCTCCCTCCCCCTCGCCCTCCCACACACACTCGTCCACCAGCGCGCCCGCGAAGTGCAGTTGGGCGCCCAGAAGCGAATCACGTGCAACTCACATGCAGGCTGCAGCCTGTGTCACTCACATGCAAGGTCTCAGCTGGAGCAACAACCGGAGGCTCCTTCCCTCCCCCGTCCCCCTCCCCCTCGCCCTGCCACACACACTCGTCCACGAGCGCGCCAGCAAAGTGCAGCTGAGCACCCAGCAGCGACTCCCATGCATGCCCATATCACTCACATGCAAGGTCTCTGCTGGAGCAACGACTGGAGGCTCCTTGTCTCCCTTCCGCCTCGCCCTCGCCCTACCACACGCACTCGTCCACGAGCGCGCCAGCCAAGTGCAGCTGTGCGCCCAGCAGCATCTCACATGCCACCACATGTCACCACAGGCCACCACATGCCACCACATGCCACCACATGCCACCACATGCCACCACAGGCCACCCGTGCCACTCACATGCAAGGTCTCGGCTGGAGCAACGATCGGAGGTCCTTTATCTCCCCCTTCGCCCTCACCCTGCCATACGCACTCGTCCACCAGTGCACCCGCAAAATGCAGCTGAGCGCCCAGCAGTGACTCGCCCACCACCATGAAGCTGCCATGCACGCATGGGAGGTTAGGGAGGGCAACAGAGAGCGTTTGGTTATTCGACGTAATGGGTAAGATGGTTTGAATGGTGTGACGTGCAGCTGAGCGCCCAGCAGCGACTCGCCCACCACCATGCAGCTGTTCAGCAGCAGCACGCATGGGAGGGGAGGGAGGGTAACTTGGAACGGTTGGTAACCACAGTAACGCGATGGAAATTGCTGGATTTACGTTTCGCCCCACACCCAGTGTCTTGCACTGCCCCAACTGGCCTGCCCTGTCGTCAGGTTGACCACTGGCCTGGCCAGGCCAACAGGTTGACTTTTGAGTCGACTCAAAAGAGGTGACTTTTGAGTCGACTCAAAAGTCACCTGGCCTGCCCCTCGTCAGTTTGACCACTGGCCTGGGCAGGCCAACAGGTTGAACGCTTCACCTGTCGTCCCACACCTGTTGTGTGCCTTGCCCCACCTGCCCTCGTCTTGCCCCACCTGCCCTCGTCTTGCCCCACCTGCCCTCCCATCCCACCTGCCCTCCCACCTGCCCTCGTCTTGCCCCACCTGGCCTCTCCGGTTCTGTAAGTGCTGACGACAGCAACCAGGGGGCAGATGGTACGCGCATCAGCAGTGCCTTGCGCCACCTGGCCTGGCTGCTGCCTCACCTGCCCTTGCCTTACCCCACCTCGCCTCGCCTTGCCCCACCTCGCCTCGCCTTGCCCCACCAGCAGTGCCTTGCCTCACCTGCCCTCTCCGGCTCTGTAAGTGCTGACGATGGCAAACAGGTTGATGCTTGTCGGGTGCACTTGGAACGCGTGGTTCTCGCCCCACGCCCAACACTGCCTTGCCTCGCCTCACCTGTCATCCCACACACAGGAGCGCCTTGCCTCGCCTCACCTGTCATCCCACACACAGGAGCGCCTTGCCTCGCCTCACCTGTCATCCCACACACAGGAGCGCCTTGCCTCGCCTCACCTGTCATCCCACACACAGGAGCGCCTTGCCTCGCCTCACCTGTCATCCCACACACAGGAGCGCCTTGCCTCGCCTCACCTGTCCTCGCCGGTTCTGTAGGTGCTGACGACGGCAAACAGGCTGATGCTCGTCGGGTGCACTCGGAACGACTCAAAACCCGATTTGGCCCATCGATGCAGGACAGGGGGCGGGCGGTATGCACACAGCAGTGCCACTGCCTTTCCTCACCTGTCCTCTCCAGTGCGATAAGTGCTGACGACGGCGAACAGGTTGATGCTCGTCGGGTGCACTCGGAATGCGTGGTTCTCTCCCCACGCTTCCGCCCATACAGGGCATGGGGCGGGCGGGCGGGCGGTATGCACACCAGCAGTGCCTTGCCTCACCTGTCTTTGCCGGTGCGATAGGTGCTGACGACAGCAAACAGGTTGATGCTCGTCGGGTGCACTCGGAACGCGTGGTTCTCGCCCCACGCCGCCTCGCCTCCCCCCTCCGCTCCGCCGCTTCCCCCTCCACCACTGCTTTTTGCATCATCGTCGCCCGTCCCTCCGCTGTCAGCCGGGCAGGCGGGGCACTCGCACACGGGAGGCGGCGGCGGCGGAGCGGCGGACGGATTCTCAGCGAGGGCCCTCCGTTGACTCCGTTGACTCCGTTGACTCGCGCCTGCTGCCGCGTGGTCGCTACCAGGGAGCCCAGTGCTGACGTCGTGATACGGGCGGCCTTCGGGCCATTCCAGGCGCAGTGAGAAGTGTACACGTGGCAGGGAAAGGCGCGAACACGTGGCGAGGACGAGGCAAATCGGCACGAGCAGGGTGAGCGATGCGAAGACGCGGCGACGTGTGCGAGACGAGGCAGCCCGCATCACTTTATTCGGGAACGATCCGCCCTTGAACGACGCGCGGATCTGCGAAGACTTGCGAGGACCTGCGAAGACCTGCGAGGACCTTCGAGGACCTGCGAAGACCTGCGAGGACCTGCGAGGGAACGAGGAGACTATTCAAGGAGACGAGGCAGCCCGCATCGCTTTATTCGTGCCCACTCCCTTCAACGGCGCGCGGACCGCTTGATTCGGGAACGATCCGCCCTTCAACGGTGCGCGGATTTGCGATCAAACGAGGAAACGTCTCAAGG